TCGCCAGCGGCGACGACGAGGAGTTCCGGGGCGAAGTTGAAGGAGAAGACAGAGTAGCAGAGGGTGTAGAGAAAGGCGCAGAAGCGGCCGGTGGAGCCGGAGACGAGATAAGTGTTGAAGGCACCGGGGGTCTTCCAGTAGTGGAAGCCTAGACGGGTGTGGTCGGGACCGCCACCGAGGAAGAGGACGAAGGAGAGGATGAGGAGGCCGATGATGAGGAAGACTTTGAGAGATGCGAACCAGAATTCGGTTTCGCCGTAGACTTTGACGGGGAAGAAGTTGAGCGCGAGGACGACGATGAGCATGAGGGTAATCCAAACGGCGAGGGGAACGGGGTTGGACCAGTAGTCAATGACGAGGGCAGCGGCGGTGGTTTCGTAGGCGACGAGGATGCCGAAGCTGTACCAGTAGAGGAGGCCCATGGCGAAGCCTAAGCTTGGGGAGACGAAGCGGGTGCCGTAGGCAGCCATTGAGCAGCCGCTGAAGGGGAGGTAGGTGTTCATTTCGTTGGTGGCGGTGATAATGGCGTAGACAATAATGCAGATGGTGATGTAGGCGAGGAGAATGTTGGCTGGACCGGCCAGCGCGAGCACTTCTCCTACTCCCACGAAGAGACCTGTGCCTATGGTGCCGCCGATGGCCATCATCTGGGCATGGCGGGACTTGATGCCACGCTGGGTGACGGGGGCAGCATCATGGGGGAGAATCTGGCCTTCAGCATATGAGGCAGTGCGGTCGAGGACCTCGAGCGATTTTTCGTCTGGAGACTTGGTCATAATTGCTACAGTAGATTGGAATATGGATTGAGTGGATTAAGACTAGGGAAATTGCAGCTAAGTACAGAGGGTATACAGGGCATTTATCAGTTCGCAGGACACTGCATGTACAGAATCTGGGGTTACGTGGGAACTGAGCTTTGCCTCCGCAGATCCCGATACCAGATAAAGACTGAGAGATACGAGGCCATTATTGTCACTGTGGCTTGAGCACCGACATTGGATAAGCGAATGTCAGCTGCATCATTGCGGAGAAGCAGCGGGTTGTATCTATCAGGCCTTGCTGGTTCGCCTCTAGTTTAGTTTCGAGCCAGATCCACCGTCGGGGCTAGCCCGAGGTTGGCCAGCAAGGCAAGTCTCCCCTGCTGCGTGTCTCTTGACCTGCCTATTGCATTCACCCTTGCGTACCCTAAATCTCCACGCCAAACCAGTCGGGCAATTGTCGACTAAATCACAAGACACTGTGGGATAAAAAGTCAAAAGTGCATGTAGAAATATAAGTCCTGACATACTCAAATATTCCACACTGCAACGCCAACGTGGACACCATTCATATCCTTTCGTACGTTGAAAAGTCCAACACAGCACCATGTCCTCAACCACAACCACCATCGTAGCGAAGAAGGAAGACCCTTCACAGGCCACGGAGTCAAACACCAAAGCCAAGTCAGCCATCCAGGCCATCTCACAAGGAGCCACCCTACCAGGCATCCCTTCCTTTACCTCCGCGGACAAAAAGCGAAGATGGATGCTCGAGCACATGGCTGGTGCCTTCAGAGTATTCGCTCGCAAGGGTTTCTCCGAAGGAATGAGCGGGCACATCTCCTTGCGTGATCCAGAACATCCAGACTGCTTCTGGACGAATCCGTATGACCTCTCACCAACAAGACCGGTCCAGGTACACCAGCTAACAATCCCAGACTCGGGCTCCATTTTGGTTTAGTCAAGGTTTCCGATCTTATCCTACTAAACCACGCTGGCGAACCAGTCGGAGGCAATCGATCGCGGCCAGCCAATGCCGCGGGCTTCCAGATCCACGGCGTCCTGCACAAGATGTATCCGCATGTGAACGCGGCGTGCCATGCCCACTCGAAGTACGGCAAAGCGTGGTCGACGTTCGCCAAGCCTTTGGATATGATTAACCAGGACGTCACTATGTTCTACGGCGATGCGCAGGCTGTATACCCCGAGTTCGGGGGCGTCGTGCTAGAGAAAGAGGAGAGTCTACGTCTGGGTAGACACTTGGGTGACAAGGGGAAGTTGCTGATACTGCGCAACCATGGCCTTCTTACGGTCGGACAGACTGTTGATGAAGCGGCCTATCTGTTCACTCTGGCTGAGAGGAGCTGCGAGATTCAACTGCAGGTGGATGCGGCTGCTGCTCAGGGTTTGGAGAAGAAGCTTATTGAGCCGGAAGCGGCTGAATTTACATTCAAGATGACTAGTGATCCGGTGAGTTACACCAGGTCCTTGGGGTTGAAAAGTATGGCTAATGGAAGCAGGAAGCGTTGTATCATGAGTTCCAGCCGGATTATGAGATGGAGCGGGCGCTATGCAACGATCAGTTTCTACAGTGAGTATTGTATACGGTGTGGTTGGATATACTTGTACGATGTATTGAGTATGATGGTAATGAGAAGATGAAGCTTCATGAATATGTCTTTATATGTAGAACAAACTCAAGTTGCTTTCCCGCATAATCTGCGGCCAACTGGCGCTGGCGTTACTGTTCAGGTGCTGTCGTTGTCTCTCCCAGACCTGCCTTGCTATCCTCAACGCCAGCTTAAAAGTCCCAAGCCCACTTTTTCTGGCTGATGTCTCGAACCAGCCCGCAAACCAGTCTTGCAGTGTAGGATCCAAAGCCTCACAGGCGGCAATAAACGCTACCCAAATAAAAGGAGCAGCTATGCGAGTCGCCGGCATATCGTCTCTTGCTACCTGAGCTAGGGCGTCTCGCACTTGCCACGCTTTATCTTGGAGGATCATCGGATCCACATCGTAGATTCGCCGATAAAAGAAGATAATGAGGGCTTTGTGAATTGCAGAAATCATCAGGCGAACAATTGTGGCATTTGTCTGAGCGATGATACTGTCTGGATCCGCATCTGACACTGACGGTGGTCGCCAAGTGGAAATGCATCGTTCTAGGCTCCGCGCCCGCGCGGAGAACTGCTTAAAGTCCAACGCCCCCGTATAGCTTCCCAAGTCTGAGAGGTCTCGCTCATTTCCTAGTCGTGTTACTTGTGATATTAGAAATAGTAGAGACTCTGGAAGGCCAAAGACATGTGGGTACATGGTCGAGTCCCACTGGCCCGGGATTTCCAAGTGCAAATCATTTTCTCCCTGGTGCTGCTCCTTCAACTCGCTCATCCGCTGGTCCAATCGACCTTCCCATTGCCGAAGGCGGAACGAGCGAGTGGAAGCAATGGAGCGCACTGTATCAGGGGATGCATAATCGGACTCTATCTCTACGTTAGACATAGGGAGAACGGAAGTGCTCTCCTGGAAGATACGTAGATAGACATAGCAATGGTGCAACAAGCGGACCTTGCGTGATTTCCGAGTTTTAGGCAAGCCACGAAAACGAACCCAGTTTTCGCAGTCTAACAGACATCGGCGTACCCGCTCTGTGCTCCCTTGGTAGGCCTATGTGTATGGTGAGACATGTACTTTGCTCAGCTGCGGCTGGCGTTGCTTACCGAAACCGTGCCCATGCACAGCAAGGCGACGAGGACATCTTTGTACTTGACTTTTTTGACGCTGGATGACGCATCGTGTAATGCTCGCTTGAGGTAATTTTGAGCTTCGATAGCAAAGGTCTCTGCCTGTCTCTGCCAATATTCGCTTGCGCTGCGCGTCGAGGATGATAGACGCTGGGTGAAGGCCGCAGTGGCGAGAATTGCGTAGAAAATGGACATCCGGGTGTTGTTGGCCAGTTCACCCATGGTCAACAACGCCAGAGTCTCCATAGCGGGAGGCACGTAAAGCATACTCCAGGGGCTCTTTTCTAGCTGGATTGGGGTGAACAGCTGAGTTACATTCTTTGTGTATGCAGACAGCAATAATGGGGCATCTGGAGGGGCCAGGTTGGTCACAGATGGAGCATATCGGATCTCCGGCGACGACAATAGCGATGCTTGCAGAGGAACTGATGGTGATGGTCCCATAAGGAAGCCTCCTGAGAGGGATTGCGGGGAAATCCCATCATTTTCCGCAGAAGGTAGGGTTGCGGCGAAGAAGTCTTGAGCATCCAAGTCGGCAGAAACGTCTACATTCACATGGCCAAACAGACACTCCATGAGGGGATCATTGCTAAAGGCGTCGTCCAAGGACATTTCCAGCCCAACATTGACAGGACTGTCTTCCACCCCGGGAAGGGGCTCGTCAACTGGGTCCATGGGGGCTTCGGGAAGGTCCATCTCGACCTGAACTACCCGAAAGGCACCAAAGGGACCCATGCGGGTAGTGAAATTGGTACTGGTCTCCTCCTCCTGGCTCTCGCATTGACCATCAATCTTGGTCAGAATGGTGTGGACGTCATCCAAGTCCAAGCTGTCGGTCAACTGCTCACTCATACGCTGACGCATGTCCTCAGTGAAGAGGGGACGGCGACATCGTGAGCTCTGGTTGTCGCTCGCATCGAACAACAGCCGAATCTCGTACCTCTCACAGACGAGCCCCGCACGCTCACACACGAGGCAGGATGGCCTGGTCTCATCACACTTTGCATGGCGCCGACGACAGGTCTCGCATCCTCCCAAGGAACGGGAGCGCACTGGGGTGTCAGTTGGCTTGCCAGAGCGAGCAGGGGCCTCGGTGGTGGTGGTGGTGGTGACGGCGGCCCCTGATGTCATGGAGATCGATAAGCAGTCGATATGAGAAGCAATAGATAGGGTATGTAGTGAATAAGTGAGGGGGAAGATGTCGAGCGAGGAGAGTTGCCTGGAGGATAACGGGGAAGGTGAGGCCGGAATGGCCTGCCTTTTTGGTGTTGCGGGCAAGCGGGGTTGATGGAGTTGAAGCTAAGATTATCGCAATTATCGCGAGGATCAGCCACTTGCCGATAGTCTCGATAAGGCGTGATAGCATCATCTGTCCAACCAGGCAGGTTATTTTCATGGTCATGGTTTACCTCTCACCATTTATAACAACCCCCATTAAGATCCCGATAACAACAGGTTGGCCCTCATCCCTCCTCCACATCTCCGCCCCTACTCACTCACCATGCAAGACAAAGCCAACATCCTGCTAATCGGCTGTGGTGGCATCGGCACTATTGCTGCACTGAACTTGGAACTTGGAGGCAAAGCCATTGTCACTGCTGTCCTGCGTTCCAATTATGATCATGTCAAAGCTCACGGCTTCTCCATAAAGTCCATCGACCACGGAGAGGTGAAAGGCTTCCGACCGTCAATTTGTATGCAACCACTCAACTCCACACCAGCAGATGTCCGCTGACAGTTGCCTTGACAGTACGGAACACCATCCCAGACGTTGAGAAAGAGAACCTTCCCCCATACCGGTACATCGTCGTCACCACCAAGAACTACTCCGATGTGCCCCCCACCGTAGCAGAGATCATCCGCCCCGCCGTCACCAGGGGTTACACGCGCATCGCGCTCGTCCAGAATGGCCTGAACATAGAAAAGCCCCTTATTGCCGCGTTCCCAGAAAACATCATCCTCTCGGGCGTCAGCTTCTGTGGTTCCCATCAGGTCTCCTTGGGAGAGATCGTCCACGAAGACGATGACGAGCTTTACGTGGGAGCCTTCCGCAACCCCAATTTAACCCTTGACGAAGAGGATGCGGCCGCTAAAGAATATTGTGAAATTTATGGGGCCGGTGGCAAGTGTAATCCTCAGTTCAACCCCAACGTCGGGTTCAGTCGCTGGCGGAAGCTGCTGTACAATGCCTGCTTGAACCCCATCTGTGCCATCACAGATCTAGACACCGGTCGCATCCAGCTGGCAGACGGTGCCATTGAGAATCTGGTCCGACCGGCCATGGAGGAGATCCGCGCAGGTGCGAAGGCATGTGGGCATGACTTACCACCTGAGCTGGTGGACTTTATGATCACAATGGATCCCATTACCATGTACAATCCCCCCAGCATGCAGGTGGATATCCGCAATGGCCGGTTCTGTGAGTATGAGAACATCGTGGGAGAGGCACTGAAGGAAGGAAAAGCCAGGGGGGTCCCCATGCCGACATTAACAGTGTTGTACGGCCTTCTCAAGGCCATCCAGTGGCGGACCAAGGAAAGAAAGGGGCTGGTGCAGATTCCAGAACCGGAGGACCATACAGTTAAGAAGTGATAGATTAATAAATCATAATGACAATAATAATCCCTTTAGCATAGCTGGCTTCTGGCTGGAATGGATAGACAGGGCTTTGCAATGCCACTGTCTATTGCGACAGTAAGAATATGAGGATAATCGTGTCCCAATTCGCTAACAGGCAACTGTGGCTGTAAGTATTTCGATGTGGCTAGAGTCTTGTCGTCTAAAATGACACCCAGTGAATAACCCCAACTAGGAGGGTGAGGAGAGTGCAGGGTCTAGTGGGAGCGGCCGAGCGGGAGAGCCCGCAGATTACGTTAAGAACCAAAGCAGATGAAGGATTCGGGGGCCAAAGGATCCATTCTTCGTCAGACATCAATTTGCCGGACGATGGAGTTGGGTATACGAAGCATGATGGCCAATAGACGGACAAAATGGCCTGCAGAAATGTGGAAATACATTGTTGCGGTTTCCCTCGGCATTAAGCCAAGAGGGGTGAGGCTCGTCAATTGCTATAAGATCATCCATCAGGTATCGGTAATAGCCTGACTTGATCTTATGTCAAGCTGCTGTCTCGTGTTTTGAAGTATCAAGGAAGACCCGCCAGAAGCAGTACCTCAGTGACCATGGCTTCTAATATACCAGTTCCTCGCAAACGGCTTCTGACCACCGAAATAGATGCCATCGCCGAAAATAATCCTGATAGACGATTCTGTGTAATGCCCAGAGGCTCGGAGCTCTCAGATGGTTTACAAGAAATTTCGATTAAGGCTCTCTCTCGTGGCATCAACTTCTTATGCTGGTGGATAGAAGCGCAAACTGGTACAGATGCACCTATTGGGTCAACGGTAGCATACATGGGTGCCAATGATATTCGCTACTTTATTTTCATCGTGGCATGTCATAAGACTGGCTACAAGGTGGGATACTTCCGACTTCGTGGACGTTCCGCTTGTATACTGACCTTTCTTAATCAGCCATTGCTGCTTTCGAGTAAGAACTCTGATGAAGCTCAACTGTACTTGCTGCATGAGACTAAGTGTAACCGGTTCTTTTACACTGCGGAGAGGGAGCGGAAGGTAACAGAGCTTAAGCAACTCCGTCCCGAATTAAATATCGTCAAATTACCCGCATTAGATGCCATCTTGGAGGGAGAAGAGGGTTCACGCTTCTTCCCCTTTACTCAATCTTACGAGGAGGCTGAGGATGAGGTCTTCCTCATTGTGCACAGTTCTGGATCAACAGGTATGGTCTCCCTTCTCAAAATGGCGAATCTAGCTCAAGTAAACTCACTTCTCAGGAATGCCCAAGCCTATTCCCCTGACCCATGGCTATTTCAGTGCCTTGGATGCCATTGTCCATCTCCCTCGTCCGGGCGACCGGAGACTTACTATCTTCTGTGATCTCAGCCCGGATAACCTTGTTCTCAGCGTAGTTCCGTTCTTTCATATGATGGGGGTCGTCGCTTTCACCACGTCCATCTTCCACTCGGTACCTTTCCTTTATGGGCCAGAGAAGCCACTTTCGGTTGACTTCTTGACGGACCTTATCAAATTCGGTCGACCAACTACGGCGCTTCTTCCCCCGTCAATCCTTGACGATGTTTCCTTGTCCGAAGAAGCCCTGCTCACGTTGGGCACAATGGAGAGTGTTTACTTTGGTGGAGCACCACTCTCATCAGAAACAGGTGACAAGGTCCGCAAATACACGAAACTGATCACAGCACTGGGATCCACCGAAACCAATCTTATCCCTTCCATAGTTCCCGAAAAGGACGAAGATTATGGTTATCTCGAGTGGAATCCTAATTACGGCGCTGTTATGGAGCCTGTCGGAGATGATATCTATGAGCTGGTCATTCCTCGCCCGCCCACACGCGATTATCACGGCATCTGTCATACATTTCCCTCGTGCACGGAGTACCATACTAAGGATCTCTTCACACGACATCCATCTAATCCACGACTGTGGAAGCATCACGGTCGTCTAGACGACGTCATCGTTCTAAGTAACGGGTTCAAGTTCAATCCTGTCATACTGGAGACCATGATCGAGGCGCATCCTCTTATTTCCCGGGCATTGGTGGTCGGAAAGGGACAATTCCACACTGCTCTGCTGGTCGAGCCATACTGGGATGCATTTGACTCATACCTTGACCCCAATTCTTTCATTGATGATATCTGGCCTGCGATCGAGGAGGCAAACAAAACTATAGCCGCCCACGGACGTATCATGAAAGACAAGATCGCTCTTTCTGAGAGGGATAAGCCATTCCAAACCACACCAAAGGGCTCGACGCGAAGGGCTGCTGTAGTCAAAGACTACGCCATTGAAATTGATGCCATTTATACCATGAGTGACGAGGGAGCCCTTGCAGTGGACGAGCTTCCAGCAAACCCAGACCTGTCTAATCTTAGTGAATACATTCATGACTTAGTTACTAAGACCCTCCAACGATCTGGCTTTGGTCCCCGGGAAGACCTCTACAAACTTGGTCTCGACTCTTTGCAAACCATCCAGGTCGCTAAGTATCTACGCAGCGCTTTATTTGCCCACTGCGGTGGCCCAAGTGCGGTAGAGTTGACGACCCAAATGGTTTACGCAAATCCGACCGTGGAGAAGTTGGCCCAGCTGCTTCTGCGGGTGCTGAACTGTGATAATGCGACACATGTCTCCCGCCCAGAGAAGCTCAACAGTCTCATTGAAAAATACACAAACAACCTACCAATCCAGGACTTCACCCTGGAGCAGACTGCAAACACCCAGACAGCTCATACAGTGATACTGACAGGATCCACCGGGTCGTTGGGGACTTACCTCCTGCGCACCCTCCTCGAAGACCCGAGCGTCGCGAAAGTATACTGCTTCAACCGAAGCGACGCCCAGTCCAAACAAGAAACGATCTTCCAACAGAAAGGCCTTCATATTACTCCAGCCTCCCTTGAGAAGGTGGAATATCTCACCGTCTCCTTTAGCGATCCACATTTCGGTCTCCCCTTGCCCAAGTACAACGCCCTCCTAACCACCGTAACAACAATAATCCACAACGCCTGGAAAGTCGACTTCAACCACAGCGTCGACTCATTCGAGGACCCGCACATTCGCAGCGTACGGCACTTCATCGACTTTAGTCTCCGGAGTACTCATCGTGCGCATGTCCATTTTATCTCATCAGTGGGCACCGTGGGCGCCTGGGCTTGGGACATGGGATCAACCATCCCTGAAAGCCCACTTGAAGACAGCAAGGCATGTCCGAGTCAAGGATACGGGGAGTCCAAGTACATCTCTGAACGGATATGTCATGAGGCAAGCCGCAGGTCGGGCGTCCCGACTACCGTATATCGCGTGGGACAGATAGCAGGTCCGACCACATTAGAAGGTCTATGGAATCCGCAAGACTGGCTGCCTACTATTATCAAGACATCAAAGGCAATAGGACTAATTCCGGGCACGCTGGGCTCCAGGGCTGTTGATTGGATTGCCGTGGTAATACCCCCTTCCATCCTCGATCTAGAGGATAACTATGTCTAGCTACTAATGCACTATCCTGGAATGTAGGACACCCTCGCCCGCATAATCACCGAAGTCATTCACACTCGCGCCGTTACAGTGTCTTCTGCTTCGCCACACTCAGTATTTCACCTTGTCAACCCATCAAAAACAACCTGGGAAGCACTCGTCCCTACCGTCCAGGACATGTACCCGGACATGGAACCGGTGGGTTTCACAACGTGGGTAAAACACCTCGAAAAATTGAGCATGAAAAACCCATCCGAGCAGGAGATCGCGGAGAAGCCTGCCCTCAAACTACTCGAATTTTACCGTGAGTTCGCGGAAGGTGCTACGCTCTCGGTGCCGCTTGAGGTGGACAAGGCAAAGGAGGCAAGCAAAACTATGGCTGCACTGGGGCCTATTACGGGAGATGATATGACGAATTGGTTGAAGCAGTGGTCGTTCTAAGGTTTTTATTAGCTTGGTGCTCAGTGTAGCGGGCCTATAAACAAATTAACGGTCATCTCGGTGGTGGAGATGAGTTGTAACGGTTGTTTTTAGGGTCAAGTAAGCACTTCAAGTCGTAGCGGAATGGACGTTGAACGGCTGTCTATGCTTGCCTAATTCGAATTCCTCGCGCCTTCCTACTGTCCGTCCTGGTTGAAATTATTACTTCTGACCCGCTGCATAGACTTGTTTCTTGGTCAACTTAACATCTTACCATCTCTACTATCATCAATCCAATCGTTCGGTCTTTTCAGAGAACCAATATCTGCTCACGTTCACTTTATTGTACTATTTGCTTTAAAGCCACCCCTAATCCATTCTTTTTTTTTTTTTTCTAGTTTCTAGGCCACCATGGCTGTCTTGACCTTGGAAGGTGGAGATAATGAGTGTAACAGGGCGATGAGAGGCAACTATTCGCGGTTGGAAGCTTTTCGACTCATACAGGAGTGCCTAGCGCCAGAATATACTGTTACCATCGAGAAAACTGCCCAAGCACTTCATGAACTGCTCCCACCACCAGATGACCCTACTTACTCCGGCGGAGCTGACTTGTTCGGAGACCTTATACTTGAGTTATCTCAGCAGGTGGAGTACGATAATCCTGCTCAAGACCGTTATGTGCAGGTGATTCAAAGACTGCAAGACTCGGACCGCGTGAAAAAATATATACCACAACCTGAAGGTGTCGGTGTGAGTGATATTTACCTAGAAATTAGCCTGAGTCAAGCAGGGAAACTGACACTCTAGTACCAGGGATACGGTCGCTATGAAATTATGCCACAATTGATGACCAATTTAGGGCAATATTCGGCGCAACGTACGTCTGGGTCCCCTTCCTCTCTTTTCATAGAGGCCGTGTTTGTGTACAGCACCTGTGCAACAAAGCCTCCGTCATGCTAGCTTCTAAAATCAGTAATCTTCGAAGACTGACAACTTCTCAGGAATGGACAAAAATGGAAACCAAAATTACTTTGTTAACGTTCGGGCCTTTATAGCGCGCCTTTGCAGAGTGGGAGCTTTGCAAGGTCAGGCTTGGTTAGTCAACGAAATGAAGGCTGCCTTCGAAGATATACTGCCAGAACAGTTCCACGTCGTATCCATCATGGGTGCTGCAGTTATTATCGAGTTTGCTGGGGCTTGGCTGTATGAGGAGGTCGTTCGAGCACCTAAGCTTGACGAAATAATCGACAACCCATTGTGGGCAACTGGTTATTACTACAATGGTCCTCGGTATGGCATCGCGAGGTGGAATCACTGGCAAAGGCTATTTCGGTTGGCGCAACAGACAATGACACTTGATCGGGAGAGCAAACGGCTTATGTTCTATGCCGAGTGGTATATGCATGGAATATCGAGGTCCCTTCAGCCTTACTAGATGACGTTGGCTTTGAGCTATCCTCCGTATGCTTTTTGTCTTCTGGAGCTCGCTTCAACTTAGGTAGATGTGCAGAAATTCTATTTTTAGCTCGGTGGTACTTTTCCTTGCTGTGCTAACAGAATTATCTCCGACTGGTAGTTTGAGGTTTAAGAACGATACAACATCGGACTCGGGCCTTGCGTTTCTGCGAGGGTTGAGAGATTTTCAAGAAGGCTCCATCAATCCTAATAAAGGTTAAAATGCTTAGAGGTCTTACTAAGATGTTACAATGGGTTCTTCTCATTGCAGTCAAAGTGGGCGATCGTAGCCGATTACTACGTGCGTTATGGGTTCAGTGTAGTCGGTGTACCAATGCAGTGTCTGAAGCGAGACTGCCTACTTTAATGATGAACTGAACTTGGCGAGGGAGTTGAAGAGGATGAATGAGCTCGTTCTAGTAAGACCCAACACAGAACACGCGGGGTGTGAAAACAAATTGTCATAGTGCGCATGGACAGGAAGGGCGCATAGCACAGGAAGGAGAAGCGGGAAGGGGCAAAAAGAAAAAGACAAAAAAGAAACAGCTGGAGCTGCGGGGAATCGAACCCCGGACCTCTCCCATGCTAAGGGAATATTATACCACTAAACCACAGCCCCTTTGCTGTTGAAGACCTGCTTGTTATTTTGTATTATGAGCAGAGACAAAGGCTATCAGAGTTGTTGGGGCCATAACCATCCTCTATATGATTACAAATTGCGCCAGTTATAATAACTACCTACTAAGTCGTCTACGGTGTAAGCAGGGTGGATTTGAGGGATGGAGACTCGGAGTTTACGAATAATGCCGGTTTATCTCCTGGTGATGTTTTCGATGGATTTTCTTATTTCTAAGCAGCAGCAGGATGGCAGTGATTGAATGGCCCACATTATAGCTTTGACCCAGGTAAATTTGGCAAAGACGGAGCTCCCTCGTTTACGATCAAGCAATCCCAGGAATATAAAGCCTTGTAGAATCCCCTGTAAACCCAGACAGATATTCATCGCATCTCTCTTAACATTCAGCTATCAATCAGACCAATTTACCACATCTTCAAGTATTCACCATGCCCATCTTCGACGCAACAGCCACCAGCGAACAGGTCATCGAAGCCTTCAAGTCCAACATCAAGGGCAAGACCTTCGTCATAACCGGTGCCGGCAAGCCCAGCATCGGCAGCCAGATAGCCACATCCCTAGCCAAAGCCGCGCCAGCACACATCATCATTGCCTCACGCACCCTCAGCAAAGTCCATCCCGTGCTCGATGAGATCCACGCCATCGACAGCACCATCAAGACCACAGCAGTACAGGTGGACCTAACAGACCATGAATCCGTCCGTCGCGCCGCAGACGAGATCCTCGCCGCGGCACCCAAGATCGATGTCCTGATCAACAGCGCCGGGGTGATGGCAATCAAGGAATACACCCTCGACAAGCAGGGAATAGAGCTACAGCTCTCGGCCAACCACGTCGGCCACTTCTTACTTACCAACTTGCTCGTGACAGCCCTCGAGGCTGCTGGCTCCGCTCGTGTCGTCAATCTGACCAGCTCCGGGTACCTTATCTCGCCGTTCCGCTTCGAAGACTGGAACTATTCCAACGGGAAAGAATACGACCCCTGGACCGGGTACGGGCAAGCTAAAACAGCCAACATCCTATTCACATATGGCTTGACCCAGCGACTACGACATAAGGGAATTGCCGCCATCGCCGTCCATCCAGGCTATAACGGAGACACTAGGCTGGGAAGTCACCTCACTTGGGACGATTTTACCGGGATCTCTGCAATCGCGGTACGGAATACCGGCAAGGAGTTTGTTTTTGAGGAGCCGCGGTTCAAGACGTATACTCAGATCGCGGCGACGCCGCTGATTGCGGCGCTGGATCCGGGGTTGCAGGCTCTGGCGCCGGTGTTCATGCAGAATAGTGTGGTTGGTGAGGCTGCGGAACATGCGAGGGATCCGGGGAGTGTGGATGCTTTGTGGAGGTTGAGTGAGGAGCTTGTTGGGGAAGAGTTTCGGTATTAGTTTTTATTATTGGTAGAGGAGAGGGGTTCAATTGGCGTTCGTGCACCCTAGAGCTTCCAAGGGAGTGGATGGGAACTATCGACCTCCGTCTCTTGATTAGAAGCATTTGGGCTGTGTATTTATCTACCTTCCGTTATAACACTGTGGCACGTCACTGTATTCTTGAAGTCAGACGTAGATTTAGTTTTTTCAATGATGCACAATGTTTTCACATTCCTCCGCTTATGCAAATTTCCTAACCATCATTATATCCCTTACTGTGTCATGCTGAAGGTCAAGATATATGTAGTCTAGGATCAAGCTCCAGACAGGAGTTTCTGCACGTTCCCGAAATAGACCATATCCCGAAGCTCCTCGTTCATATGGAACGCATCTAGATTCTCCCGGTAACCAGCTACTTTGATTGGGGGAGCGTTGGGATAATCGGACCCTAGTACTCTTTTTAGCATCTGGTGTTAAATGCCAGCCACGGAAATACTCACCATACATAATATGGTCATGCGGTATTAAGTCCAGCAAGAGATTCAGGACTGCTGGCGCACTCGAAAGAGCAAGGTCGTAATAAAACCCACGCAATGCCTCCATAAACTCAAAGTAGGTCTTTCCATAGGGGCCCTTTTGAGCCATAGTATCCCTAGAAGTTACAGCCAGACGCGAGATCAGATACGGCAACGTCCCACCCGCATGCGATAGGATCTTGGGACAGTTTGGGAACTGCCGCGTGACGTTGTTAACAATCATATCCACAGCAGTCCGTGTAGTCTCCTGAGGGAAGTCGAGCATGGGAGGTGGCATAATCGGATCAATCCAATCAGAGTCCTCAGGCATAGTAGGATGGATATGAACCACGGTTTTGCGATCATCCAGTTGCTTCCAAATGGGAGTGAACTGAGAATGGCCTAGATAGTTGTTTCCATCGCCGTAGCGGGTGAACACGGTGACCCCGTCGGCTTTGAGGGTGTCGAGGGAGTACTCGATTTCAGCCAATGTACCAGGTACATCCAGGAGAGAAGGCAGCGCGGCGAAGAATCCGAACCGTTCGGGGTACTGGTCGCGCAGATTGGCGGCATATTCATTGACCCTTCGGGCTAGCGACCGAGCTGTGTCGTTGTTGCCAGTAATGACTGCACCTGGGGTGGTTAACGAAAGGATGGCTTTTCGGACACCATTATCCTGCATGTCCTGGAGAGAGTCCTCGACGGTCCATGCGGGGACTGGCAAGCCTGTTGGGTCGCCGCCTGCATCTTCAACAGCTAGATGTGCGTTACACTAATTAGTGCGGGGTCTTCATTCAGTGCAGGTATGCCCACGTACCCTGACGAAAGAAATCGGGGACGAAGTGATGGTGGATATCAATCTTCTGCGGTAGCTGCTGGGCCAGGACTGCACTGCCATTGTCCATGGTGGTCGGATATCCCGGACTTATGCCACCGGTAGACATACCCAGGAAGCTTGCAATGCCGGTGGGTAGGTAGGAGAATAGATGCATTATGATCACGGCTAAGAGTCATCGATTCTCAGTTGCTGACCCAGGTGACTTCGTGACTTTGGTGCAGCTTGGGCTGTTGTTTGTTGCGCAGCTGTACCCGATCCCTTGCATAACTGCCAATTACGGATCCCGCGGACTTTTATCCCTCTGTCTGCTAATTGAGCTGGCATGACAGGTGACATTTTTTGGATTTTTCTGTGTCATAACTACACTGGTCGCAGTTTCTTGTCGTTGAGTTTTGATGATTCCGTGGTGCTAGTAAATAGTACCAGCAAAAAAGGAAACCCCTGTAAGTTACGGGAGGAATATATATAATCACTACCAGCAGAGTCGATGTAAAAGTAATTATGGAATGACAACGTTAAAACCAAGCTATTGCCATTAACTAATCTCGGAGATACAAAAAGCATGCTAGAGTCTATCTAATTGCAAAGATAGTGGCCTTTTACTGGCAGTACAGCTCGTGGTGGGCTATGATGGCCATTCACTAGCAATGATAAATATGATGGATGAGCTGCGAGTACTTGAAGAGATAGTGCTGTCTCATAGAGCAAAAGTTACGGGCGTTCTTCAACAAAAAGGGGCTGTGGTTTAGTGGTATAATATTCCCTTAGCATGGGAGAGGTCCGGGGTTCGATTCCCCGCAGCTCCATTTTTTTTGTTTTTCTTTTTGTCCTTATCGATTCGCTTAGCTTATGCCTATTTATTGTCAGACGACTATTCCTAGTTTGTCCACGTTGCAATGCCATTTTCCGCCCGGGCGACACATTTCTACATTGTACAGAGCACCCCTCCCCAAATGCTGTACCTCGCTGTCGATAGATCCGAAAACTTCTTCACTGCCACCACACTGCCAATGGTCTGGTCAGAGCATTCACGAACCGATATCCCTTGTCAACCGCTTGAGACCTTGAAGATGACCAAAGGCCAGTGATGGCCTACACATGCACAAAAACAACGGTGTCAGCCTCTGCACAGGATTCATCAGCGACCAGTGTATGTAGAGGGTGCAAATAGCCTCGTCTTATTTCAACATCGACCAGGGAACGATGGCACATTGGGATCATCGGGTAGTTTCTCTGAAAGGAAGAGTAATTGTTCATTTATTCTTCAGCCGGAGTGAGAAGTTCATACGGCCACAAAACAACACCGACATTAAATTTTGGCGAACTTCAAAACCAAGGTAAACTACTACATCCAACTGCCAGAACTCCCGAGTTGAGCCATCACGATTCCGACCATCCCATTCAAGCCACAGGGGCGTAGATGCATCGCATGATCAAAGCACAATGTAACCCTGTCCTCTTGTTGCTCGAAGCACAACATAGCTAACGAACACTTGCCTCAAAACCACTGCCCACGATCTAACCTGAGCCTCGTGGCCTAAGACCACACATGGCAGCAATGAATAGAACCCCCGCCGAAATTCACTTGCTCATGACCAGCCGGCCTATCTGCGTAACGTAAACACAGTGACTGACAGGGATAGCCTTTGCGGCGGGATAAAAACAGAACAACAACCCGGGGTGGCTGAGACACCAATTAACTCAAAGATCAGATCTCTCAAAACCTCGGACCCCCCTGCTGAGGATCAGTGCTGTTTTGACCATCATCTGTGCACGCCGAGTGAACGCAGTTCTAAGATGAAACTTCAACGAGAGCCCGGCAGAACCGCATACCTCATATGCCTTCTGCTCGCTCTTCAATGTACATGCTTTGTACGAGCAGAGAGCTTTACCTATCCGACAGCAAAGGAATATCAGTTCATCGTGGGAGACCTGGTCAATGTATCCTGGGACGTGGTGACATCGCGTGTTTCTCTTTATGAAGTGTGCAACACCAAGGTTCCCTTGCTATGTCGGTACACCTACAACTGCCACCACTAAACCTGGCTGATAGAATCACAGTAAACGTCACAAACCCCTACAGCTATGTCTGGAATGCAACCCGCGACAAATATAGAGAGTCTGGCTGCGCGTTCGAGCTCGATTCACTGGACATGTTCGGTATTCTTAACCCACCAGTACTCACAAGTGTCAAGATTGGCGTGAGCAAGCGTCAGAAAGATGATCCTCCACCTGAGTTTTATAACTTGTACAACCCGACCAGCAGCACATCTAGTAGTACGTCCAGCACCACTTCAATGAAATCTACCTCGAGTACCACTTTAGCAACATCCACCTCTACATCTCCACATGGTACAAGCACCGCGGCGGCCGAAACAACAGCAGCATCAGCATCCTCCATTCCAGCTACCACCGATGACGGCAATGGTCTTACTGTTGCACAAAAGGTTGGGATCGGTCTTGGGGTTCCGCTAGGAGTGCTGGCAATATCCATCGTTGGGGCTTTAGGGTTTTTGTATCGACGTCGATCTCAAAGGCCGAGTGGTTTGGACGAGCCACCCAATTCGGATCAACCCGCACCCTCTGGGATGCTTGAAGCGGCCAAGGCTCCATGGGATCCTCGCATCTCCAGGGCGGAAACGGTAATCGCAGAATTGCCTTCACCGTCTTTTGAAATGGAAGGAATATCAGAGGAGGTGAACCATCGACCAATAAGCGAAGTAATGGGGACTCCTCGGAGTGAGCTTAGTGCGTGAGTTGAGTTTGCGTGAGATGTACATATGTGCTATGATGATGACTATCTGATAAGCTATGCGGCTGCATATGGTCCATGTCTAATAAGTAATGCTTGCCATTTGGTCAGTTAATTGATATCAACCTCTGATACGGACCTCAAGTCGCAGTAAAACATCAAGTGAGTACTACAGTACTCCAGAAAAGGACATCACTCTCAAGTAAGTTCACCAAATAATCCGCCGAACTTTCCTGCCAAAGAACATTACAGGGATAACATCCCCACGCAAACCATCCAACCCACATACCAATAACCCCCCATCAATCACTTCAATCTATAATCCTCCTTCACCAAATCCGCCGCCCTCTCAGCAACAGCATACACCACCGCCGCCAACGACGGACTCACCATCATCGGCACAACACTCGCATCCACAACCCTCAACCCCTTAACCCTCTTGACCCTCAACCTCTCATCCACCACCATCCCCAACGCACAAGTCCCAAGCAAATGCTGAAACGGAACCGCACTCTCCCTGACAAACTCCTTCACCTGCTCCCCAACACCAACATCCACACCCGGATCCGGCCTCACCCTCCTCGCAACCTTACCCCTAACCAACTCCGACCGAAACACCCTATCCGCAAACCCCACCCCCGCAGCAAGCACATCCACATCAGCTGGATGAGCCAACAGCCCGGGACTAATATCCGGAGCTTGCATCGGATCATCCGACACCACGTGCACCCGCCCGCGGGAAACAGGATGCATCTGGCTCATCGAGATAGAATAACAATCATTAAACCCAGACGGCGGACCGGACATGACTGCCCCAAGATTATCGACCGCGCGCGCGGTATCGAAGTTCTCGGGCGCGCACATGTACTGAATACAGGGACAGGTAGGATCTTGAATACGTGCTGCGATGATCTTCCGTTGTTTGTTCTGAAGAACGGTGTCCTGTTTCGTTGACGCATTTTTGGGGTCCAGGAAACAGGCGACTGTTTTCTCGAGGTCCTGTTGCTCAACTTGTGTCGCGTAGGGCGTGTAGCCTGTTATACTGAGTGATCCGGACAACGCGCCAGTGTGTTTCTCCTCGTAGAGTTTCTGGTGTTCCGCGAAGATAGCATGATCCCGGAGTAGCGAGTCGACGGACGTATACCCCTGTGCGAGTTCATATACTACCGAACACAGCGCTTGATCTTGGAGATTATTCCCCACGTCCATGTTCGGAACAATGCACGGGATGCTGATTCGGCCGAGGACGTTCGGGTCGCCTATCCCGGATAGTTCTAGGAGCTGAGGGCTCTGCACGGCGCCGGCGCTGAGGATGACTTCCTTCCGTGGATGGACGGTGTACGACGTCCCGTGGTGGAGGAATTCCACTCCTGTTGCCTGGCGCTCGCTGTGCTCGTTCGTCCCAAGGGTGATTTTGCATACAAGCGCGTCTGTCAAGACACGTAGATTCGAACGGTTGGTATTCGGGGCTAGGTATCCGCTTGCGGCGTAGCTGCGCACTGGTCTGTCGGTGCGATCGATGGTGAACAGCGTGCGGTAGAACCCCAGGTGGTTTCCAGCATACGGATTCTCTGGTCGCGGCAATCCAGAGACAGTATCAAGAGCAGGTATGAGATCCTTCTCGAACGGCGCATGCCAGGTGCCAAATGAATGGTGGATCGGTCCCTCAGTCCCATGTAGACCAGGATCCAGCGGACAGATACTCGTATCCCGGGACGTGATATTCGGCTGATCCACCTCCAACTTCTCATGCTTCTTGAAATACGGCAGTAAATCAGACCACTCCCACCTCTTCACTCCTGTGGTCTTGCCCCAGTCGTTTATTTCTTCTTCTGTTGGTCGCCCCGACATCATGAAGTTTAAGCCGCTGGAGCCGCCTAGCATTTTGCCGCGGTGGGTGGCGTAGGTTTTGTTGTTCACGCCGCTCTGTGTTTTGTTTCAAGTGAGCATTAATCCTGTACTGGTCTGTGGTAGTGGTGTAGACGCACCTGTGGAGAAGTCTGGAAACACCAGTCATATTCTGGATCTTTCAGGGTCATGGCCATCCCGGTAGGTGTGTCCACCTTTGGATCACCTAGTCGTGAGACCCCGGCTTCGACGACTCCGACGCGAACATTGGGGTCTTCTGATAGACGGGCAGCGAGGACAAGCCCTGCGGTGCCTCCGCCGACGATTATGAAGTCGAAGTCGTCGTTGATAAAGTCTGTTACTGGGGTTGGGTCCATTGTGATGCGAGTGATATGGGTGGATTATATGAGAGTTGGGTACAACCTGACATGAAGGATAGCTTCATGTCATCTGTACAGGCATGGCAATTGCAGAGGACTGCAGAGAGCAAGCTTCATATACCCCGAGACTGACCTGGGTCATGACTTCAGCGGCGCTGGTGTAGAGTGTAAATAGTTACTAACCCCTCCATGCGACCGGACTATAGACTCTACATAAGATAAGAAAGACATACTCAGGGCTCTACTGTGACAGTGGAATGTGTTCTAGCCAGACTACAGCCATTGCTGCGAAAGAGCGATCTGTCAGTGTATCCGATGATGTTATGTCAGAGTTCTATAGAGAAATTTAAATAGCCGAAGAAAGTGGGTGGATCGCCGCTGAGTTAGGAATATGTCCAATAATTACAAAATCCTTCTAGGCTCATCCTAGAGCATGGAGGATTGTTGTTCAAGTGCAGATGCCAAAAAAAAAGGGTTGTTTTCATCAACTCCTGGAGAATGAAAAGTGGGACTGCTGCGGGTGATAAATAAAAAACAAAAAAGAACAGCTGGAGCTGCGGGGAATCGAACCCCGGACCTCTCCCATGCTAAGGGAATATTATACCACTAAACCACAGCCCCTTTGCTGTTGAAGACCTGCTTGTTATTATGCATTATCAGATAGATTTGACCGCGCGGCGTAGCACATGCTGCTCACAGACTTTTAGTCACATGGGAAATACCTCCTTCGGTACTCCATAGTTCTCGGGAAATTGTCGGAGACGGACATTCAGCCTAATATCGTTACTGCAGTCCCTAGTGACGATAATATTGAAGCACGGCCAGGGTGTGCATCCTACCATGCGAATATGTATTTACTTCCGCCCGAAGCAGGGCTTTTGTTGGGTAGCATCGGAGCCCAGTCATTGCAGCAAATAGTACTAAATGGTATTTCTAGAAAGGGAATAAATGCTATGTAACTTTTAATGTACGCGGCTTTAGTGCCCAATTAAGCAACAAAATCCCGAACAGAGAATTAAAATCAATACCGAAAGCACACTCATCCGTAACCCTTGTGCTTGCCACACTCTTCCCCCTGTTGCCTTTCTGATCTGTCCAGCTCTCATCCTTACGAGATCTCAATAACAGGACCTGTGTAGACATGACGAGCCCTCAAAACATAATAGATAATAGCCAGAATAACGACACCCATAGTACCCACCACACTGTAATTCATATTCGTCACCGTCACTGGCAATTCAGTAGGCCAGTAACTGAAGAAGATGACAATCACGATGTAAATCACCGCATAAGTGTTGATCAAGATACCCCAGACGCCCGGGACACGGAACGGACCCCACATGAGCTTAGCTCCAGGGACATTGACCACAGTGTCGTCACTGGCATTGTAGTTGCTGATGGCGCCGCTGCACCGCCGCCAGAGAAGAAGAACCGCCACGATCAGATAGGAGGAGTACAAACCCGAGACCGCCATGGAGACGACGTCGTTGAGGGCGACGGCGGACCCGATGTTGATCAGACCGAGCAGGCAGCAGATGGTCATGGTGAGGAGGATGGAGTAAGTGGGGAGGAAAGTGCGGTTAGAGACCTGTGTTGATGTTAGCAATTATCTTCATGTGTACGATGCAAGGCACATGGAAACATACGTGGCTCCAGACTCGCCAGCCAGGGACACCACGGTCGCGAGCGAACGACCAGAACTGGCGAGAGGTGGCAGTCAACATGGCAAGGGCGGCGCAGATACCGACAATAACGAGGATGGAGGACAACCCCAATGCACCTGCGACCGAGCCGGTTGCTTGCTGGAAGATTTCCATGAAGGGGTAACCCGTAGGAGACTCAAGGGCCGCATCAACACTGCCCATGCAGAAGAGAGTGGCGATCAGCATGGTGAATCCCAAGGTGCCGTTGATGGCAACACTGAGGAGAATGGCACGGGGAATGACGACCGTGGCATGGTTTACTTCTTCGGCCATCTGTAGAAGTCAGATGTTGACCATTGTGCAGTACATGGCGGACAACTTACATGCACGGCAGCATCACCACCTGCAAAGGCAAACACACAACCGGTCATACCGACGAAAAAGGATATACCATCGGTGTAGAGATTTCCACCATTTGTAAAGTCCTTGAAGACCGACTCGGTCGATTTGTGGTCGGACATATATGTCATGGGGATGAGCACACCAAAGTATCCCAAAATGTGAATCATGAGGATGAAGGTTTCCAGGCGAGGAAGAAACTTTCCTCCGATAATGTTTACAAGAAGAGCTACGACCACAACCGCCCACATCAGAAGGGTACCCTGGTAGGGCTGCGAGTTGAAGCTGTTCCGACCCAAGATAATGGCACCCAGAATCTCAGTTCCAGCCATGTAAGACGACGATGCAAAGGCGGCCTGCCATCCGATCACGGTCAACCATCCTGCAGTGATGGTCAGTAAAATACACGGTCGCTGTAATAACATTGTGGAAGAGCGCACCTGTGATGTAACTGAGAAATTTCATATGCTTGTAAGGTGCAAGCATGGCACACCAGTGATATTGGCCCCCGGAAGTCGGCGCCCTTGCCAGGTTAGTATACCACCAGGGAATGGGTATCCTGACTTTGACTTACATGGACGCCATTTCGGACAGCAGCACGAAACAGCAGGCTGTTCCCGTCCATGCAAAGATGAAAGAGTATACTGCACCGGCAGATCCACCACTGTATGTTCAGTCAGCTGCGTTCATGGTCCGATCATAGGCTGAACGTGGGATAAACGACTTTTCGAGGGGAATAGTAAACGTCCTGATCTCTGTTAGTTGCAATGTTCCGCACTCTCACAGCCATAGATGGCCTTACGATAGAATACCCTCCCAGGTGCCGAGAATGGTGCAACTGAGACCGATAATTGAGAGAATACCAAAGTTCCGCTGCAAGAGCACAAGACAAGCATTAGTTTCTCCAAATCCACAGCATAGTATCAAAAGGCTGTGACATACCTTCAGGACAGCCTTCTTGCCCAATCGTGCAAGAGCCAAATCATCACGCGCTCCCGAGTCGGACCCGGTTACCTCTCGGTTGGCCGAGTTGGCTCGGTTCTTCAATTCGTAGGACGCCATGGTAAAAACTCAATTGCAGAGACCACGACCGGCGTGAGGGCGAAGAGTTGCAGACGCAGCGCGGTGTCCAGGGAGCGACCGATTAATATAACAGACAACTGGCCACCTAGTCCACTGCAACGTCAAGAAGCGAGATGCAGCAGAAATTAAGGCCGTTAGTCGAGATGCAGCATTCTAACGCCACTACCGTGCCTAGTGTCGTTGCTTAGCATGCACCGGGGCGTCCATACATAACCTAACATAGTACACGTACGGAGGGCGCCGGGCTCACCAGCCGGAGTAGGAAGGTTATATGAATCCAGGGGTAACAAACGACGACCCTGAACAATGACAGAAGCTGAACGCAGCACGCAGTAAGCTTTCTTGGAGGCGGGTCAGGTCAGGCCCGATGGGGGAGATGTAACCACCGATAGGACCTTGTGGGTACTAGGGTCAGTGTGTGGCAAGTGGAGGCCATCGGGACCACCCCCGGTCTAACAATATCTAGACTACTTTGTATCTAATGGGGGTTGCTAATCTAGCGTTAGAAGCTAGACTAGAGAACGGGTGGATGGCAGGCCCCAGTCCCCGCCCGGCGCAGACACCTTGCATGCAACGGACTTGTTAACTTGTTAGATAATGAGCCAGAATCAATCGTGACTGGCAAATTGTAATTGTGACTGGTGGGCCCGACTCGGACTCAGCTATCAATTCTTCCGGCGGGACTCGCCTCTGCGACCGCATGATATTCTAGTTTGATCGAGTTAGGCCAGCCAGCATTCCAATTCCCCTCCCTTCCGTGAATTGCTTGGGGCTTTCTCCCCCAAAGTCCTATGCTTATGGACATGGATGCCAGGTTGGCGATCGGAAAATAGAAACAGCCCAACACATCAAAGAAGATCCCCGTGAGCACTTTCACTGCAAAGTTCATTCTGTCTGGCCGCGTGTGTTGGATCGATCCAAGGATCTAGTGCTGATGTGGTACCGCGAATCGCTTGAGCGGGAGACAAAGACAAAGAAGGCAGGTCGGATAAGAGAAATTAGGCTCACCTGTTCGATCTAGAACAGTGGGAGACGGGACCGTGGTCGGAGCGAAGACTAATAGCAGACATTAATATCGAAAATAATGCTTGGAAGGGAGACAATTAATCCGTCGGTCGAAGGCCGGGCCAAGATACGAATGAAAACTGGCCAGCCCAGAGTAAATTAAACCCGACCAGGGTTGTCCCCCGCCGTCGTCTCACCGTCGGCTTCCATGCAATCAACCACCATCCTGGTCCGACTTTCCCTGCGCGTAGCCAAAGTCTATTGGCCTTTCTCCAATTGATGTCGGCCGCTCGGTTGACAAATGAACACACCAGGATCCGGATCCTAGCTGGCCATGCGATTTCCCATCCTCCCTCAGGAGGGAGGGGGCGTTTTCCAAGAACCCTCTCTCTGCCCACACCAGAATGACTGTCCGGGCTTCTCCCCTTCCCTGGTGCTTCCGGGTGAAAATAATCTACCTCAGTCACAGGCCCTGCATCGATCGATTTCTCGGCACCGGTACTCCGTATTATTATTTACTCCAGATTGTGCCCGGTCTCGCAGCCCTGGCCCAGCGCCATCACCCGACTCTTATTATCTCCATCAGTTCCAGATCGCTGCGTGACATGATTCCCGCCGAGAATCAGCGTCAGCACTCTGATTGCCCTCCATGGGACGGTTCACTGGAGACACCAAAGATCCGGCCGTCAATGTATCGACATGGTTCCTGCTCGTGACGGCTTCGTTGAGCGTCATCTTCCGGCTGGGGACCAAGTACGGTTCGTTCCGCACGCTCACAAACGATGACTATCTTATAGTTGTATCGCTGGTATGTCGATCTGCCGCCTAGACCCTCACAATGGCTCCAGCAGACTAACTACTTGCTCTGGATGGGGCGCGACAGATCTTCTGTATCGGCCAATCCATCGCTGTATCGATGGCCGTCGCAAACGGATATGGATACCACTACTCCACGCTTACCCCGGAGCGCTTCGACAACATGATGAAGGTATGAACTACACCTGCACCAGTATGCAATGTGCCTTTCTGCGGTCGCCTTCATCCTCCGGGATCCTCACTGAGAACAATCGGTATCATTTCAGTCGCAATACGCCGCCGCTCTCCTCTACATCCCGAGTCTATATTTCTCCAAAATCTCCCTTTCATGCTTCATCCGCAACCTGACGCCGACGGCCAAAGACCACCGTGTCGCCAACTTGGTGCAAATATCGGTGACTGTGATGGCCGTGATATGTCTACTGGGAACCTCCTTTCAATGCAGCGTACCGCAGACTTGGAATTACTACACGGGAAAATGCATGAATCTGGTACAATCTCACTACACTACGCTACCCCGACGATATACGCGACAAGGTTAACCAGCCCAACAGATAGCATGGCACTACTTTACGGGAATCATGAACATTGTGACCGACACCATGATCACCTCACAAGCGCTTTACCTAATCGCGCGCATTCAAACCTCCTGGAAACGCAAGTTCGTGTTCGCTAGTATTTTTCTATCTCGAGTCTTGTCAGTCTAGTTCTCCTATTATCCGACCGGACTACCAACTAACCAAACCACTTCTCCGAACAGAGTAATCCTAGTCAGCATCGTGGAACTCATCCTAGTCTCTCAGAACGACGCAACACACGACCCTTCCTTCTCCACCTGGGGCGTAACCATCAGCGTGGAAACGATTCAATGCCTCAGCATCGTGACAGCCTGCTGGGCGCAGCTTAAACCCTTCTTGAACATGCTCAAATCGAACGGCCTCCGGATCCAAGGCGTGGACTACCGATCGACAAATAACCGATCGAAATGGTCGACGACACGGTCGGCCAATCCCACGGAGAGCAAATTCACACGCAGCGGCGAGCACGAGTTGATGGGCATGGGGGCTGGACAGGGGAATATCACGACTGTGTCGGCAGCGAGATTGTCGGATGAGGATAGTCAGTCCAGCCAGGCGGGAATTATTCGGGAGGTGAGGACGTGGGTGGTTAGTGAGGAGGTGGAGTCATGATTATACCCTTCTTTTGTCTTTTTCCTTGTTCTTTTGCTTTTGACCACGTTCGATATATATTCCCCTTTGTTTTGATGGTGAATCAGAGAGCTGCAATAATACTGGATTGAATATGTGGATTTGGCTTGGACTTCATGTACATTATTACCCCAAGTCTTTTACTTTGTAACTAGCTCGCGTGATGACTTAATGACTCCCCGTACAAGATACACTCTTATTTTGAAGCTAAATGCCATGCAGTACAAGAAAGACAAGCAACAGTAGCAGCAACAAGCAGCAAGCAACAAGCAGCAAGCAACAAGCAGCAAGCAACAAGCAGCAAGCAACAAGCAGCAAGCAACAAGCAGCAAGCAACAAGCAGCAAGCAACAAGCAGCAAGCAACAAGCAGCAAGCAACAAGCAGCAAGCAACAAGCAGCAAGCAACAAGCAGCAAGCAACAAGCAGCAAGCAACAAGCAGCAAGCAACAAGCAGCAAGCAACAAGCAGCAAGCAACAAGCAGCAAGCAACAAGCAGCAAGCAACAAGCAGCAAGCAACAAGCAGCAAGCAACAAGCAGCAAGCAACAAGCAGCAAGCAACAAGCAGCAAGCAACAAGCAACAGCACAAGCACGAGCAGTGTCCCCATAAGCACGGAAGAACCTAAGCCAAGCAAGCAGCGGCGACACCGGAACTCCCACCATTAACGGAATAGGGGCTCGCTCGCAATCTAATCTAACCACCACACTAAGTCACCAAGTACAACATAACCTAAACTAGACTATCTAGCATCAAGACGGAATAGACCATTCTAAACTAAGTAAGTAAGCAACTAGACTCCAATGGCCTCGACTCGGGTAAAACCCAAGAACATTGGAATTGTTTCATTCGCGATCCCTCCACTAACTAAACCACCCTAACTCACTCTACAATAAACTAACTAACGCTCTAGTCTCCGAAACTGACGTGGCTTGCATGTGGCCCGTCCTTCTAGACTTGACATTTCCACCCAATAATATTCTCGATAAAGTACTTAGTAAACCTCTCCACTTCCCGAGACATAAGGTGTAGGGATGGTGAGATGTAATTTCAATTTCATGAATTTCAATGATTTTCGGGAGAAATTTCATGTAAGGGTTTTTGGGGATTGTAAGGGTAAAATCACACTAAATTTGTATAGGTTTAGCGCCATAATTTAGCCAAAATCGTAGGTAAGCAGGTAGATAAGCAGGTAGATAAGCAGGTAGATAAGCAGGTATATTAACCAGTTGGCCAAGCGACATGGTAGAAATTACTAAGTATATACGCAGGCAGGTAAGGCAGGCAGGGCCTAATTCATTCAAAAACACCTTTAAATTAAACAGATGCTTGTTTCCTCTTTAGGATTAGTTCAAATAAACTAGTCTTGAGCAAAATCATTGAAATTTATATATTCTTATATATGTAGCAGTGTTTTCGGTGTTCAGAAGATCAAAATATATATATTTGCAGTGCAGAATAATAAGAAATCTCTAGTTTTCCTAGACTACCAGGGGATCAGGATCCTGATAATCTAATTGGTTAAACTAGTTAGAGCTAGTAATATGATTGGTCAGTTATGGTATCCACTAAAATCACGTGATAAATTGAAATTGTAAGGGTTCAACCGAGTGAAATTACAGAATTACTGTAATGGCTTCCCAAAAATGAAATTACACCATCCCTAATAAGGTGATCGTAGCACTGAAAGGTAAATTTCCCCGGGTACTAGTTGGAGGCGAGCACTTGGCTACTCCAGGGTAGAGAAAGGAGTAGCAGCCAAACCGATGATATTTAACAAATTTCACCAAGTCTATGATTGGTCTGCTGTTCCTTCCTTTTCCGATAGTACGTAGTAAAAGCACCAGCCATTCCCGCTCCCGTGCTCTGTGCCCTGTACTTCCGGGATATCGGATCTGGCGGTTAAGGCCGGGTAACTAATCCCATTTGATAATCCAGATCAACGCTGTGGCTACGACTTTTCTTCTTTCTCATTACTATTGCGATCGGCTTATATGTACTGATTATGTACGAGAAAGCAGCGCACCGTAGGTAGCTTTTACTGCCCTAACCGACATAGCCTAGTAACGAAGAGTGAATTTGAGAGGTTAATCTGCATTTGAACATTGGTATCTACTTTGGATCTATCATAAGCACAATAGGAAGAAACAATTCAGATATTTCGGTCCCTATAGCATACCATATCTCCTCACGATACTAGACTACCCAAAGTATCTAACAAAAAGCTGAAAAACATCATCATGCACAGTAGGATGACACAAAGCGAACACAGACAAAACCATAACGACTGTGACACCTGCTTCCAGGAATAGAACCTCGCCAAGTAATTTGTAAAAGTGTACCCGAGATGACCACGAAAACCCTTGCCAGGCGCCTCTGATAGTCATCGACTCACCCCGTTGTGCAGAGGCAGTGACTCGAATAAAGATTGCATATGTCGGAACAACCATTCCAAAGTAAAGAACCATGATAGTTCCTAGAAGTCTGATAAACTGCACCGTTTCTGAGACCTCCAACCGCTCATCTAAAGCACCAGCCAACTGAATCAAGTAGGTAGGCAGGTAGAAGCATATACTCGAGGCAGTACTATACAGTAAGATTGACGGGAATGCCTTCGACCACATTGACCACGTTAAAATGCGACGTGAGTAAGAAAGGGTTCCCGAGTGTCGATTTAGATTTGTGAGCACATTGGCTACTCTCAGGTATGAAAGTAGCAATTCGACTGTTAAGTTGAGCAAAGCGCACTTCAGTGGACTGAATTCCTTCATAGGGAACATAGAAATCACATAGATCTTGGCCAGCCGATGGAAGACAAAGATGGAAAGGCCTCTGAAATGCTGGCGCGAGAGTGATGGTTTCAATCTAGGATTGGGTGTTTGAGTCGCCATCAGTGTTGCGAAGACATACGCGTGGGTATACACAGCCTGTCGTTCATTAGTTTGACTTCACATCTAGTTCGCATGCGTTGATGATAGCTTACTAGAAGAAGCCCGAGCAAAGCCGCAGCTAGGAGGAGCACTACTGGTATTTGTTGGCTTGGGCTGTCTCCAGGGAGCTCCCACTTAGCAAGGTTTAACGACATGTTTAAGGGAAAAATTCGTGTATGGAAGGAAGCATTGCCAGAGAATCGTAGCACTGAAGTAATAAATGCGAGCTTCAGGGAAACCGGGTAGTGCAAAATGGGTCGGAGGCTCAGCTAGAGGAGTTAAGACCTATTCTCAAGATAGGAGGACAAGACTTCATTCGCTATGTGAGGGATTTTCTCGATTCAAGAATATTGGAGAAAGAGGACTTGGAACAGAATCACCAAGGGTAATAAATGAGAAGATATCCTTCTCTTCTCAACTTGGCAAGAGAAGTACTGTCTTCAGATATTAAGAGGTATAAGAATTTTTTTCGATTTTGACTGCATTATTAATAGATTCCATTTAATTAGACTATTGTATGACGCAGATAATCAGATATTAAAAATATATGAGGTGACTCAATTTTCTGGACATAGATACTTGGCTTTTTCTGTTCCTTCAGATCCAAAAGTCTTGCGAAATACACAGACTTCTTTTGGCCTTCTTTGTCATTATTATTTCTAGGACGTCACAGGCAGAAGGGGCGTCCAGCACGCCTGCAGACCGGAATAAAGTAGGCCCGGGGATACAAAATGCACCAATCCCACTGTAGGTTCTGTAGATAACTAATCAAAAGTTCTAGCTCAGTCAGTCAACCGTAACTAAAGTAACTATCCCCGATATGGCGAGTCAGAACCGATGCAATCAGCCAATCAATCAATCAATATTCTGGCAAATCAGAGGTGTTAATTCATATTGAGTGCATCCGAGCTCGCTTGAAACAGATTAGACCAGACCACAACCTAACGGACCAGACCAAACCGAAACAAAATCAAAGGCTTTGTGCTGCGGAATGCAAGTGATTATTTGTTATGAACAATTGATTCATGATTGTACGTTCGGAGTACTCCGTCCTGCTCTCTCCCGAACCAGAATCAGCTACCTGCAGATCATTAACTCTACTATCCGCCAGCCAGTCTGTCAGATGTGACGGCCAACCCGTACTCGGGCCTATGTCCGAAATCGGTGGCGTGCATGTGCCCTTCTTCCCCCCCGTGTGACTGACACTGGGACTGCTGAGGCAACCACCCACCTGTTGCAGACCAGCCTTTCAGTTCTTATTCCATCGTCTCGGATCCTTCATAGACAGGGCGGAATACTCTGCTCCTATTTTTCACTCTCACTGCGTTCATCGCACTCGTTGTACTCTCTCTCCCTCTCTCAGTCTCTCACCTTACAGAGATGATAACAGCTTGGTAGTTGTTGCATGGCCGGAGTGGCGAGAAAGGTTAGATAGCGTAAAGACCAATAAGCACAAAGGTCAAAGTCAAAACCTACGATTACCCGACTAGCTTCATCCTATGGCAGACAATGATAGCTATTATCTCTCCTAGCTTACCTGTTCCTTAATAGACACAAAGGAGAGAAAGCGGCTGTGTGACGCTGCAAAACAAAGTAAATATGATATCCCCCGAGGGGGAATAATTCCGGAAGATGGCATGGCATGCATTGCACGTTTGAAGTAAAAAGCCCCACAAACTCTATCATGATGAGCTTCCATGTCAGAGTTCGGGACACTCACTGCCAGATCCAGAGAAATACACGACGACTAGAAGACGAATCTGACAGCAGGCACACCGCAAAACAAGAGACTTGTCAGAAATGTTGAGGTTAGAAGCGAATAGGAATGGGTTGGGACTCGCGAGGGGAAATGAAAGAAAAAGCAATTCGTGACAACGCAGGGCAGCCTCGGCCCTTTGCCCCCCTCTCGACTCCGCCTTTGGTGGCAGAGTGCCCCCCGGCACAACTTCATGATCATCGCAGGGAGAAGAGAAAGACCCTGGCAGCTGCTTGGCAAGGGAAGACTCCGCCCGTATGAGGCTGTGATTAGAGGCAGTGCAATACAATAAAGAGGTTCACTAACAATTGTGTTTGTGACTGGAGTCCGGGAGCTAATGTATGCACATTGCGACCCGGTGGGAACTGTTTCTCGTCATGCTTGTCTACAGAATCGACTATCGCACCAATTTAGAACTCTAGCCAAAGAGGAGACCACTCTGTCGACCCACATATTTGTCGGCGGCATTGACTACTCCGTAGTGAAGAACGCGATCTGGTATCATGACGTAGAGGTTTTCTTGAGTGACAATGGCGAAGGATCAAACAATAGCCACGACCCATCCCATTCCCCGCCGATGCCACCAGCCCGGGGCTCACTAGCCTGGCCTCAGAGAACTCGGGTTGAGCATACAAGCGGCGGCTCTTACAGTCAAGTGCCGCTTCCCTGGTTACATCGGCGAAGGTGATCATATTACTTTTTCATTGGCAACACATCCTTTCCCTGACACCGACCCTTATTCTCATTCGTGAGCTGGCCAGAGTCCCTCCCACATGGGCTACAATTAGAGCTCTGATCTGTGCCCAATCAAGCCTACCCACCAGGCACTCTGGATGACTAACGGCACCCTTCCACTGTCAATTAACGTTCCTGTGAGGAAAAAGCCCCAGGAGATTGCTCAGACGTGTTGCCAAAAGCTTTTTTGCCTCCTCCGCCTCTCTTCGCGGTGGCATTTCTCCCAGAACCTCCATGCTTTTCTGCAGCTGGCAGCACTATCGCGACTGGTATCCAGGTCCGTAGCTCTTGTTGAAAGACTCCCACACCTTTGCTCCTCATCGTCTGGAGCTATCTGGTTGGGTACGTCATCGGAGAGAGCGACGCGGAGTAGGCTGTCAATTCAACGGCCCTGCATTTCACATCCATAATGACAAACCCTTTGGCTATATCTTTACCTAAAGGTCGTGAGTATCGGTTGAACCACAGTAATATATGGAACCTTCTCACGACTAACCACGGTTTCTGCTTCAGACAGCTCCAGTGACGCCGGTAAGCCCTCACGAACTCGCGGCTTGCTTCGGTCCGCCAAGCGCATACTCTCCCTTTTCCTCCCCCGAAAAATATTCGATCACCAACAAAGGTCAGAAGGTAAAGCGAAGATGAGCAATCGGGAAACCAACCATGAGTTTGTTGTCGTGGGGTCCCAGGCAAGGCGGCCTAGGAACGGCCGTGAGTTCACGGTGAACCGAAACCATGATGTACGGCTATATCGTCCCGTAATGGACGACCAGAATAATCCCCCAGACATCCCAACGTACGACAACCCCGATTCATACAGAATTGAGAATTCCAGCCGGAGAACTCACGGTCGCAACTCCGATTCCGCTTCGTCAAGTAGTAGGATAAGCGCAGCAGTGTCTCCTGGACTATCCACCCTAGCCAGCGCAGGCATTAGCACCGATCAGACAACACCATCAGACCCGCAAACCGAGTTCAGGCTACCTGGTGATGATGAATATATCCGAGCGACGTCTCTGGACCGCATCTCCCAGGTGAACCTCTCCCCGGTTTCAACGAACAGCGAGTATAGCGAGGAGGTATTCATGGTTGGCAGCAACCCTGCAACCAAGGTTTCGGCATTGATGGCACTGGATACACAAGCATCAGCCAATTTGATGGATATTGAGTTACAGCAGGAGTTGGAATTGGAGATGGAGCCTTGCGATCAGGAACTCGTCCCATTGCAGACCAAAACCGGCAAGGACCGAATCAAGCCGTTTGGCATCGCGAAGGGCGTCTCATGGCATTTTGCCCAACGCGAAAAGACATTTACCAGTGACTTCCTGGTTGTGGATATGAAGAACTATAATGCCATCTTGGGAAGGAAGGATATCAAGAAATTGGAGATCCTCAAATCTGGACCTGGCCTTGAACGCCGTACGACGATCCGGATGTTCCGCTCGTGAACATGATCCATGTCATGTTTGAGCATGACGACACTTTGACCCATTGTGGATGCGCACCAACCTCATCCCACCATCGGGGGACTCTACGAATTCTTATATCTACTTTACGATTAATTGTGATACCCGAAAGGGCAGCTGCGGATATTGCATCACACATGTATTTTGGGGCAGGTGCTGCCCAGCTTTGCACGGACACAGCAAGGTTCCGACCAGTCAATGACCGACATATTTCTAATGACGGGGTGTATCCTAACTTATGATTGTCTACGTTGCACATGTCCGATTGAGGCGCATTGATGATTTGTCTTGAACCTAGTTAGTTACCTTGGGCGGCGTTTTTGTGGAAAGGGAATTGATCATGGCTGGTTGGGAGAGCATTGGATAAGGCAAGGGCGTGTTTCAGTAGTTGATTCGCGGGATATTTGTTTGATTAACGATACGTGGGAGCACTCTGTGTCGCAAGCGGTGACACATTCAATTTTATTACTTACTCTGGACATGTCATCCTCAACTACGTACTTATTTCCACTTTGTCTGTGTGGCACTTCCGTGTCGGCTAGTAGTATGAATATCTGCAGCTATTTCTCGTTTCCTTCCGGTCGCACATCCCCGCACTGCCATCGGCAATGATCCTCTCATGCAAAGGAAACATATCGTCGCCAATGATCGTGAGGGGTTGGTTTCTGCTAGTGGCATCAATACCCAGCCGGATCTTCATTCATGCCCAATCTGCACGACATGCCGAATAATCATGAGCTGAATGTATACTATGACAAGGGCTCCGCTGCTTGGTCGATAGACAAGGTAAGTGAGGAAGAGGAAGATAGAGAGATATGCAGCCTCGCGTAACGAAAAAAGGGTAGGACGGATAGAAGAAGAAAATAGGAGTGCATACGATCTACGGAGTACGAAATGATGGTGGATGGTGCAGTTGCACATCCCACCTACGAGGGGTTGCGCGTGGATAGTCAGTCAGTCAGTCCGTCGAAGCTGCGGCTCTTGGGTGGTCCAGATAATGTCTGGTCTATATGAACCTGGCGGCGTTCTCTGTGTGAGGCCATCCACAGACAGCAGCTTGAAGCTGACCCTCCCTCACGAGTGAACCGACCGAGCCATAACAACGCAAGCAAGTGCACCCAACGCGAAACCATGGTACGTTTGGTACCTTACACAGGGCTTCTGAACCCTCTTTCCCTACCTTTCTATTTGCATCTGTAATTCAGGCGCTTACCAGTTACCATTATTCAGACAGGACCCAAGACGATAGAAATTCGCTGCCTCAGGCCAGACGAGAAAACTGTCCACCTCAAGGCCGCTGTCTCTGAGCGATTGGACGTTAATGTCCTCACGCAAAGAGGGCTCCAGGAGCTGGGAGATATCCAATTGCAGCGCAATGAGATACCCAAAACAGTCTACGATTCAGATGGTGTTTCATACATAGTGCGCGATGTAGTCCGGCTGAGTATTTGGAAGAAAAGCGAAACCAAACTGTCAAGACAAAATTTCTACGTTTCCATGAACGACGATGAAGCGCGCTTGGATACCCAGTATGATGCGATTTTAGGGACTCAGTGCAATGTTGGACGGTCCAGCGATGAGAAGGCCCTCCCAGTTGCTGTAACCCAGCTAGCACCGCAGAGTGCAAGTGAGTCTATCGTTTTATATTTCTAGCCAACGAAGAAGTGATGCAAACTGAACACTCTTCTAGATGATAAGGCAACCCAGGAGAAAAAGAAGCGCGAGAAAGAGGAAGCTTTGGCGAAGAAGAACCAACAGTTGCGTGAACAGCAGAAAAAGCAGGCTTTCCAGGGTAGATAACAGAATGGGCTAAGATTGGCGACAAGGCGGACTTGTGAAGCGCGCTACTTGCAAGACTAAGTGTGCCGGGATTATCGCCAGGTTTGTGAGAATGACGCAGAGGCGGCAAATAGGCTACATCTGTATGCATTTGAGCTGATGAATCTGTTGGATATGAATAACTACTCTCTGAAACTCGATAACAACCTGTCACATGTATGAGATCACCCTTACGCAGAATGACTGGGAAGGAGGGCTGCTGCGTGCTCCTCCAACAGCGAAGGACTCTGGGCGAAGGATTGGAGCGGGGAGATTGACACGGACTTGATTTGTCCTTCCGGGACGATCGGTCGTACTTAGCATTGGAGGATCCAATCCCCTCACACCAGCCCGCTGCACGACGACAAAATGAGACATATCAGGTGGCACCTGCATAAATAGTCGAGCCTCCAAGCTATGCCATTCGCTGGACGGGTGTTCAGGCCGTCAAGTGCCGGCTGATGTCCCGCACAGTCAGCGCAACTCACCGCTGGTAAAAAGAAAATTCTCGGAGGCTTCTCGGATTGAGTCAGGGAACTAGCAATCAGGAGAGTCGATCACGAGAGGGAGTTGGGGTTAGTGAAAGTGATACAAACCAGTGATGGAAAGGCACCCAGATGGGTATTAAAAGCAAGTATACATCACACTGCCTCGCCACGGGGGAGTGTTGGAAGGTGGCGCAAGATGAAATTTCTGGGGTCCAGGGACTGTCAAGCCCTGTTCAAAGAATTGAGTAGCCTCGAGCAGATTGGGCTCTTTATGTACTTTGGACAGAGCAAATGCAACTCTAGGGCGTCTGACGATCGGCTGAAGCCCACCTTACAAGAGGTTGGCCCCACGCTAATGCGGTATTGCAGGGAAGGCAATCCTCTAGTTTTGCTCATGCAAAGGAGAAGAGGGCAAAGCCGCAGCGCATATCATGAAAGTGATTGGACAAGGCACATTGCCAGAATAAGAGCGATGTTCTTAGGTGGGCTGAGCTGCAGACACGGCATGATTTCCAGTGCTTCCATTTCGTATTCCAAAAAGGCCAGGATTACCCGACCAGCCAGTAATCTCTTGGACCTACTGTCACATAAGGTCAGGCGCGAGGGATAGAGCGGTTGTGCCTGTGCCACAAGCTAAACTTGTTCTCATCTCCAGCCCTTCCTGACTTAACCGCATGGCAACCCCCGCCCTTCTTGCGAGGCCCAGGGTTGATAACTGCCGGCGCGCCCGGGCAATCGCAAGCGCGACCGCCCGTAATGGCCCCAGATTCTTCGCCAACCTCTGTATAGACTTAGAATTCCATGACAGTTATCGCCATGCCTGGAACATACCCATGTAAGTGCTGCTCTGTTAACCGTCGGTTTGCATTGCAATATCCGCAACATGCAACATAGACAAGGAATTGACCGGCTTTCAGCCCCGAGGCCGACGGCACCACGCGAGCGTGGCAAATCGAGGAAAAATGACAAAAACTACAAAAAGGCCATGGGCCATGGCCACAATCAAAGTGGAACTATAAAAAGCCATGTATGCTCTCTGGCTTCATATGAAATTTACTTGGTGCTAAAGTGCGAAGTAGGCCCTCCAGATCGCGCTGAAGGGAACCAAACACTTGTTTCTCTTTCCCTTCTGGTTCAACCAAACGCCCAGGCAGCAGAAACCCTCTCTACCTTCGCCTCGGGATTACTACCCCCCAGAAAAGCGCCCACTTTCGCCTCAGTATTGGGATAGAGCGGACGTCAAACACCCTCAAATGCCTTTGGATGAGCCAGCTAAGAAGGAGGAGGCGTCGCATGAAAATCGCGAGGGCTTCCGACACACCGAATTGTGTGAGAGACTAACGGGTGCTAATCAGACCGTGCCTGCTACTAATCCAAGAAAGCGCGATGATCAGGAGGGTGTTTTGAAATATGATTTTATCTACGACATTCTCCTATTCACTTTCGACAAGCAATTGAGGCGACGCATGATCGTGGACTTTGAAACAGAAGCTAATTTCATGGACCACGATGTCTTCGAAAGAATGAATGTCCGCATGGACCCATATGATGGCCCGCCAACCCAACTTACCACTCGCGGGGAATTGACGCCCCTCGGTAAAGTGCAAGCAACATGGATTATTGTTGGCTACGAAACGCCATATTGTGCCGAATTCTACGTCGTTAAAGGTACCAGTTTCGATGTTATCCTCGGCACTACTTCATGTCGGGCTATCGATCTTTCCTCTGTGGATCCTATGATTGCCACACGACTCGATATTTGAAACAGACATAGCGACTACACTAATGTACCCATAGAATGGATCTGTTTTTGCTTGCTGGCGTTTACTGTATGTACATTTTCTGGGATAAAAGACTGGCTCTATCTCATACAATATGTTGGAGAACACAGGGACGGGCTGATTGGTTCGAAATCAAACTTTTCTACCTGGCAGTGTTGCTACCTACGTAATCCAGAGCTTAATAGAAGAGAGTGTGCTGGCCAGCCTGCAGGGCTGCCCTATGCGTTGAATGGCTTGTCAACGTAGACCGACTATCATGTGAATAAACCAGTCATAGAAGAACAAGTCATTCATGCGGGGTCCGTAAATGCAACTTTCTACCACACTTCTAGTGCGCACAGCAGAACACATGAATCACAACGTATTACAGGGACGAAACTCAAATATTGCTTCGCTGGAGCATATCAGGCTGTCGCTCTCATTTAGCCTTATTGAGATTGTCGAAGGGCTGCAAGTGTCATCAGCACACCAAGGGAGGAGGCCTCACGTCATATGCCATGCTCACCAGATAGTACCTAAATACATAATAAACATGACTCTGCAGCATATGATTGCAAGGATAGCCCAGAAGGGAGGCAGAAAGCCTCGTATGTTACGTGAAAAGCCTAGTGACGGAAGCCAAATATTACCCGAGGAGATAGTGTCATTTACGAGTCTGCCTTCCCTTTGCACTCTGCATAGAACTAGCTTCTAGTCATATTCTAAGGCTTCCGGAAGGCCGTGGGATGAGGGGTAGACGAGACACAGCCACACGGGACATGGGGGTTCGTAGATGTTTGTACACTAGGCTGAGAAGGTCGAGGCCCTACGAAATGAACAGAGTCGTATAAGTAGACATCGCTTTGATTCTCTCGCAATTTGAAAATGCACACAATATAATGAATATGACATATGAGAAAACATCATAAGCAAGAACAATGTCAACCGCTAACCTCCGTCCCGTCGAAGGATACGACAAACTCGCCGCGTTCATAGAAGCCGACCCTGGCCTAGCGATTTTCCGACGTTTCACAAAGCTTAATATTAAAAGTATTCTCTATTACCAAGCAGAGATAGCGAACCTCGAAGAGGAGCTCGAATTTCTCATTCAGGATGACAAGGACTCACAGGACGAGAAGAAGCAGCTGTATCCCTTCTCCGTACGGGACCTAAAAGAGGGAAATCCTACGCAATGGTCGAAATTTCAAGAAGCGCGGGATTTGATGGACAAGTTTAGTTAGTTTTCACCACCCATTCGAGGTACTTGGAAGAACCCAGGTCTGACTGAGTAGATCATGCTATCATTCAACAACGGGAGCTCATGCGCCTCAGCACGCCAGATAAATGTGACTTGAGCGTGCTTCGAGAGTGGCTTGACCGGCCTGAAGGGGGAAATATGTTCTTCGAAACAGCTGCCGAGATGGACGTCTACCACGAACGGAACGATGGCGACATGATCGCCCTGTTTAGCAGACATGAAGGTGTCGATAATCTGACTCGACTGATTTTCAATCGAGTCGTTCCTTGGTTTCATAAGCGCTGGGGTGAGAAATATGAAGTAAGGACTTTTCTTGGGTTATGTCTTCCATCAGAGAGCTAATAACTATTGAAACAGAGCAATGAAAATGGCGCCTGGCAGTATAGTGACAAGAAGATCAAGGCGTGCACCCACTTCTTCAGTGTCATTATAGCCGCGGTGCTGCCTGCATCGTCAATGATAGTATTATACTTCATAAAGAATACCGCTATCAGAATGGTCACCATCATGCTGTATAACATCGCCTTTTCCCTGGCACTGGGATTGATGGTCAGGGCTCGACGGGTTGAGATCTTTGCCGCGGCTACTGCGTAAGTTGTTATCTTTCCAATTTCCCCTCAATAGCATCAAAACCTTATCTCTCATCAAGACTTATCATGAGCATGCTGACCCTTCCAGGTTTGCTGCGGTGAACGTGGCTTTGATTTCGAACTCGGGGGACTGCCAATGTTCATGAATACGAATATAATTCGACAAATACTGGAATCATGTTTCCATAGAAGTTATTATAGATACCCAATAGACTCCAAATAGACGCCAATTCGAATACAGTGACCACTACCCCCCACGCCAACACCAACACATCCTTCGGTGAGCATCTACTCCACAACCAGAACCCCACGGTATCTCATCTTTCCGCCCTCCAGTGTTTTTATGGCATCGTTCACGCCATCCACGCTCAGAGGATACTTCATCAAGATAGGCTTCACACCATGAAGCGCCGCAAAGTCAAGCATGTCCCTATGCACCTGCCTCGCGGCAACAATGGATCCCTGCACACGCAATCCGTTCGCCAAAAGGCCCATATACGGGAACTTGAAGTCCTCGTTATCCACCGACAACGGCGAAATAACCGCTCCAGGAGCAAGGACATTAACGTAGAGCTTCCAGTCCGGCTGGCTACTCGTGCTAACAATCAAATTGTTCAATGGCTTCCCAATATTAAGCTCCTTCGCGCCCTTGGTGGCATAGAACTCCTTCGCACCCAGCTTCAGTGCCTCTTCTCTCTTATTATCACTCCCAGAGAAGACAACAACATCGCAGCCCATCTTCGCCGCAAATTGAATAGCCAAGTGTCCCAGTCCACCAATGCCAACAATTCCAACCCGCGAGGTCGGCTTAACACCACCCACATGCAATGCATTCCACACCGTCGAGCCACCACACATCAGCGGCGCGGAGTCCTCGTTGGAAATTCCATCAGGGATCTTGAACAAGAACGACTCGCGCCACACAGCATGCGTTGCAAATGACCCCTGGTCGAGATTCGCACTTCCGTACATCTGTCGCTCCGGGCACATTGTCTCCCAACCAGTTAGGCACTGAGCGCATCGACCGCAGCAGTCATGTTGGTAGCCCCAGCCGACGCGATCGCCTTTACGCAGTCCGTGGACTTCAGGGCCGATTTCTTCGACGACTCCGGCACCTTCGTGGCCTAGGGCCATGTCTGCGTGTTGGTAGTGGACATCGGTGAAGCAGACGCCGGAGTGGGTGAGGCGGACGAGGACTTGATCGCGCTGGAGGTCGTCGCGGTGGGTGGTGGCTTTCTGGATGGATCCATCTTTGGATCCTTTAAAGACGGTGAAATCGTAGCCCATGGTGTATGAAGATTCTGATTGGCGTATTAAAATATAGAATTGATTTACCTTGCAGGAATCTAATAATGTCTTCGTCTGCGAGGTCCCCAGGGATCCGATTTTATACTTAGGTTAAGCAAGGGGAAAACATTCTTCATGATGTCACCATCAATTCATGGTGGGGAACTCGAAGCCCCATTGAGCAATCATCGATGGAGGGTTGCAATGAGCTCAACATGTGGATACGAAGCTCTAGGTCAACTCCCGGTTGCTCCGGGGGTTCAATGGCAATTCTTTGTCGGATTTTACGGGGTACCTCATTCAACCTGGGCAGTGATGATGATACTTTGTAGCAATGCTTATCAATCTTAAAAGTGTCTTTGTCTTTACGCGAGGAGGAATTACCAAGTGAAGGGTTAGACTTTCGGCTTCCGCGGATGTCTGTGATGGCTATCGTTGGGTTGCGATGCCGTCATGCCGCGGCTTCTGGACTCTTGGTCAGGAAGGTTGCGATGGCCGAATGTCTATCGGTCGCATTGCACGTGGAATTGAACAAGTTATGTCTACGGAGATACAGCCGGGAAAAATGAGGCGCGAAATTGAGAGGCGATTATGATAGGGACTTCCATCGACCTCCGAGTTTCCTAATCGGGACAAACCCTACCATACAAGTCTATCAAAACAACAAAAGCATCATACATAAAAATGCCTTACACCTCCTTCTGCGGCCTCTTCCAAGCTTCCACCTCACACCCGCCCCTTATAACCGCCACCCTCATCATCGACAGCAGATTATGCGCCGCATTCGAATGATAGTACACACCCCCATTAAACATAGCGGTCGCATCCTTCCCAACACCAGCCTGAATCATCGCCTTCCCACCAGGGTGTTCCTTCACAAAGTCTTCAACATCGTGCACAACCCCAGCAACAACGATTAACGCCCTGCTCTTCGCCCTCTCCACAAACTCCTCCCACTCCATAACCGGTAACTCACTCAACGGGGTCCCCCAATCCAACTCAGCCCGTCTCCTATCGACCTTCTTCTGCAACTGCTGCACCCTCCCCTTCTCAATCTCATTCTCACGAAACATCTTCAAATCACGGGCCAATCCAACCTGTCCCCAGCACCAAATAGCCCACTTAGTCGGATCATACTGATACCACCGAATTGCATTGCGATAATCAGACGGAAACTCATGATGGAAATTATGATATCCCTCACCCATCGTGGCCAACGCCGTGACGACATGATCACGGGGTGAATTGCGATCATCGAACGGCTGTTCGCCGAGCCAATGGGCCAGGGAGTTCACACAGAAAGTAGCCTGCTGCACGAAGAAGATCCGCAGGATGCCTGCATACACGAACCCACCCCACCAGTCGTCCCATAGCCCGGCGACGACCATCGGGACGACAAGGCCCATGAGGATAACGATCTTCAAGAAATGTCGATGCTGCCAGACAACCACGGGGTCGGCGTTGAGATCGGAGATGTCGGTCCGGCCGAACCGCTTCGGATTCTGCTTTAGTATCATCCAGCCGAAGTGCGCGTAGAAGATCCCCTTGTGTACGGAGTAGGGGTCTCGTTCCGTGTCTGTGTACCGGTGGTGCGAGCGGTGCAGGCGTGCCCACCAGCGCGCGGAGCCTTGGACGGAGCCTCCGGCGGCGAGGGCCAGGGTGATGCGGAGCGGGAGAGTTGCTGTATAGGATCTGTGGGCCCAGAGGCGGTGGTATCCTGTTTGATATGGTGGGTTAGGAGGGAGGATGCGGGATGGGGGTTGAGATGTGGTGATGGGACGGACCTGCTGTGACGCCTAAGGCTGTAAAGAAGTAGTAGGCTACTGCCCAGATGGCTGTTTTGAGTCGTAGAGGGGTCCAGAGGGCTTGGATGCAGCCGTAGAGGGGGATGAGGACGATCATGGTCACGTTCAGCCAGTTGACATGTTTGTGCCAGTTCCGGAGAGTGATGGGGGTATCGGCAATGTGAATTTTGGAGACATGTCTGTCACGAGGAGGGGCTATATCGGTCTCGCCTGGCATTGTAACTGGCTGGCTTTGGACCGTATGGTGCTCTGTAATTAGGAATGTTTATGATGGAAGCTGCGCGCTCTCTACTATATATGAGAGGGACAGATAGCCGTACGAGCAGACCGTTGAGCCAAAAGCCCAGCGTTAAGCCCGAGGCGTGGCGTCAATTCCCGCTACTGACAAGTTGACCAACGTCAGGAAAGTGATGAGTCGTAGTATGACAGTAGCAGCAGCGAGTGGTTGGGATTGGAAGTGACAATATCCCTCCCCAATGGGGGCCAATGGGGTTATTCTACGGAATCACCCGTACAGGGAACAAGGGTTTACGGGTGATTTATGGCTAGAAAGATTTGATGCAATGCTGTTGAGCAGAGGACTCAGAGGAGGTTCTGCGCTGGTAGCAGGGTATAGGGTTCGATTCATCTGCTAACCGTTGGGACCCCAACCAGTCTCCCCTGGTAATGATGTGGAGTTCAAATATTTGGTTTAATTAGTGGGAAGAGGGGTCGAAGGATTCGTTCAATGGAATTGACTTGACAGTCAGCTTATTGGGACCTATGACGGCATGGAGAAATATGCCCTGATTGGGAGATGGGCAATTCTAGAGCAACATAGACAGTTTTGCGAGGTTTTTCTCTATTCATGTAGTGAAATCGAGATTGTGTTTGGTGTGGTGAATTGGTGATAAGGCGGCGGGAGGTATCATCCGCCGGTCGGCCTTTCCAATCGCGATCAAATAATCAAAAATCACTATACTAAAAATAGTCATTACCGAGATTAAATAGACACTCAACAACTTTACAATGAAAGCACTCACTAGCATCGATGTGCTGCTGACGGACTTTTTTCAATTTATTATGTTGTTCTACTTTGTGTATTCTTGGGTTATTGTAAAATGGACTTCTGCCCGACAGGCTAGTTGTTTCCTGCACGAATTGCAACATAGAATTGAAATAGTATGACAGTGCTTTATTCTTGCCCAACCCAACAGCAGGCCGAAACGCACAATGAAGTAGGCTTTGAACAAGACATTCTTTCCACTGCAATGCGCTAAAGCCACACATGACAGTGAGACAACCGCATAAAGCGTGGACTTCCATAGAACACTTCATTTTCAGACCAAAGTTTTCATCTTCGCAAGGCTCTTGGCAGAACATATGCCATCTGTGCTATCATCGAGTACGCCCTAGCACTTCAGCCCTAGAGACGACGATAAGAGACACGCGAACCCACCGGAGAAAACAGTGACGGATGTCACCTGGTCACTAAGTAGTAGAGCCTGACATTCCAGCCAAACAGTCTTGCCGGATATTTCCTATCTTAGCCAGCACACATCGCGTTCTTTCGGTAGCTCCGACGTATCCTATACATGTATGGCTCAGCTAGATTGCCGGGGGCTTCCTTTGAACTGTTAAATCTCCCTCCATGGCTATTCCTATATGAAGGCCATACCTGCCGCGGGGGCCTCAAAAACATATCCATGATCCCAGTCACAAAGTACAGTACCGGACCTATCAGTTATTTCCTCATCGCTTCATCGCCATTGAAGTCCGAACCATGAACGAAGATGCCGTGCTCGATACTCCCCTATGGGACGACACATGGCTTCCAGTCCCAAAATTAGACATCGAGCCAAACGGACCCCTAAAATTGCTCAACATCATCCTGGATCCCAAAGATCCTTGTAATGAACACAAACTCATCTCGACGCATGACCCGAACATTGCCTTCAACATCACCGAGTTCGAGTATCCAAACATGGACAATACAGAGCGCCTTCTCACCAGGGGTGTTAGTAACGCCCAATATCCTGGGATTTATGGACGCGGCGACGCCGTCAGTCTCGACTGCTTCTGCAAGTCTCTCAAGAAAACAACCGTCAATAATGAGTCCGTACTCGAGAGTATTCTGACAAGAGCTACAGAGCCAAGAGTTAGGGAAGCCCTCAGAGACATTCGTCTTAACCCTGCGCCCAGGCCTATTTATATCATCACCGGTATTAAGGTCGCTACTGGGGAACTATGGATAGCGTGTGGCGTCAGTGGCCGGAGAAAAGGGCATGTATGGGTCATGATAATCATCCTGAAGGAGAAGTGCGTTTCATGGAAGAGAGAATAAGAGTGCCGCCCAGTGCTTGTAGGGCTGATCACTTTGAGTGGAAGGATCCTATTATATTAGCTTATCAGGTGAAAGATATTGCGGCAAAACCAGGAAGTAGGACGTTGGAAGTACGCGAGCATACTGAGTATGTGGGGTTCAGAACTGTAGTCGATCTGCTGCAAAATATGGGTCGAGCGGAGGCGCCTCTTGTTGAGACGGAATGAGCTAGGGATTACGCGTTGTTGGTGTGGTTAACATGGGTGTTATCTTATAAATGCTGATCGGTTAGGTTAACTGAAATGCAAGAATAGTATATATCATGGGCTTGCTTGGCGGATGTGCTGAGGTAAAGCCTGGGGGTGGCTTTTGCAGGATAAAGTCTAGAATGGGCAGTCTTCCTATGATATTGTTCTTGAAACGTACGCTACTTTTAGTAAGGGTGTGGAACATGATGCCGTCACCAATTTCGATAAGAAGACATAGGGTGAAGCTGGATGAGGGAATACATGCCACTGATGCAGCATCACAAAAGAGAAAGGCGAAGAAAGTAAAGGCCAAAGAATGCGAGCTTACACAAACCACATCTTAGTACATTTGTTCTCATCCCAGACACACCCTGACATGATCCCATGGATGTATGCTTCGCCAACAAGAGACCAATGTCCTTGCGAGTCCTTCGCTTCTCTGGCTATCAGAGGTACTTTGGCCCCTTTGCAGAGCGTTATCGCATCACCTTTTCGAGCGGACGCAGGGGAAAGCCCAATGTATCCCATCGATGTCCGAATGACATGTCGATTCCACACATAGGAAAAATTAGGATTTGATGTAAAATCTCCAATACGCAATAGCCCCGAAAAGTCACGCTTTGTCATCATCGCTCGAACAAGAAGCACAGCAAGATTGTGTGGTGTTAGGAACAAGATCCATGGCCAAGCTGGCAGTCCCCAGGACTGGAGTATTTTGGCACCATCTTTAGAGATCATATCAAACCTCTGGAACTGCTTTTTCTGACTCTCATGGTTCTCTGGTGTGACATGACCAGCAAGGAGGGTCTGCCAATAGGCGTCCAACATGTCTCCTCCGCCCACATATTTGGCTTTTACACGGGCTTTGGTAATCTCTTCCCATCTGAGGCAACATTGTAAGAATCCCACCATGGTTTTCATTCGTTTTCTGTATTGTTTGTAGTGCTGGAATGTCCACGTGTTTGGTGGTCGTCGGTCTGCGGTGTCGCTTACTTCCTCGATCCGATCGAACACAAAGCCTTCTACGCCCATCACAGTATCCTGGTGTTGGAACTCAATGCTTCCTGTTGTTTTGGTATCTTTCGAGGCCCGGAAGTGGTGCTGATCCAATAGCAAGCAGCCTGGGCGTTGGCTTGCGGCCCAATCTGGAATCCAAGATGGCCAGTCATTTCGGCCTTCCACGTTACCAACGGGACCACTCAGAAGGTCCAGGTTCCCAGATCTTCTGAGCATATTCACTGAGAGCTTCTTGCAAACCTCTCTGTATATAGTTTCCGATTTGATCTTTCTTTCTGCATCACTCCACTTGGGGTTTCGCTCTGGGTAGTCAAAGCTCTGCAGCTCTACATCTTGGAGTTCGGACTCGTCGACAAGGCCGCAAAAGGCATAGATTCTGTCAACTAACACTGTAGCATCACAATTGTTGTTGCGAAGGAGAATATTCAACAGAGTCGACTTTCCAGCGGGCACCTCTTGTCGAAGCTTCTCGACCACAGCCATGTGACTGGGGAGCGGAACCCCAGCGAGAGGTCTGATTGGAATGGAAGGAACAAAGTTCAGCGCGCGAACGAGCTCGCTCCAGGGTATTGAATAGCCACCACAGACAATGCGGACATCTGGTGGCAATGTTGCTTCTTGCACCACCCATGCGCGTGTGAACCATGCCCGCTGGGTGAGCGCCGTGAGTGCTTTCCAACATTGACATATTGTCCATTTTACTCCGACGTCGTCCAACTGTATCATTGTCATGAAACTCGGTGTCCCTTGACCACTTCTCGGACCCCCATCGCTACCATTCAAGAGATCGTGCTTATCTCCCAGGTTCTCTTGGTGATATGCCACACTGCAAAGCCAGTACGCTGCCACGAACGAACGCCCTTTCAGTAAGCTCTGTGGGTTCTCCAAGCCAAATGATTCCCTTAGCACACCTTCTATAGATATCACCCATGAGCTTAAGCTGATGAGACTTCTCTTGTGGGTCATCTTGATTGATACAGATGCGGTCAGCCCATATAAATCGCGATCTTCCCTTGAACTGGCTGAAAACATCACCAGGGTCTTTCCTCACCACGCCATCGCGGTTATCATTCACATCGATGAAAGTGCCGTGGTATCTACGTACTGTCGCATTGCAGGATGGGTACCGCAGCCATTTAAAGGCGTCATAGAGGCTTTCACCAATGTCGAGGGGGGCATTTCCAACTTTGATCCGTGCATCTCCTGCTTTCGTTCTACCTTTCCTCTTTGAGTATCCTTCATACGGATCTCCCCACGTATAAGAAATGGCTTCATACGGAGGACAATCATCGAGAGAGTGGATATGGATGTCACACCGAATCTCCTCGTCACCCCCTCCAGAATGTAATTCAAGGAGGCGAATTTGCCTCTCTGCAAGTGGGCTGAAATGGACCATCGGGAAGTCACTATCAGCCAAGCAAAATATAGCGAAGTGGTAAATATTAGAGATGAGACTTTTTGATATATCTCAGGATTATAACCTTACTAGAAGGCCTGATGTCCACCATGCACCGAACTGGTTGAAGAAAGCTGATGCATGCCGCTCCATTAGGAACGATCGGCATATTAATCCATTTAACCAGCTGTCGCACATGGTGCAAGGGGTACGTATGGTACTTCTGCCTTTATCCTTGCCCTCGAGTATTGTTCAAATGCGCAGCTGCCTGATACTAAAAGAGACAACTTTCATTGGTAGATTTTCTCAGTGCGGTCTGATTGGGATTGGTGAATTGAGTTGGTGGGCCAAGAGGCGCTCTGCTGATGCTCAGAAGAAGATCATTGGCTAGGAGTGGTATAGTCACTATTATTCTGTGGCCAGACTGCCAGACTGATATGCTAGCAAACGACAAAGAGGATAGAACCACTCATAGTTGCGCACTAAATAGAACGTTGTCATAAATGAATAAATTTAGCAAGTATAATTTTTTTCTATTCTTTCTCCCCTTTTTTGGGCCGAAAGGTCGTCACTTTTGGAGCGCTCTGTACCACTGATCAAGTAGCTGAGCAGCTTCTACAGTATCTCTTACACCTGACCGACGCAATACCTGGCACATGTCCAGTATACCCAAGTACTATGACACCACCATTTATTTCACAAGCATATTCATCTCCGCGACGCTGGTACTGTCTCATGCGTTTCCCTTTGCGAGAGACTCAATTACTACTGCAACAACACCGGAAAGGACAAGACTGCCCCCCTTTATTTCTTCGTAATTCATATCACAACCCTGCCATGTACATATGTATAGAAACAGTGGTGGATGACAGGGCAGTATGCACGCCTGTGGGGCTGGGCCCAAAAGGACCTCCATCGCTGGCCACGTATGCTGCCACCTACGTGGCCATGATATATACCAGTAGCTCTGGTTTGTGGACAGCCGTGCCATTTTCCGCGGCTTCTTCTACCCCGAGCTGGTCGGGTAAGGCATATTCCGTATTTTCTGCTTCCCGGGTCACTGAACAGACGGGCTGGTTCCTCACTCAGCCACGACACACTTATTGATATATCTATTTGAAGAGAAATTTTTCTATTTTATCGATTGCTGGATATTTCCGCGGGATGAATCAGATTCATAATGTTTTTCTATGGCAATAACTATCTTAAGTTGGTTGCAAAGGGGACATGATGAGATTCTATTTGTGAATTCCACTTGAAGGCTAACGTTGCAAACTAATATACAGTCAATATTGGCGATTGCCACTCTTTGTACCCAAATCTCAAGCAGGGTAAGAAGTGGAGCGTTTGTCAAACATGTAATTCAATCATATTAGCAGCTATAGGTGCATCATTTCCGATGAGATCATCACCGTGCATTAGTCGCCGGGCCACTCGGACTTGTTGTCCATTTGTCCAAGTAGAGTCTCATTTGCGGCGACACAGCCTTTGGAGAATCCTGGTCTGCAAGCTTACGGATCTCAAGAGGCCCAAAAGAGCTGCGGCAAACTTCAAGTCTAGACGGCGATGCGCGGGCATACCCAGTAAGATTGTTGAGAAGACCCGCCAGCCGCGAAAGATGATCTTTATTATCACGCTCCCAGTTCAAGAGTTCATCCTTCATGTCTGATACGCGCACGCTCTTCATGACCCCTTCCTTGTGATATGCCACTGCGACGTTTGAGACTTGTGATGCCCAGAGTCGAGGGAAGACAGTGTTTAGATGGAGCTTTCGAAGCTGGCCATGGTGATTGTACATGGACCGTAAATCGGTGTGGAGGATTTCGTTCTGAGCAACTGGCTTGCCGCCTTCATGTACCTGCAACCCGCTGATGCCTTCAGTAAGGCTGCTGGTGTTAGCCGTGTCGGTGTTGGTGGATGCACTTCCACCTTCAAAGTTCAACACCTGGTTTGGAATATAGGCATCTGACGCAGAGCGAACGACCATATTGATGCCTGCGAAATTATACCGAACAATGCGCTGATGGGCCTTGTATTCAGCGGCTATGTCTTCCCACTTAGTGTATCTCTTCGTGAACTCAGTCTCGTATTTATGTTGAATATCAGACTCAGGCAACCAAACCGGCGCGGGAACTTCTCGTCGAACAAACACGACCGTCTTGCCGATGCGCTCCATGATAAAGCGGATCTCTGAGGTTAGACCACCGATAAATTCGAAGAGATTTCTAAGGGTGGCCGAGCAGGTCACGATGTCGGTACGTTTAAGATCATACTTCGAATCCTGCCGCCGGATGGCTTCAAAAGATGCCTCCCAGGGATGAGCAAGTTCGTTGATGGGCTTTGGGTTGGCCCATTTTGGATAGCCCGTCTCCTTGAGCTTCAGAGACTTCTTTACTGGAGTCCAAAGGGGAGGTCGACCTAAGATCCAGTGAGTTTTAGATCTTCCAGAGGCAGTGTGGCAGTAGAGAACAAAAGTCTACCTGGGATCAAGATTGATGACTCCGCTGGATCCAACCGTGTGTAGGATGCCAGGTAATTGCAGGAAGTGATGCATGGGCTTTTTTGTGACGGTTTCACCCTGTCCGATTCGAATTTGGCTAGCACCGGGCCTTTTGGTGGAGAGAGTGACTCGAGAATAACCTCCGCTCCTCTTGGGTGATTCCACGCCTTTTTACGGCGGAGCATTCTTCCGTGCACTGGCCTGTACATATTTGTAGGAGGGGTTTTATAGTGTGAGTAGAGTACTTACCATAAGGTTGCTGGTATGAGGCAAGCTGGATCATTTAGAGAAGACAGGTGGATCCGGTTGGTCACCTTCCCCGACCGGGGCGGGGTTCCCAGCCTCCCCTTTAAACTCTCCTCCACAACAACTACTCCGGATATCCACAACTTTAGTTTTAACCACTCTATAGCATACTATTTCACACTCACTCCGCTCAACATGGAAAAAAGGAGATAAAAAGTTGAACTAAATAATAGAATGAGAAAAAAAAATAAAAAGGAACCAGGGAGGGAGACAGAGAGAAATTGGATGTTCCATAAATAGACTATCATAAATACATCATCCAGTAACAGTACTCCATTCAGAGCATGAACAGTCCAATAGGATATAGTAGCTAGGCGCTGTCGCTAGTAGTATACATGAGCTGATCGGTGGAATCTATAAGCGCCTTCAAGTGCACCCCGACGACAATTCTATTGGTACTCGGCGGCACAGCCTTACACAACAAGTTGAGCTATACATAAGAGTGAAACAAAACTACGCGCTGCAAGTGTTCGTTGAGCTGAGATACCTAGTCGGCGGAAAAAATCGACTATTGATTGGAAGATATATGCGCCGCAGTATGACCTGTCCCGTTTATTGACTCTGACTTGCTGAAAGCCTAAGCGCCCTATACAACGTGCTGATGCGTCCTTGGTTTCATTGAACGTGGTAGGAGTTCGTGGGCGTCTATTGATGATGTCGACCAAGGCATATAAGGAGGCGTTGTTTCGCCCGTTAGGTATTATTTTTCGGAGCAAATTCAGGAATCAATCTATCTCTCGATATTGACAGATCTTACAATACCGGCCAGCCAACTTACCTATAACTTATTACTTTTCCATTCTACTTATCCGCCACTCACAATGCATCAGAGAACATATACATACGTCCTCGCGCCTAGATGGGACTTCCGTCCCGATGGTCCCATCGCTCTCGGAAACATTATCGTCGATCCATTTAGACCGCACCGGGTCCTAACAAGACCCGACCCAGACATCCCGACCGCTCCCATCGAAACGGTGGTCGAAACCGACTGGTCGCTACATCACCAAAGGGAGAATGGTGTCAAATCAAGCATCTGGACCCACTTCCTCAACGCCATGGGCGTCGATCTCGGATTTGAGGGCAGCAGGTCCCTTGATGCCGACTACACCGTCGACTCCCTAACAACCAGCTATTTCAGGGACGAGCCCTCCCACGAAGAGATCATTCGGCGCACTCAAGACGGCAAGATCCGGGATCTGATGCGCTTGGACAGTGTGTTTTCCAAGCCCGTCTATATGATCACTGGCGTCAAGATTGCAAAGGGATTCCGTCAATCTGAAAGCCGTTCCAGCTCCAAGGAAGCAAATGCTGGGGCCAAAGCCGGTACATCGGGAACGGTTATTGGCGATGTCACTGTTGGCACAGATAATAAGATCTATTCGAAGGAGTCCGACAAGCATCAGGGAAAGACCGAGAATGATATAGTGTTCGCCTTCCAGCTCATGAAGATCGTGCCGAAGGGGTGGAAGCACAAGTCCTTCGATGTGGAGGACTTCTACCCCAAGGCTGCTCTGCTGCTGGGCGATGAAGAAGAAGAAACTGAGACCGAACTCGACGTGTCTTATGCCACGGCGGCGGACTTCGCTGATTCTGACCTGGATATCCAGTTCAATATGACTGAGCTTAATGATAGCCAGGGTGCGTTCAAATGTGTTTCTGCCGTGGCGTAAGCTAGGATGCGCGCAAATGAATGGCTCTTGTATACTTTGTTCTGATTGGCGTTTCCTCTCTGCTGTTAATGTGCTTTTCATTCATTGATTCGTCCGTTTTGCCAACGTCTCTAAATCTATTATACAGTATATAAAGTAGACTACCAAATAACATACATGTTCGTTACCTTTCATAAGCGAAAATTGAGACAAATATTGTCGCTTGCTCCTGATCTACATAACAAACTCCAAGTAATTCGGCTACCTAAGTTCACAGCACCAGACTTTATATACCCATTAACACCGCCCAACAGACTGATAAATCTCCAACGGATTAAATCCCACCCTCTGCTGCAAAAGATTCAAAATCGGCTTAAACAACACCCTCCCCTCATACTCCTCTATCTTTCCTAGACGCTCTGCTTCCCGCTGCCTCTCAATAGTCACCTTCATTTCATCCCAAGTGACCCACTCCCAGCGAACACACTTCTCAGGCTCCATGACCTTCAATCCACCATCAGTAATCAATAGTCCCTCGAGTAACACCAGCAGATTACTCCAAAAATCAAAACAAAAGAGGGCAATAAACAAACGTACCACCGGCTCCGCATCCTCATCCACAAGCCTACAGCCCACAAAAATCGTAACATAATGCTTTCCTCCCTCCATATTGGCATTGTTGATCGCCGTAAGGAAGCGTATATCAGTTACTTCGAGGCCTGTCTCCTCTAGAACCTCTCGAGCTGCACAGTCTTCAAAACTCTCGTTGAATTCGAGGTGGCCGCCGGGATGACCCCATGTTCCTTGAGACAAATTAGAGCCATGTCTCAAGTACAAGATGTTACTGAAGCGAATCAATGGGCGAAAGGTAAGACTTACCGGCGCCGAGACTCCCCTTGCGTCGGCCGAGAATGGTCTGGCCGTGTTTGTTGAAGACGTAGACGGCCACAGCGACGCGAATTGTTTGGTCCATGGCAGTGGTACTAACGAAGCGATCAGTAGGGTATAATTGATCGATAATTAAGTGGTTGTTACAAAGAGTGTCCTGCTCATTTAGGTTGAGGAATCTGATTTACATGCGGAAGGAGAAGCAGTCCGTGGGACAGAATTGGATGCGGGCGGTGACTGGCGATAACGATTGCGGATAGACTCGATTCGCCAAGAAAAGCTACTTGATTGATAAGATGTGCGATATTGGGTTTACGTGTTGATCCATGGTTAATATAGCCATTTACCACAACTGTGCAACCGAAAACTTCTAATCAGACTGGGTTTCCTACTGCGGTCATAGACGAAACTATGCACATCGATTTCTCTGGTTCTTCCCCCCTCTTTAATGCACACTGCACTAGCCTGAGAGATCACGGGTTCCTCCAAAGAAGCCTTGCCATCAAATCATCGTCTTGTATGATGTACATCGCGGAATTCAAAGTATGTGTCAAAATAGTGTATCAGGTCTTGAAGAACCATATTGTAACGAGCAGAAAAATTTCACCAAACGCAGGCCTGAATATCGAGGAATCGCGAGGACTTTCACTTCTACCCGAGTCTATTCGCTTCTTCTAGTGATCCTCTCTCTCCGAAGGTAAGCCCGAAGGTAATAGAACCCCATGCCGATGATCCAGACCGAAATAAGAATTACCGCTTGCAGAGGTGCAAAGACGGCTCCTCTCACCACCACAAAGCCACTGACGAGGGCAAAAACCAGCGGAATAGCGATGAAGGGCTTGTAAGGGCGATGAAGATCAGGCTGTCGGAATCGCAGAAGGATGGCACCTAAGACGGTCAAGAAGAAGAACGAGTACTCTCCCAAACCATTGAAGGTGAGTAGAGCGCGAAAGTTTCCGAACAGCAGGTACGGGATTGGCAATAGGGTGGCCAGAATTGTGGCATTAATGGGCGCGTCCGATCGGGGAGCTGACTGAGAAGGAGGCTCCGGGTCAGGAGGCATTCCTACGTGTCCAAGCACACCCAGGAACCGAGGGAACCAATCCAGCTTCGATGCCGCGACAATCATGCGACCGGCCACAAAAGAGTTTCCGAGCAGGGAGCCGGCGACCACGAGGCAGATCACTATGGCAGCTAGGATACCAAACGCTGGTCCTAGGAGATGGGTGATTGCGGTCTGTATGTCATTAGCGTATGTCATCATTGGGAGGGTGCTGGACGTACGACGGCCACGCTGTCAGTGGTCGAAACGATCTTCCATGGAAGAAGGATGTAGTACGCGGCATTAGCGGCAAGGAAGCAGAGGATTATGATGGGAAGGGCAGTGTTTATAGCCAATGGAAGCTGACGAGCAGGAGCAGAGAGCTCTGCGCTAACGTAGATTGCCTGTCAAAAAATGGTGAGCATTTTCACAGACACTTTGTAGGGGCTATATGCCTACCTTATCCCAGCCCGAATAAGCCCAGAGAGCACCATAGAGCGCGGTAGAATAGTAACCTAGTGATTCCCACCCGTGCATAGAGCTCCAGTCGATCTCCCGACCGTCCGGGGTCCAGGTGTTCCTAGATCCAAACCAAGAGTGCTTGAGCCAGTCATTTGACCCAGCATCGCGGTTGATTCCCGAGACTTGCAGGATGACGACAACTAAACCAGCCACCACAATTGCGGCAATGGCGATGAATTTGGTCGTGACTGAAAACCCATTCAATCGGGTGCTGACCTTGGTACTGATGGAGTTGGCCAGACCGATCACCAACAATACAAGAATGGAGAGCAGCTTATGCGGAAGGCTTCCAGCCTGATCGGTGACACCAGCCGCGGAGAAGATGCTTTCAATAAACACGATGCTCAAAATGGCCAGGGTTGCAGGCATCACGGCGATGATCCAAGTCCAAGCAGCAAGAAATCCAAAGACATCTCCGTAGATGTATCGAAGATATGGTTGCACGCCTCCTATTTTACAGTCAATTCAGTCGATATACCTGATGGCAATAGAGTGAACCAACCTTCGCCCGGAATAGCAGTGCCTAGCTCGGCCATAGTGCTAGCACCGGTCCAGGCCAGAATACCTCCGACCAGCCACACGATAAGCGCGACTCCTGGAGATGGAACATTTGTGTCGATGGAACCTGGAGAAGTGAAGATCCCACTACCGATCACAATGCTGATGACGATGCCGAAGGCCTCGATGGCTCCGAGATTGCGGGTGAACTTTGGGTCCAATGCGGAAGTGGACTCCGCTCCGGGTTCGGTGCCATCGGTCCCTCTGGAATCGGCCAGGAGCGGGCGGCGAACACCCTCCTCTTCCGACTGATCGTGCGGAGACATGGAGGGCAATTGATGACAGTTGTTCAGGTTAATGAGTGGACGTTAATGACACTGAAGGGATGGGAAAGAGGGGAAGAGACCGGCAGGATCAAAGCGAATCACGCCATCGGCTGGCGCGAACGTTTCATGCACGTCTGGCTTGATCACTTGCAGGGAGAGGAAGAAGCTGCCTCTCTCAGGGCGGTGACTCCGATAACATTGGTGCATTCACAACATTCCCACGTGACTTCTCCTTATCTGCCTCTGAAAATGAATGCATTTTGTCGCAAGGAATATATGAAAAACATTCAAAAGCATACCTCTGGTTAAGTGTACTTGCTTTGAAACTATTCCAGTGGGTGTTATATCCACGCTTTCGGGTTGAACCATTAGCGTGCGGACCGCTCAATCGCCCATACTAAGAGTTTGCAACAACTAAGGAGGGAGGGAGTAGGAAACTCAGCATAGAATATGTAATATACTAATTTCCTAACCATTATCATTGGCGCAAAAATAATTCAAATACAACCACTCGCACCATACTCCTGAATTAGAAAACTACAAAGGTACCAAAGGTGTCCTGCCTAACGCGAGCAAAGTATCCCAGCCCTGCCATACATACCCTTCAGTTTCTCATCTGTAATTCAAATTATTTTGTGACCATAAGAGCACACCAGTGCATCCAATACATTGTCGAAAGGATAGAGAGTGTGCACAATGCCACTCATAGCACAATTCACGCAACCATACAAAGCAAAAAGTGATGGACACTCGCTTAGGATTCTAGCGTGAATACATTCACTTCACGCCAAATATACACGATGAAAAGCAACGCTACTCATCTCAGCATGATCTCTCATCCAATACCTACTGCACGTATCGCAAGCTGTCAAACATGCAGACCGATCAGCCACCCGAGATGCCACCCAACCCGAATGATGAATCCCGCACCCTAAAAAGCGTCAGAAAGATAATGGAGAGGCTAGAAGGTCGAAACGTCCTCAACTTCATATCCCCTTCTTTTTGCGATGCAAACAACATAGTTCTGCTGCCCCTGGATCTCGAGGCCAAACACCATGGAAAGGGTAAATCTTCAACTACTCCCCTCCTCTTCGAACCTCTTCCAATCGAAGCTTTGCACACCTATCCCATCGACCCTCACCCCTACACCACGATAGACAAGCGTGAAGACTCCTGCTACACTATTAAAGACTACGCAACTATCAAGAAAGACTCGTGCGAGTCATATCCGCCCTTCCGCTTGAAAGAAATTGCCATCAAGCTAGAAAGATGGATCCATCTCGCTCCACGAACTCATCGCTACTATGCTGTGCCCGCTACTTTGACGCATATTGGGATCTGGTATCCGTCCATGTGAGTACTTTGTACTAGCCCAATAATACATTCAAATAATCCCATGGCTCTAATCTGTTTATGAATGCACCAGCACAACCGACAAATTGTACGCCCAGACATCCAACATTTATGACAAGCTCGGACAATATCTGTACACGGTGAATCGCTTTTTCGAATGTATAGATGATAGGTACCCGTATATCGTCATGATCACTCAACATTGGTGCCAAGAACGATGTCCTGAGGACTCTATGATGCGATTTGAGCTGCTGGGCATACTTCAGACGATGCGCACCCGTCTGGAGCAAGATGAAATAGATTCGGAAGGGATGGTGCCTGTATGTTTCTAAACCCCCTGTGATAGATATTGAATTTGCTGATCACTGACACCGATGATAGGTCCTCATGGTTTCGTTTATGATACCGTCGCATGCTCGGATTCTGCAGGCTCATATGCACAATGGGAAGTTGGTTGTGGCGCACAGCCGCATTTATAGCTTCGAAACTATGCGTGAGGCGCCGATGGATCTGTTCACAAGATGGTTGCTTTCGACTCCTGTTGGGTTTTTTAAGGAAACTGATACGGACGACCAGTACCCTTGAATTGAATTGATGGATATGAAGGACAAGTGGAAGGCGATGGTGGTAAATAGGAGAAGTTGAGCGGGAACCGAGGAGGCCTATCTCGCAGGGAAATTCGGGATGGGTTGCTTGCAAGATCGGTCTTCCAGATTAGCTTTATGATTTAAAAGTGGATTATCAAGCGTATTCAATAACATTGAAACACTAGCCGGTCTGAGTAAGTCATTTTCTGTGTAGACTGTATATTGATACAGATCCAACTTGCCCCATGGAAATAGCATTATGTGATACGAGACGAAAGCTGAACCTGGGAAGAATGAGCGCAGAGAGCCGATAAATAGTCGGAGGAAGAAGGTCCATAATTACATCTAAATGGGTAATGTCAAGAAAGCAAGACCGATAATCGATTTTGAACACATGGTGGCCACTCATGTTTACGGAGTTTCTAAAGTCAGTCATTTATATCAACTAACACAAAATAACAGGCAGAAAGAGATAATCTTCTTATTAAGGTGGCAGTAAAGCCTATAATATCATCAAGAGCAATTATTCAGATAAAATTTTGAATACCTCAAGCATCCGCAAGGAGGTTTCCGTTCATATACTTCAGGCCCGTATCCACGGCGACGGTAACCACCGTCTTGCCCGGACCCAGTTCTTTGGCAAGCGCAATGGCCGCGACAACATTAAGACCAGTCGATGTTCCAACCAGTAAACCTTCCTCACGAGCCAACCGCCTGCACATAGCACGACCTTCTGCCTCTGAGATTCCTCGTGCTTCATCATACAGCTTAGAGTCCAGATGTGGCGGCACAAAACCAATACCGATTCCCTCGACGCTATGGGATCCAGTGCGCCCTTCAGTAATGACAGGAGAAGAAGCCGGTTCGAGGACTACAACTCGCGTATCCGGCCACTTTGACTTCAGAACGCGTGATACTCCCATAACCATGCCGGCACCTCCAACTGTACCGCAGAAGGCATCAATACCACCCGGGAACTGTGCTGCCAATTCCTCCCCAAGAGTTTCATAACCAGGCAGGGCATCACCATTATTGAACTGATCAGCAAGGTAATGGCCATCTTCTTGTGCGATCTCTCGCGCACGACGCACCATGGAGGGAATAAGATCCGCCGTGATTGCTCCAGTCTCGCTATGGACAATCTCAAGGGTGGCGCCCAGTGCGCTCATAGTGCGCAGCTTCTCAACTGCAAAGGCATTCGATGAAACCACTCGAAACCGGTAACCCTTCACTGAACAGATGAAGGCAAGGGAAGAGCCAGTGCTGCCACCAGTAGCTTCGACGACTGTCATACCAGGCTTCAGCGTGCCACGACGCTCGGCTTCTTCAATGATGGATCTAGCCATGCGGTCTTTGTATGAGCCTGTTGGATTGAGGGATTCAAGTTTCAGGTAGACATTTGCGTGATCTGCTGGGACGACATTGCGGAGGCGAACAACTGGAGTGTTCCCAATTGCGTCCAGTCCTGAGTCCACGGGAGGAGGCGGAGAAGGCATGATTCTGTGCTATGAGGTTTCCGCGCGGGCTGACAAGTTCAGGGTCCAAACAGAACGAAGAAGATTTCATATACATTCATCCTGATATCTGTGCAGCTCTGTAAGGGTCTACTTATGGCGCGATTAGTAACTGGCTTTCCATTAGTAATGAAGCTTGGTTTGGCGGGGCTGTTGTCGATGTGAGTCAATTAGAATGAACATCCGTTTCCGAATGAACCTTCTTTCTCCGCGGATCAAATTGTTTGTCTTCAAGAGATGTTCAGGCGATGTCTCATGAAAGTAACTCCAAGATGTAGAAGTGTGCTCTTGAGGACTAGCTAGTGGCCACTTGCCGAAAGTAACACGGCAGCCATGGTGTCGGAGATAGGAAGGACCGATATCAAACAAATTCCTTCCTAACCGGGCTACATACGAGACCAATATTGTGCTTTCTTCATCCCATAGTCGAAGATCGATAAATCGATCTAACATCTACCCCTCGTAACAATTGAGTTATGTTCTGTTCACAAGAAACAGAACAGCGAGGGGTGTTTGCATTGTTTGCCGGTAGGAAAATGCCAACGCTTGGCAAAGTCTTAGTGTGGCTTGGCAATGGCGCCCGATCCCGCTGAGTCATCCAGACCCGGGCCGGTTCATGCCGAAATCGGAAGGCCAGGCCGAATCATCTCGACCGCGTGCATCTGAATCGGATATCAGCCACAACAACAATTCAGCGAGACTTCCCCAGGCCGCTGATCAACCCATAACGGTCATTATGACTCAATGAAGCGAGCCACGACTCTCTCAGCGCTGTGGCTGAGGCCATGATTTTCGTATGCCCCCGCTTGGCGCCTCCTATTGAGGGCACTAGCCAGCCCTGTGCTGAGCAGGAGTGGGTCGAAGTACGTACGCTTTTTCATCCACTTGTGGCAACCAAGCTCACCGTGACCATAGGGCTTTGTAGTGGACATTTGTCCAGACTTCACAAAACCTCGAATGAGTCTTGCGTGACTCGCATCGTAATGCAGTGAACGCGTACGGCCATGTCATCAAAGTTTCATGATGTCCATCATCTCTGGATCGGGATCTTCCCCATTGCCCCCTTACGGGGCGACGACGAGATCTGAGCCATGCTGCTCCTGGCGTAACCCATGGTACTATAGCATCGCAGGCGAATAGAGCGATGCCTTGAAGGTTCACTAGCGTCATAGTCCGATTAGCTCGGCGATAAATCCACATCGGCCATAGGCAACATCGTTTCCTTCGAAGGCTATGTCGTCAGATGCAATATCCGAACTGGGGAAAAGACCCCTCAATGAGCGTCATTTGCACCCAAAATTATCTCTTATTCCTCTTCGCTGGATCGCAGACCCTATGTGGTCTCCACATGCCTAATGGCGCCTCCCAGGGGGCCACGAGTATAAGATCCCCCACGATCTCTCGCAGACCCCTCACTCATTCTTAACAACATCTACAAGCCATACACTTTTTTTTAAACAAACACCTCAAACCTTTCTTCCTACAAACAATAAACATGGGTCTTTTCCACCACCACCACGAGAACCAGCACGGCCCTGGCGGCCATGAAGGCCCCCACGGCGGTCCTCAGGGCGGTCCTGGAGGTCCTGGCGGCCCTCACGGCGGTGGCCCTGGTGGCCCTCATGGCGGTCCCGGCGGTCCTGGTGGCCCTGGAGGATTCGGTGGTCCTCATGAAGGTCCTGGTGGCCACGGAGGCCCTCACGGCGGCGGCCACGGCGGCCCTGGTGGTCCCCACGGCGGTCCTGGCGGCCCCGGTGGCCCTCACGGAGGTCCCGGCCGTTTCTAAAGCCCTGACGGACTACAACTCGAGGTATGCGATGATGTTCTATGGTCTCATTCTGAAAGGATTCAACTGACTGTTATCGAATAGTTCCGCAGATGATTGATTCGTGCAACCATTCGAGCGAAGTGACTTTATTGCATTAAGTCATGTTGGATATGATTGAAGTTTTTGTGTATATACCATGGTCGTGATATCATAATGATACGTACTCATTGAGAAATGAGAAATTCTGGTGCGGTTATGGACGTAAACGAAGGGGGAGATGTTGTCGTATGCATGTAGCATGATTTGAGACATCCGACATATCCTGGCATATATCACTTGTCATCAAAGGAATACGGATGGCACGTTCAGGGACACAAGGCCATGGCAAACAAGAGCCAGGGACTTCTGTTGTTGTTTGTCCCATTTCACACGCAGCAATCAAACAGCACCACAGCATGTGAACAATGCCTCTAATTATCTAATATAGCTCATGTACTTCGTATGATAAAGGAACATTCCCAAAAATGTCAATAATCTATCCTACACGACTCAACACCATCTCCTCATAATCCAACACATGTAACCCCCCCTCAATCCTCCTCACCTTCTTCAGATCCAACTTCGGCTTCATAACATCATTAACATTGGACACCACCACCCTTTCCCCATCCAGCAAAGCCCCCAAATTAAACATAGTACTATAAACCAACCCCTGGAAACTCGCCCCCTCGAACGTCTTCTGCTCCCTCGGTCCATCATACTTATACTGGATATCCGACCCCTTCGAGGGTAACCCCGCGCCCTTCCAGTTCCCGAAAAGCGAAGGATGTGACGAAATACACCTCAAGTATCCGGTCTCGCATAATCTCCCCAACATGACATCGTACACGACACTCTGACCAGGCGGCATGCTCTCGTCATCGGGTAAAACAGACAACGCTGCGAGTATTTTCTGTGCTGCGTTGAACGATACGGCATATGCGCTAGAGCAGACTGCCAGTGAGGTTTTGCAGATAATGCGGTTGTGTTTGATGTTGTCGACGAGTTCGTGGACAGCTGGCCCGGCCCAGTATTGTGGGAGGCCGTAGACGGGGATAGATGTTGGGTCATTCTTTAGTATGTAGAAAGGGGTTTTCTTTTGGCATTTTGTTCCGCAGTGGCCGAGCCAGAGGATGTCCCAGTCGTCCCCGTAGGGCGTGGTCTTGGGGTGGGATTCGGCTTGGAGGGCTAGGGTTCCGAGCGCAAATTCTTGGAGTTGGTTTTTCAGAGTCACATCCCAGTCGACGTCGTCTTCGAGTATTAGAGCACTAGTAATGCGCTCTGAGACGATGCTAATTGAAGTCAGTTTTGTGTCTGACTTTTGGTGGAGATGTGATTACCGTTGCATTGCGTTTAGGTGTGCTCGCCAGCTGCCGATTTCACCGGCTAACATGCGAGGCCTATCGGGCTCGTCATATCGCTGGAGAAAGACTTAGTAGATAGTATGAGGCATATTAGCAAAATGATACTTACTGGCGGATAGGCCTTTGGGCTCATATCTTCAGAGGATACGCCATCAATCCAGTCCACGCGGAACTGCGTGACTGATGAGCCTAGTGTGATTGCATCCCGTTTATCAGGTCGACCGGGGAGGTTGATACAGAAAATCCTTTCAAACTAAGTCTTGATTAGAACTTGGACATACTCTATGGTCTGGGATGAGAGCTCACCCCTAATGTTTCGTTTGTGATTGTTGCCAGACTTAATCCGTCTGCTGAACGCAGCGCCTGCAACCCAGCATACCGTTCACCAGAACTTATCAATAATGTACCCCACAACACGAGGATAAACACAAGCGATAACCCTGCATAGAGCAATTTCCTTTGCCGATTCCTTTTGAATACTTGGATTGAAGGAGAGCTGGGCAGGTTCAATTTCAGCGCGCCCATAGTGAGCCGTGCAAGGACATGGCCGGGAGAGAGGGGGTAGAGGAAGAAGACGACCCCCAAAATCGATAACTCCGACCGAGGAGTTCCTTTCATACTGTGATGACCAAACTGTGAAGCCTGCAAGCTAGGTGGGGATGAACTGATAGCCGGAAGCCTATCGTGATGGACTTGCATGACCGGCGCTTAATGAGGCGATTTCATTCGCCGACACCCACCGCTAAGCATACATTACGCACCCCAAGCATCGAATGATCACATCCGGATGTCCCAAGCGGGGAAACATGCTGACACCATTGTGAACCATTGAAGGAAATGGCGGGCAAAGAAAGAGGAGAACCAGAGGCCTCAGCCTCGCATGAACTTTCACATGACCCAGACTTTTTCCTCTACAGATATGGCAACAGACTATATTATTGGTAGTAATTGATCCCTCTAACTAACTTCATTGCGCAAATTGATAAGTATTACTCATTGGAACCAGTTTTATTGAGACTTGGGTGTTCATATTCTGCCCTAGGACAATCATGAAGCCTGTCACGTGCCAGACCATTGTGCGTCCGGCCACAGCGTCACGTGGCATATCGCGCACCTCGCTGGTCCAAGCTTCATGCTCGGTTCCACCTCAAAGACCCTTAATCTTTTTCTCATATTCATAAAAACATCAATGAGCTCATGTCCTCGGGTCAGGCAGGGATACTCCGGGTTGCGCCGGTGCAGAGGCGACGAGGCCGTCCAACCCGGGCGTGCGATGTTTGCCATGTTAGGAAGGTGAGAACACCCACCCTGGACCTAGACACATACACTAATCTAACCACACAACTATTTAGATCGCCTGTGATCGGGCAACACCAAAGTGTGACTGGTGCGCCTGTCATGATCTACAATGTACCTTTTCCAGGTCTAGCCCCGGGGGCTCTTCAAGGTGGGCAATATTAGCGCCCAAGTCGAATTAGACTAACCCTGTTGTCTTCGCCAGTATAAAGCAAGAAGGTAGCAGACTTAAGTGTATGTATTGCCCTTAGTAAACTACTTCTTTACTTGCTGAGTAATTTCATCTAAATGAGGCCTCGCAAGCGCAAATCCTACAATCACGGCGTGGACTCCGGCCGTTGGCTACAATGACCCGTTTGCGGGCCGCCACTGGGGGAATGTATGCACGTTCGATGGCACGCCCATCTTCTCGGCAAGCGGCTTGCAATGGATAACCGCATGTACTGGGAGAGAGCTTACAGTCGCTCATTATCCAATCTCCGAGGCTCCCAGGTGGCTAGACTCTGCTGATCCACCGTCTCTACTGCCTGACCAGAACCACTTATACGTAGAGATCCAGAAGTATCAAGCTTCTGAATTCAGCCTTTTCTTCCCCATCCTTGACCCCTCGCTGGTAACTCACACTATTCATGCAGCATATTATGGACAGCTATCAACAGGATCGCCTTGTTTGAGCTGCGCCAGGGCCGCGATATTTGCTTTTTACTCGCTTGCGTTATCTGTGGTGCATGGGGACGAGGACGGTGCGTTGAAATCAAGCGTTAGATATGCTCGTGAGGCATATCGCCTTGTGCCAGAGATTATCAAGGGAGCTGCAACACTGGATGGGCTGCAAGCTGTTCTCATGCTTGTGAGTCGACCTTTCTAATATAATGTCCAACGGAGATTAACTCTAAACCCCCAGTCTTTGTGCTGCCAGGGGCTTGCAGCAGACTTTTCAACCATCGATCACCTACTGACAACGGTGGCCCGGTTGATATACCAACTAAGGCTGAATTTATCTCCTGATCATGCGGGAGCTACCCCTCTAGCAGTCAATATCCACGCACGACGTTTATTCCGCATAGCCTACGTTTGTGACAAAGGCTTGACCCTGCTAACTGGCCTTCCCCCACGACTCGAAGACTCTGAATGTGATCCAGCGCCTTCCCTCTTCGAAAACGCCAATGACCCTGCAAGCATCACAAATGCTTACCTTGACGCATACGTCTGCCTGGCGCGCATCCAGTCTTGCATTTACCGCGGGCTATACTCCCCCGAGGCCCTACGACAGTCAAATACAGATCTCTTCCGCACAATCCGGAACCTAGATCAGGACTTGGAGAAGTGGAAGGATAGCTTACCGCTACCAAATCGACCCACGCTGATACCCGCTGAACATGACCTGGTGCTTCAAAACACCGATATGCGGTTCTCGGTCTTTCACTTGCAATACCACCATTGCTTGCTTATGATTCACCAAGCCAGCAGCAGGTGCGCCTCGTGGATCGGGAATCAAGATACTCAAAATACTTCCTCGAGCCTTGCGATCTCCGTGACCGCGAGTCGAGCCTTTCTCCGGACATTTGTCTTCCACCGTGTGGAGCTGGGTCCGCAGAACCTTCTGTGTGTTTTCCCCTGTCATTTAGTCTCCCGCCTTTGGCCGAATGACCCACGCCAATAGGTATGCTAATATCCAATACCAGTTTCTGTCTAACCTACTTCATCCAAACCGCCATAAATCTATTTTGCAATGTCCTCTCACACCCCCTTCATCCCGAATCCATCGAAGACATGAACCTCATGGGTCTAATTTCGGATCTTATTGCTGCTAAGAAGAGACCAAGGGACCCTGCATGCTACGTTGGGAAGATCACCTTTGCGCAGGAGTTTATCCTTGAGCTGAAGCGGCTTGCTCAGTGTGCTGTCGATAGGGAAACTGCAGCTCGACAAGCAAGTATGACTAGGAACCACGCATATTATCACTCATCTACATTTCTATGATATATTAGGTGTGGTTTATGTTCATGAGCTACACCCTGCCATGATTCCCGTGAGGGAAACAGGTTCGTGACTGATGTATAGTGTGAAAATGTATAAGAATCCGCACCGTCCAGCACAGACAAAACTATAACAAGACTTGTTGGGCTGGCCGCCCGACAGGCAATAATGGATTTCCAGGGGATACGGTGCCAATGAGCTCTGGAGGATATCCTGGGCTCCTGTTGATTCAGAAAATCAAATAATGTGCTGTGCAAAACTCCTGCTTAGTTGTTAAGTATCCTGCCATAAACTTGGAGTTATGATGCAAATATTAGCGTCCGTGAAGCAGAGCGAGACTCCCATCACCACTTTTTATATAGTACAGCTATGACCAGTCCTTTGCAAGTTCCTCATCTATCATCTACCAGCTATTCATGACATCATATCTCGTCCAGGTATACCACGCGCGGTAAAGCTCCGTATCAAGGCTGCTATTACCTTTATATTGCCAGAACCCTCGGGGCAAGAAATAATATGCACAAGCCCCAAATCGACACCGAAAATCCCAGCACCGGGACGTTTAACTGGATGCAACCCGGCCTCGACGCTCCAGCCCACTGAATCGAAGCAGTCGCAGGCGCAACACCCGCCGTTGTAGTAGATCCGGACCCGGAGCCAGAGGCATCAGCAGAAGCCGGCAGACTCGAAACTTTTCCCCCCTGCATCACAATACTCTCAAAGCTTCCACTCTTGTCACTATACGTATAGCTCTCCGCCGGATAATAATTAACGATATCCACACTCCTCACAACCATAGTAAACGGCGCCTGGGAGTAATCGGTCTCCCCACCCGCCCAATCAATCGTCCCCTGGTTATTATCCGGATCGCCGCCAGCCCAGATCCCAATTCTGACCTGCATGGGAGTCTGCGGGTAGCGGGTCCCGTTCGCGGCGTCGGAGTAGGAAAGTGTGCGCGTGGCTGTGCCGTCGATACTCCACGTTAGAGACTCTGGGGTCCAAGTTAAGGTGTAGTTGTGAAAATTAAATTGGGGGTCGTCGATGGGCTCCCAGGTCCAGCGGTTGGACGTGGAGGAGTCGCCTTTGCCGAAGTAGTCGGTTTGGAGTTCGGTTGTGTAGCTTCCTAGGACTTCCTGATTCGCAGAAGGAGGTATAAATTTAGCTGAGGGTGTCCTGGGTACAATGTGTGGTGGTGGTAGTGGTATTTACCCAGTCGACTTCGTCGAGATCATCTGACTCTAGAACTATACTGCTGATTATGCCCGTGCCGGCGGACGCTTTCATAACGACGCTGACTTCGCCGAAGAAGATGTAATATGGCGTTTCAATTGTGGGTGCGTCACCCTGCTGGTTGATTGTGAGTTCGACGCCCTCGGAGCTGATGGTTGGGTTGCCTGAGAGGATCGTCCATTCTGCGAGTGTTGATGAGCTCTCGACGAAGTTGTAGTGTAGTGTGCTTTGTGTTGAGCCTGTGTCGGACGAGCAGGTCTTTTCTAGAGGGTTGCAGTTGGTGTAGGTCTGCGCAAGGGTATAGGGGAGTGTGGGGAGGAGCGCGGCGGTATATTTTAGTATGGGTGACATTTCTAGGAAGCGGTGAGCTGGGAAATTGATCTTTTGAGGTATTGGTGTGGACACTAGTATGTGAGTAAGTTTATTGTTGGATTTCTGACGCAGATGAAGCTATATGCAATGTACTCATGGCCGAGTGTAAAATATATATTCCCCAGTAACACGGTGCTTTAGTACCTCGTATAATCTCGCCAACTTGATGCAACAACACCACAGCTTCAAAGCCCTGCTCCCAGCCTCCCAATAAATCTCGTTCAATCATGATACTCGAGAGGTGGCTTGTGGGTTGCTTTTAGTGCTTTCAGACTCAAGTGTAGTCAGGTCATTGTGGTGGACACTATGGAGAACAAAACGGGCTAGATTATCCCGCTTTGTCATTATATTGTGGAACTTGATTTGGACCTAGCGAATAATAGCCCGAGACAGCTGCGATTTCCCGATTAGTCAGACTCTCATATGTCCCTGAAATCCAGCCGTCAAGTCCTCAAGAACTTAAAGTGAGCGAACCACGAACGGAGATAATGAAGCCAACTATAAGACAGCGAGCCAATGCGAAAGTGGCCGCTCCAGCCAATGTTAGCATGTAACTTAAACACTGGCCCACTGGAGATCACCTCAACCTCGGCCCAACAACTAACCCAACTCCAAGAAGACTCTTTCCCACATATATCACTTTTCGGAGACAGCTCTCACAACAACAGGTGCTGTGGTCTAGTGGTATGACGTCACGTTGTGGCCGTGCCAGCCCCGGTTCGATTCCGGGCAGCGCCAATACAAGTAAAATAATTTTTTGGTGGCTACGCTAGTGTAGTGGTAACCTTTTTGGCTGATACTAATGAGACATCTTAGTAAAGACCCTTAACGTTATCCATATCTATAATAAAATAAACCTGGTTTGAATCCCGCAGCTGCCGCAACCATTTTATCTGTATTATTTCTTTATCTATACACACGCACGGTAGCGCTAGAAAAAGAATTATAATTTTCTATGGTAATTCACGAGATAAGATACAACCGATATCTTAGTCGTTGAAAGTCTGCATAACGACCAAAAGCACTAGGTAGTGGGGTTTCGACAGGAATATAATAGGACTAACCAATCAATCTGTCAATTGACTATCTTAGGCAAACAAGTCTCACCCCTGAAAAATCTCTTCCCCAGTTTTTCCACCAATTCAACTCTTACTCTCTCAAAACCGTACTCACTACTTTCTGAATATCTGCCATCATCCTCGTCTTACCGATACAATGGTGCCCCCCGATCCCAAAATGCAAGAGCTGTGCCTTTCCTCTAAGTCTAAGGTGTTGTGGTCTGCGCCCAAGATGGCGGGATTGTGGTGAGATGTGCAGTAAGCGACAGTTAGGGAGGCATGTACATATATTAGTGATCTTGATTGTATTCCCCTCACCCGTGTTCTTCCACAACTGTTGATTACAGTCCATTGAATTCAAAAAGAAGGTTACATGGGGTGCGCCGGTGTGCCTTCCGGAAGCATACTAATAATCAACGGAACCATCAGAGAAACCAGTCAATTCTGTCACAGCTACCAAAGTACCAAACTACCAATGGCCATCTTTCCGTTCCCTTCCTACTCATACCGATAACAAAACGGCCCACCAGCAACATCCATCAGCTCGCGCGTCGTATAGTTCTTCCCCAGCGGGCCAAAGGTAATCTGGTCGTCGAGGGTCAGCTCCGGCGAAGGCGGCACATTCTCGAGCGTCTGCGTCCCATTCAGCGCGTACTGCCGCGCCGCCGGGTCGCGCGCCTGCCAGAGCGTCCACATGCGGTCGACTTGGGCGTGGTGCTTCGCCAGTCAGTACATGGCATCATACACGCGGGGTGGAAAGGGGGAAGGGAAAGGTTGGAAGGAGATGGATGGAAGGAAGATATCCTACCAAGAAGAACACGGGGTCTGTGGGACTGGTGAACAGATCCGCACCGTTGCCGCCCATGGCGACGTGTCCGCCACCGTGGGGACCAAAGTGGGCATCGCCCTCAGGGGTTGAGAGGTAGTTTTGGAAGTCGCCAATGGATGGCTCGGATAGGAGGGTTGCAATGCAGCTTGCGTTGTTGTTCACACGGAGTGCGGTGTCGTTGAGCCCACGCTGGAAGCAGGTTGGGGAGTAGTCAAAGGACCAGGAGGGGATTGTACCGCTGCCGTTGTTGGCGATGTTGTCGGTGATAATGCTCTGTGGGAAGGAGGGAAAAGGGGCGATGTAGGAGGAGAATGGGCCTTTGTATACGCAGCTGTCGTTGGCACGGCCGTCACTGCCGAGGGAGTCTGGGGCACCGTTGAAGATGGTAGAGTTGGCGAGACCGCCTGGCTGCGAAACGTAGGCGGGCCAATCCCAGTAGGGTTGAGTGCCGGTATAGTTGCACTCGGTGCGCAGAGCAGACTCGTACAGCCAGACGTAGCCGCGGTGCCATGGGAGGAAGATGGCGTCGAGGTGGACGATGAAGGTGTAGTTGATGTGGGCGGCGATGAAGTCAGCGTAGCGGTTACGAGCACCGGGGTACAGGCTGTTGTTAAGTCTGGATGGGGCGTTCTGCAGGCAGGTTACGGCGTCGGTGTAGGCGATACGCTCGGCTGGGCTGAGGTTGGACCTAGATATGGAGTGAGCTGGAGGTGGCTGGCCTTCGCAGAGTGTAGAGGCTTACCATTCCTTGCGGACCATAGTGTTCTCTTCGGTGCATCTTCCTTGTGTGGTCGGCGCTGCTGAGCTGAGCAGGCACAGGGTCAAGACCCCTAGGGCCAATGTTGAGACTGAGGAGAGCATGGCTGTCTGATGCTTGAAGTTGGTATCAGCTGGGGCTATTGCTTCATGCTTATATAGACAACTCAAACCGTTGTCCGGTCTGAAGCATCGGCTGAACTTGTTAAATTCGACTGTACCGCGACATAAATGAGCCTTTAACCCTTGTCATGAGATCTCTTCTTTGCCGGCTCTAGCGAGGACGTTCAGTTGACACGGATGAATAATACAGTCAAAGTGAGACGTGTAAGCTCAATATGGGAGACAAGAAGCCGAGCATCTTTCCAGCGTTATCATGAATACTAGAATTCACGCTTGCAACATGACGGAAGAGCAGATTCAAGGTCTACTGTTTGGAAGAGGCAGGTATACAACTCGCTACAGCGAACGCCAGGCAGAGGAACATGAGCAGAAGGCATGGTATAAGTGACTACTTTCTGCATGCACGCAAAACTGGATCTAACCGGGTAATCTCTTGAGAGACTAGAAGTAGAACCGTTTGTGCCGATATCTAAAGGTCCGATATCGATCCCATGATAAACCCGGTTTCCAAAAGCGGTAAAGGGTGAAGCCCGTGGGAAATGAAGTGGGGTAAGCGCTATCCGTCTGCGATTTGGCATTTTCACCTCTTACCATGTTCGAAGCTCCGTGGAGTGCTGGGAACCAAAGACTAGTCAAGCATCGACGGCGCCTCGCTCGGGCCTGTGATGCTTGCTATACCCGAAAGATCCGTTGTAATCTCACAAAACCGAGATGCAGATGGTGTGATAAGCATGACCGCCACTGCACTTTTGAGAGGATCTTTGCCTCCCCGGAGAAAGATCAACTACACGCTGCAGCAGATGTCCCGGTTTGCCCGCCGACTGTGACAGAGGAGCTGTCGCATTCATTTGCACGTACACTACAGGCTGCTGGCCCACAACTGGGTAACATCTGCACCTTCAATGGGATGCCGGTTCTGGCGGACAGTAGCCGTAAGTGGATTGAAGCGTGTACAGGTGAGGAGATTCCTCTGCATCGATTCTCCACTGAAGCCAGGGTGACCGAACTGTCATTGGCCGACACCTCCGATGAGGGAACCCTAGAGCTGCCCGAGCGAGCTCTGCTGTTGGAGGAGGTCAACTTGTACCTGTCGTCAGCGTACGGGATGTTCTTCCCAGTGATTGACAAGGTACTGTTCCAACAGACAGTCGAGGCTGCGTACGATGGGATGAGTTCTTCCGTATCCCCGGGCTTGAAGAGCGCAAAGGTCTGCGTCTTCGCTTTTCATGCTCTGGCGTTGACCGTCGTCGAGAGACCCGGGAGGTTTTCGCATCAGCCTAGTACTTGCTTCGCACGCAAGGCCTACCGCCTGCTCCCGGATCTGCTCAGCGAAGCAGCGACCTTGGATGGACTGCAAGCGCTTCTCCTTCTGGTACTTAGCTGCACTTGCTCCTTTCTGTTCTATTGTGACTGACAAACAGTCCACAGTGTCTTTGCTTCCAGGGGCTCGCAGGAGATGTCTTCATCATTGATTACCTTCTTTCCTCAGCCTCACGGTTCGTCATCCACCTCAAAGCGAACCTCTCAGTCCTCAGGGCCTGGCAAGCCCCCTCCGCCGCCAACTATCACGCTCGCCACCTTTTTTGGATTACGCATGTCTGCGACAAGGGCTTTAGCCTAGTAACTGGCCTGGCCCCTCGCCTTGACATGGCGCAGTGCGATCTCGACTGTGCAAGCCAAATTACTGGCAATGCTTTCTCAACTACCCATATACAAGGCGACCCAGTTCCAGGCTCTTACCTATATAGCTACACCCAGCTCGCCGCCATTCATTCCAAGATCTACACGACTCTCTACTCCCCCAGCGTCCTGTCACAGCCAGACGCCGCCCTCCTGCAGACAATCCGTGACCTGGACTGCGCCCTCGAAGAGTGGCGTCTCTCCCTGGCCCCCTCCATCCGACCCTCGCTGCAAACACATACCCCCACCAGAACAGGTCCTGACGAGCCCACTCCCAGACCTTTGGAAACAGTCGACATGCGAGCCTCAGTATTCCACCTGCAATACCACTACTGCCTATGCATGATCCACCAAACAAGCAGCCGCGTCACAACATGGAAACAAAACCACAACACGCACGCCGGGGGATCCAGTCTTGCTGTCTCCGTCGCGGCCAGCCGCTCCCTGCTGGCCGGGTTCCTTTACTCGCCGCCTGCGTTTGAGCTGGGCCCGCAGAATCTCTTGTAAGCTCTTCCCCACTTTGCTCCATATCTAAACCAACTAATTGACACATCTAATACAGGTTCTCTCTCCCATTCTTTCTGCAAGCCAGCACTGTCCTCTTCTGCAACATCCTCGCGAGCCCGAACTCGATGCCCGGCGTCACTAGCAGCCTTGAGAATGACAACGAGGCGGACCTGCGGCTGTTGCGCTGCACAGCGGAGCATGTCATAGCGCAGGCCTCGAGCGAAGACCCTGCGTGCTACAGCGCCAAGATTGCACTTGCGGGTGAGCTGGTCTCGGAGCTGCACAGGCTGGGGCTGCGTGCTGTTGAGCGAAGGGTGAAGGACCAGGAGAGTGTCGTATGTACGAGTGACGATGGATCTGTACCTTAGGGACTGGTGTTTGACCATATAGTTGGATTAGGAAGTCTGCAGGAAAGAAACGGCTGTCTCCTGGTGGTAGGGCATCATATATCACGGATACTGATTGAATCATGGCTCAGAGGGCTGCAGGGAGGGTATAACTCTGGCACTAGATTAAGCTGGCCTGTACATCTTACAATGCAAGTGTCTTTGATCACGGGCCTATTATTCTATATCGATCCAATCTATCCACCCCACCTATCCACCCACTTAATTTAGGAACCCCCAATATACCTCTTGAAGACTGGCCAGAACACCACCATTCTTGCAGTATATTTTCAAATGCACCTCTAGACGTCCATGCTATTACTCAAAAAATTAGGTGAGGACTAGACTCTACTTCAACAATCCCAGCCCAGTCCAGCCCTCCACAGAGAACTCCGGCAATAACGGCGCAGACCCATCCAGCGCGCCGACCTCAAATTCGGCACTCTCAGAACTTCCCGTTTGGAGCAAGTAGGAAAAAGAATTCACATTCGAATCAGACCGGTCGAGAGGCTGAGTCGGTTCTTGGGCGACGAGGGCGAGGAGCTGGTCTAAGCCGAGAGCTTGAGTCTGGGCTTCGGGATTTGTATTGGCGTTGGCGGGCGAGCTCGAGCCCGCGCGTGGCAAGTTGATGGTGCCGGCAGCCTGGTTTAACTCTTGCCCTTCAGATGCAGACCGGGTCGGCAAATCCTGTCCAGGAAGTTGATTATTTAAGACCTGTCGCGTCCACAGGTCCATATTACTTACTCTTTCACCCACACTAGCACGAACAGGAACAGGAGCCGGAACCCCCCAGGGCAGTAGCAGCGTCTGCCCCATCACCAGCAGTCCAGTACCGGCACCGCCAGCACCTGCGTTCGTTCGCTCTGTGCTACCCGCCTGCAGGGCGCGCGCCATGTACCCGTCCATTTCACGGATCTGAGCGCGTAGTGTGGCTGTTAAGCTGCTGTTGCTGCCGGCTGCGGCAGTGCCCGAGACAAACGGAGTTGGGGAGATGGAGACGGAGGCAGAGCGGCTCGACTCGATCTTCTCGAGCAGGTCGGCTAGCACGAGTAATATATTACGGACTTGGATGTAGCGCCAGGCGGAAAGGGGACGGTGGGTAATGGTGGTTCCCAGCAGGTGGCCGATGTGGGAGAGGTGGTGGAGCTGGAGAATACATCAGTGGTACGTTCTATCTAGGGTGAAGGTGAGGTAGAATAGGAGGAATGCATACAGAGCTGGTACTGATGGCGTTGAAAAAGGTCAGGGGCATGCTGCTCAGTTCGTCGAGGAGGTCGGAGGCGATGTCGCAGCAGCGGTTGATGGTAATGGTCGGGGTGTCGGCCTGAACGATGAGCATCTTGGCGTTTTGTGTCGTGAAGATGATGTTTGCTGCTGTCGTTCCAGCTTCGTCAGAACCTCAAGGATTATGGAGAAACTCAGGGGGAGGAGGTGCTGGGCCATACCAACGAAGCTGTACCGGTCCGTTCCCAGCTCACTCGTAAGTGCCTTGACAGCCCGCAGGCATTCTGGAAGCTCTTGCTGTGCCTTAGAGATTAGATGCAAGCTGTCCGAAGCGGAGAGCTTAGGGGATTGAGTATGCGCCCCAGCGATGAAGCGCTGTATTTCGCTGCCGCGGAAATCTTCCTTGCGCTCAGGGTTAATCGTGTCCTTGTGCCACGTGCTCCGATTATTCGCGAGGAGCTGATACAGATCGCTGCAGAAATTACACCCGCGGATGAAGGAGACCGGCGTGTTCGTGGTTAGAGGGAGGCGCACACCTGTCGCGGTGATGTCTGCATCGTCGATGACTTCGGCCGGGTAGAGCACGGAGTGGCTGTCCGGCTGTGGATGACGCGCGGGCAGGCCAAAGTTGCTGACCATGTATTGCTCCTGCTGGTAGACGCACCAAAACTGTTACAGAATTAGGCTCTACCTTCAACCAATATCGGGCTGCAACGAGGGGGTACCAGTCGCCGTCGCTCCTGCCGTTCAACTTCAGTCAGCCCGTTGGGCCACTTGTTCTCGGCGTAGAAGCCATTCAGGATTGAGAGCGAGGCGTAGTCGCCTAGGTGTGTGACGGGGCTTTTGAGATCGCCGTTTTGCAGGCACGCCGAGGCCAACAGGGCGTGCGCCTTCATTGCGGCGATGTAGTCGGATATCTGCAGAGGGGAGCGCGGCATGGCGGCGACGGCGGCGCGGTAGCATGTAGCTGAGAGGGCTGCAGAATCCGGGCGGAGTAGGGCCAGCTCTAGGCCCTGCGCGGGGGTTGTCGCCGGGATTCCCTCGTAGAGGCGGCCAGCTGTGAGGGCGCAGACGGCCATGGTCACGACGAAGACGCCCCAGTCAGTGCGGTAGAGCTGGGAGGTGATTTGGGCGCTGAAGGTCGGCCAGTGCAAGTAGGGACGACTATCATGGCAATTATTATACTACTATACACAGACTAACGAGACAGGAGAACGGACATGGGGTAAATGGTATGGTGAAAGACCTCGACGAGGCATTCAATGGTTCTAGGTGGGATGGTGTTTTCGTATGCAGCGTAGAGCGAGGACAGTGACGAGGACGAGAGACCGATTTCGCTGACGCTGGCGCTGCGACTACCACCGCGGGGGCTGACGCTGGCTGCAGCTGAAGATGACCCGGATTGTACGGAGACAGACGCTGGTCTTACTGGAGCCTCCACGTTCATGTTGGCGCTCATACTCGTGCTCGCGTGTTGACCGTCTAACATAGGCGAATCCTGATTGCCTCGCGGGCCTCGACGGGTGGGATTGGGCTATAAATATCAGTCACTCATTTGAGTTGAATAATTGCTTGAGCAGGAATACCCCTCGCCGCTTAACCGGCCGGTCATAGGTGCACTCGACGCCCTGGTCTCTGCACCGTCCGCAAACTGTTCCTGCGACTCCAGGCGAACACTGTACAGGTCAGTCAGGCTATTGTTGGAAGCTGGCATCTCGTACCCTGCAGGCGTTTCGGTGACACCGATCGCAGGCACGCTAGAAGACGAGGGTAGTTAGCTACTTGTCCGAACAGGTTGATCTGGACGTACGCTGTTCCTCTTTCTTTTGCCGCCTTCGTTAACGGTCATTGCTCTAAACAATAAACTAGAGAATGAATTATTCAAGAGATTGAAGAGTACTGGGACTCAGCAGAGATGTAATGTGTGAAGGCATGGAGTCTGGGGAAATGAGGGGACTCTCCACACTGCAGAGGATTACCGAGTAATGCCGACTGTATTCCTGCAGGGTTATGGAGTACATACTTTTGAAGTCAGGTTCTAGCATTTGAGTGTTATTGGTTGATGTAAGATATTCCGAAGTAGCCACGTGCTTCTCATTCGGAGGTTTGACCCCAAACAGGAAATCAAACCTCCGAGCACAAATACATGATCTTACATTATATGTTCCGTTCTCTACTCTCTAGTGATACGATTTCGTATCCTCCCAATTTCCTCCACTTCAATCTCCACCACATCGCCCTCCTTCAAGAACTTAGCTTCGCCTTCCAGAAAGCTGCCCACCCCTGCCGGTGTCCCCGTCATCACCACCGCCCCACTTCTGAGCGTCCTCCCCTGACTGAAGAACCGGATCAGAGCCGGCACATCGAATATCAGGTCATCTATTCCAGACTGCTGCCTCTTCTCGCCATTTACCCATGTACGAAGGGTGAGGGAAGCTGGGTCGGGAATCAACTGAGAGGAGACGAGAACGGGGCCCAGCGGAGCAAATTTGTCGAAGGATTTGGCGTAATTGGACTGCGAGCCCTTTGCGGCTGCTTGCCACCAGCGGCTGGAGAGGTCGTTGCCGATCGTGTAACCAAGCACGAGTGAAAGGGCATTAGTTTTGTCATCGAGGTTTTTGACAGTCGAGGCCATGACGAAGACAAGCTCTCCCTTTTTTAAAACGAGACATCTGTTAGAGGCTGCTTGAGTGTAACAGAAGGGGAGAGGGCGTATACCTTGTAGTCTACATCGCGCGCTTCACGGTGCAGTGGGATGTCGTCGTAGGGGCCCGCCATGGCATCTATGATGGTCAGCCTACGTTACCCATGAGGCAATTGAAGGCGGAACAAACCAGGATACTTGACAAACGTCTTAGGGACTTCAGGGAGAGGAACCTGTCAGTAATAAAGAGCATTAGCCTCTCACTGAATTATAATGAGATTCAGGTGACATGGTTATACCCCCGCCTCATCTGCATGCTGCTTATAATTTAATCCCACCCCATAGATAAACGGGACATCAACCAAGGGACTCAGCAGCTCCTTGACTTCAGCGCTCTTTTCGCTGAGCTTGAAGTTCTCATCAAAGGGACCTGATCCCTCATAGATGGGCGCCGTGACTCCGATCAGGCTCTGGGACCAGTGGTGGTCCTTAGGAACCTCCCCGAAGTGTGTCTCGCCTGTGGGTGCGACGAAGCGGATAAGACGTTGAAATCTGGAGGCAGCCATATCCTTGGGTTCTGTTTGGTTGAATGATTGGGATGAACAGAAGGGATGGGAGGTAGATTTTATGTGAACATATACAGCGGATATGGGCAGGGTACAGGAGCAACAGCCGTCGAGTTTAACCGTGATATTCTGAGAAGTGCCGGCAGGCCAGGCTCTGCTAGGTACTCAGCTGTAGCTGTTCGGCTCTATATGCAGCACCTAACCTTTCAATTCTAGTCTACCTACTCCGTCCACTACCTGTTCAATTACGGGTATACATTACAGTGAACCGACAGCGGCAGTGGAAATCGATCATAAGCACATATCAGCACTCCATTGCACTGACTACCTTCAGTCTGAGATGACCAATCAAGTCAAGAAACTACCCCCGGTCTTGGCTAGGACCTCATCATAGTAAGGTTGGAACCCCAGCCATCCCTTCTCCGGCCCACCAACCTGCTTTGCTGTAAACTCCGCCTCGGCCTCCTTGATAATCACCTTCTGATGCCCACTGCCCCTCTCTGCCGCATCTACCAGCAGCTGCGCGTGGCATGTCTTGTCCAGACTGATGAACCAAAATGCCGCCTCGTCGATGCTCCCACCGACCTGTCACACAAAGACTGTTAGAATTCTGACCAGATCGCAAGCAACGTGGTATAGTAGAGTTGCTATACAGTAATAAGACCATGGTTCTGCAGAATAGCCGCCTTCCCCTGACCAAGTGCCTGAGCAATCCTCTTCCCCTCTTCGCGGTCTAGCACCACACCCCCAAACTCACGATACACGGAATGGCTCTTGTAGAAGCGCAGAGCATCCTGTGTGATCATGTCCAATTCACGGCCAAAAGCGCTGAAAGCTTTCCCATGCACTGAGTGCGCGTGACAGGCGGCGTGAACGTCCGGGCGAGCCTTGTGGATCTCTGAGTGGATGGCAAACGCGGCGGCGTTGATAGGTTCATCGCCAATGACGACCTGACCAGCCTCGTTGACGAGAATCAAGTCCGAGACGCAGATCTGCGAGAAGTGCATCGATAAGGGATTAAGCCCTTTTTTTGTGTCAGTATCAGTTACTTTTTGATGAGTGCTGCAGTCAATATGGGATGGGTACAGAAGTGGTCTGTAAGGATGGGATCGCGGACGGAGATGTGGCCCGCGATGCCTTCGTCGAAGCCGCGTTTGGCGAAAATGCGGAAGGCAGCGGCCAGGTGCTGCTTGCGGTAGAGGCGCTCTTCCTCGAGGGTAGCAAAAGTGGGATAGGAGCGGATGCGCAGCTTCTGGCCGCTGACCGAGAGGCCCAGGGCGCCTGAGGCGGCGTTGCTGGCGTCTTCGTTTTGCAGGACCGTTGCGCTTGGAGGCATTTCGCTGACTGGACTGTGTACTTGCTATCCATACACGTCGACAGGGGTGTAGGTTTTATCTAAAGACAAACCCAGAAGGTTCTACCGGAGGATCAACCGGTGCTGAAGTTTTGCCGGTCATCAACAAAATAGCTGTACAATCACACGCCATGTATTTTCGAGCTAAAAAATACAGCAGACATTACCAGTCATCGGGTAGATATTTCTAGGTCCAGTTATTGCCAGAAACACCGATTAAGGCCATATGCTTTCCAAATAAACTGCATCGATATAACACTCTTACCACTACAGTCATTATGACTCTGGTCTAACTATGAAGATATTTAGAATTAAATGGATGAAGAAGTAGATATTGCTGGACACGGTAAAGACGAGGTTGTAAAGAGATATAGTCTAGACCATTTGAGGATGTTGATATTTGACCACTACCCACTACTGCCCGCACTACACAAAGTACGTTCTACCAGCGTTATGGCATCTTCAACCCCTCAGCCACTGCAGCCGCCAGGTCTTCCGCGGTTGTTCCCCTCTCGCGATGCTCTGGCCTCTCCCTCCCCAGCACTGTCTGCTCCGCCACAGTCCTATAGACCTCCGCAACTTGCGCATACACATCTGCTCCTCCCTGTCCATTTCCATGACTAGCAGCATCCCACCCCCCTTCCTCCCCAAAGCACCGCCCGATCTCCACCATCTCATCTACCCACCGCCCAGTCTTGGGCGGTGTCTCCACAATCATCCGGGTAATGCTGCTCTGCAGCCCCGGCTGGAAGCTTTCCAGCAGGCTCTGCAGCTCAGGGTAGATACCCATCGCATGCGCCGTGCTAAAAGACTGGTACGAGATGGCCAGCAGGCCCTTGATCAGCGACCCGAAGCAGCATTTGAGCCCGCTCGCCTGTCCGATTCTGGGACCAAGATAACGCGTGTTAAGCACGTCCGCCAGGCGAGCGTCTGGTAGCTCGGGGCCCGAGATCGGAATGGCAGGGCGTGTCCAGGTCGACTCGTTTTCATGTTTCTGTTTAGGCGGGCCGCCGATGATCCCGCCATCGATGAACTTGGTGCCGGGCGAGTGGTGCGTAAACTCGGTAGCAATAGTACGTGCTAGAGCTGGGCTGATGGCGTTTAGGTCAAGGTAATGGAGCTGTTTGTCGGTGGGTTTGGCGGGGAGGGACCAGAAGCGCTGTGCGGTGGCGAGGGCGTCGCGCGGGGGCACGATGGCGAGGAGGTAGTCGACTGTTTCGACAAGTTGCTCGTCACTGTCTAGTAGCTCTATGTTGGCTGCGCGGGCACGGTTGTAGGTGTGTTCGCTGCAGCTGTTAGGATTTTCCCCCAGAAGAACCAGGTGGTGGAGGTACCTTCGGCCAGTGATGTTGGTGTAGACGGGGAAGCCGTGGGCGACGAGCAGGCTGGCAATGCCGGCGCCCATCTCGCCGATGGAGACGATGCCAATTTTGACAGTGGCCATGGTGCTTAATTTGGTATATGAAATGTATTGCTGTGGTTCCCATCTTATAAGCTAGGTTGCGGGGAAGTCTCTGTTAAACTACCTGCTAAACCCGCGGGCCAGCCCTGTTCATGCACTCCCTTCCAAGGGTTCAGACATGCCAACTATTGTGTTGAACTATTGGCACATTAAAGCAGCAGTATAGACAAGCTCACTGATATTCAACTATGATGTCGATTGTTGCTGAGTTGGGATTATCCCTCTAAGACGGTCCGACATTGAAGCCACGCTCCTAGACTTGCGTGCTTGTATTTCGGTTAAATCCAAGTAAGAACGGTGTTTCCAGAGTTTCCCCAACTCGCACTAGTAGCTGCCAGATTTGCAATGACCTCTGCCGTACAGCAAGTGCGGCGCGATGCGTCTTACAGCCACGCTATGTGCTCCCAGCATCGCGAGCAGCGCGCTCCACATTCTCACAACCTTTTCTATATTGGACACTTCATGCACAGTTCACGCGCGGACTACACTGTACTTAGAATTCGAAGATAATCTTAGTGATGTATGCGCCGTGGATCATGAGCATACAAATGAGGTCACCCACGGTACCGCACTGCCGCTTATATACCAGGATATAGTCTAGAGCAGTGGCATGTATAAAGATATCACATTCGATCATAGAAACCACCGCATTGAGTAGACAACGACTACAGAGAAATTGCCTCCTGCACACTCATTCCCCCCAACACTCTCACCATTTTCACCTCATCCGCTGTGGCAATACCTTCCACCATCTCTAGCACAGCCCCAACCTGGTCCTGCGGGATGCAAACCGCACACCTATCCTCAGGATCTAGCATAATCAAATCCCCCTACCAAGCAGACACAGCAAATCTATTGTCAGCGCACAGCCCAGTAAGAGCAGAGCAACAGTAAGTAGTCAATATATACCTGACGAACCCTCGACTTTCCAACCCAAACCTCCATTCCGACCGCATGCGCCTTGCACTCCCCCCTCGTCGCTACAGCGCTGACACCGCGGCTCCACACAGGCATGTGCACAAACCGACTGTCGGTCAACTGCGCTACATCTCGCACCCGCCCATCCACGAGCACACCCTGTGCGCCGAGCTTATTCATCCGCGCTGCCATCAAACCCCCCATCGTTGCCGTGCTGGCGCCACGGGGCTGCGACATGACTACGATGGTTGAAGGAATGATAATGTCGGCGTAGATCTGGCCTTTGGGTATGTTGGACGGCATTAGAGTAGCGGAAAGAGAGGGGGGCGGGTCTCGGGGGATGAAGAGGACGGTTGTTGCGGGGGCGATGATTTTTGTTTGTGTATTAGCGAGGGGCGCTGTCGAACATAGAGGCGGAGTTAGATGTGTACGATGGCAGGTAGAAGAGGCAAGTACCGATGTCTGGAAGGAAGCCGGCGCCCGGCACGCTCAGCTCGAGGAGAGCATCGGCGATCTGTTGTGGTTGTCATGAGCTGGATTACATGGAAATTGGGAGTTGGGGTGGGGGAGCAGCTGGGTGGAGTGTACCTCGCACGCAGAGTATTCTAGCAGCTTGCTGAATTGGTTGCTCATCGTAATCTGTATATAAAATATCGGAACGCTAACCGCTAGACCAAAAAAGATATATCGCTCTAGTCAGACTAGCGATGGAGAGATTACTGTCCCAACATAAAATAATAGAACATGGATGGCTTTGGGGTTCTTAAAAGAGATGGGTTTAGCCGGCAGTTAATCCGAGGCGGCACAGTTACTTTGCTATATTGAAACGGACTTGAGCAATTATTCCTAGGCGACTCCACCGCTGCCCCCCTAGCCCCTGCATAGATATAACCAATCAGTAGATAGCGGATGCCAACCATATGATCGTAGAAACACAGGTTAAACCGCATGCTCCATATGCACTGCAACCTCCTTCTCCCCATCCACCATCTCGCCAACGACACTGGGCGCCACCTCTCGCTCCCCAACAGCTCCAAACAACCGATCCATCTGATCCATTCTCAGCCCTTTGGTCTCATGCACGAAGAAAAACGCATACACCGCCGACAAGGTCAGCACCGTCCCGTTCCAGAGGTAGATCCCATACCCCATCGCGCGGAACATGCTGGGTATGCTCTTAGTCACGACGAACGACCACAGCCACACATTCACACCCGCCCAAGGTCCGCTGATGCTGCGCACGCTTGGTGAGAAGATTTCGCTCGCGATAATGAGTGGCAGACCGTTGGCGCCAAAGGACCACAAGAAGCCGAAGAGCATTATTGCCGCGGCGCCGCCCTTGCCTGCGGCGACTTCGGAGGGCGGCTGTGTGTTCCCGTCACCCGGGTTGGCGATCTTGACATATGCGCCGATGTAGTACATACAGACCGCGCAGCCGATAGACGAGGTGATCCATGGCCACTTGCGTCCTGTGATGTCGATCAGGAAAGAGAAATATACGATTGAGGCGCCCGACTTGATGACGCCGTAGATGCCCGTCCAGAGGGTAGTGTCATCGAGCCCGATGGAGGTGAAGATGGTGGGGGAATAGTAGTTTATGGCAACGGCGCCGCTCCACGCCTGCAGCAGACAAAGCATGGCGACCAAGCCGAAGCGGTTGCGCATTCCTTTTAATGTGGCTTCTTTGGCGGCGGCGCGAAAGGTGGACCAGGTTGTGGGGGTTTGGCCGCGCCGGACGGTGAGCGATTGCTCGATGGCGATTTGAGACTTGATAAAGCCAACGTCTTCGAGGATGTATTGATGGGAGACTGGAAGATTGCGCAGGAAGGACAGAGCTCGTAGGGCGTCTTGGTCGCGTCCCTTTTTCAGGAGCCAGGTTGGGGATTCCTTGAGAAAGGGGATGGTGAGTGCGACGATGCCAACGGGGATGAGCTGGACACCCATGGGGATGCGCCAGGCGAGAGAGCGATTGGTGTCGATGTGGCGGACAATGCCAAAGTTGATCCAGAAGCCAACGAGAGAGCCGAAGTTGTAGAAGGTCTCAAAGCAGCCCGTCATGCGGCCGCGCACGGCTGGGGGCGAGAGCTCGGAGATGTAGGTTGGGATCACTGCCACGAACCCGCCGACTCCAACCCCCGAGAGCACACGGCCACCATACATCATTGCCTTGCTGCCGCCGGCGGCGGTGCAGAGAACAGCACCAACGATAAAGATGAAATCGGCGAGAAGCACACACAGCCGCCGGCCCAGCAGCTCGAGAAGCATGAACATGAACAGGGCGCCCCAGAAGGCGCCAGCTGAGAACAGGCTAGTCACGTTGCTGGTAAAGGCATCCGCTTCCTTGGCCGTCATGGTGTTGAGGCCAAAGTCGCGCTTATAGCTGGGTAGCGTCTGCGTCGTCCCAATGAACGATGTGTCGTAGCCAAATACGATAAGCGCCGTGGCAAGACCAATGACGGTCAGGTAAAGTCGGAAATTATACTAAGGCAAGGCATTAGCCCCAAAATACAAGCTGGGAAGCGATGACTTACGACTTCCGGCGGTGTCGGCCGGTCCTCTTTGGCATGCATGAACTTCATGAACTTCATGTTCGATCTCGTTGGACACTAACAGTCCAGATAAAATTCAATGGATGAGTGAGAAATGGCCATACTGAAAACCAGCGTCGCTAGGGTTGTTATAGATAAAACTGGAGGAGCAAATCTGGGGTAATCCGGGGTAACTACGGGGGGATGAAGTATGCCCGGTTGTTTAGCCGTCCTGCTGCTGATTAGCCGTAGCTGTCCCTCAATACGGTTGTCTACTCTTCTCAAGGCGACAAAATCACAAGCACTCGATTGCAGTCTGTATCAACGTAAAAAGTATGCATAACTAGGTAGAACAACCGCTGCTCTCGATAAACCCATCAGTATCGATCCAGCCCAATCAGTTCCCTCGCTCGCTTCGAAAGAACCGGACTCTGTAATGGCCTTTTGATGGCCGCCTCGTAGGACGGATGGTCTGCCGGCGGCAGGCGCTCCTTCACTCGAAAATCGGCCGGATCATGCGTTGTGTTCTGCTTCGCTTCAAAGGCCTGCAGGCGGACCTTTCTTGCCTCCTCTGAGACAGCCGCTGCCGGCTTGTAGCAGACATCTTAGATTTGGCCGTTAGCATGCATATACAAATAAGAGATAGTTAAACCTACAGGCAGCAAATCGGTCATTAACCGAAGAAGGCGCGGCGCCATAATGGATCGTGCGCTAGTGCTCTGTTAGTCAACAACAAACTAGAGATAGCTTGAGGAAAGGCAGCACGCACCGAGTCCCAGAGCAGCAGATCTCCCGGCTCTGCGCACACCTTAGTCCATTTGCACCCCTTGCCCTCAAGCCACTGGCACATCTCCTCGTCCACATTCTGGAAGGCCCAGTTGCTCCACCCCTTTTCACCCTTTTTGTGATCAAAATACTGCCATAACTCAGTGTAGTAAGCGCTTGACCCTTCAAAAACCATAAGCCCGCCATCCTCGGGCCCATTGGGTAACAGATTCAGAATTCCCTGGACAGTGTCAAACTTGTTGTTAAAGGGGGACTGGTCGACATGCGCCCACGGCGCGAAAACAGGGTCCGTCTTCGAACGCTCCTTTTCAGGTAGGGAGAGATTCACCCCGTCTGTCCAATCAGTATACTAATCATAATCAGAGAAAAAATGAATTATACCAAATGACACTAGGAGCTCGCGAGTGCTCCATATCTGCTCCCACTTCTCTACAAGCCCGGGCTCCGACTTCAAGTCCCACACAAACTGCTCGTGGCCGATGCCGTACCTATGCCCCCGGTAGTGTTAGTATTGCCGAAGCCTATCCCGCTGCCTAGAAAACGAACTAATGGCTACCAACCTGTTGTAGAGCCCTCCGCGAATGTGCCAGGGAAGGTTCGCTGCTCTGCGGGTGGACGGGTCCTTGCGGTCGAACCCCAGGTTCCAGCTTTCAAGCCATTCGTAGCCCTTGTCAGCATAGGCCAGTGCTCGGTCTCTGGGTATGGCGCCGCGCACGACCGTCCAACCCTTGGTGTGCAGCTCGACTAGCCAATCGGGATGCTATAGGAAGCGTGGTGAGTAGAGTACGCTGGACTTTAGCAAAGCGGGGTTGCAACTAACATTTTCGGCATTCCCGTCAACGGCCGCGAGCTGGACGGCTGGGCGGATCTTGGTTTGCGTGCTGACGATGGACTCGGTGGAAGTAGGCATGGTCGATGTTGCAAAGATTCTATCGTAATTTTTCCCTGGAATGTTGTTGAGGTAATTATGGATGTGGAGGTAGTTGACAGTTAGCTAGAGTATTGACGTGATTGAAACCCGACTTTGACGGACCAGTCACGCCATTTTATCTTATTTCCTCAGCCTCAAGTCAACCGCCTGAAATCCTCTCATGGCATTTCATGACCCAACCGTGAATCTATCCCCTGTATCACCACACCAAAAAACATAAACCGGCTAAACAAATGTTATGCAGAGGGCATTAAGCCGTGCAGCTCTCTTGTAGCTTTCGCCACCTTCTATATCCGTGACCCATCGTCTGACATATCTGAGAGCCAGTGAGTGATAATTTCGGTCGCCAGTAGCTGGAAGAGCGATAGTGGTTGAAAATTCTAGGGCAGATGGCAGAGTTTAGCAGGTGGTTTAACAGGTTGTGTGGCAACCGAGCAGCACCGTTTCCAGCTCCGTTACTTCAATCCGTACGTGACGGCAACGGAGTACAAAGTACACTCCACAGTCATGTTACTCGTACAGATACTGGTAGAAAGAGAACTCAGACCTTAAGAAGTGGTCAGATTGCTCCAAAGTCTCGATGAATAAGAGTCAAAGCCCAGCCTCCAGAGTCAGATCAGAGGCAGAGTTGGAAGAAGGCTTCCACTTTTTTGACTTTACCCTCTTGTCATTCTCGCCCGCCAGAACCGTGTCGCACAAACGGATGGGAAGAGGATTCAACATCCGCCAGCTAAAACAGACAGTTACCTCACATTGTCACACTAGTAATTGCCATAATCCTCCTCATTCAAACTGGAGATGGTGTGCTTTTGTCCATTTCGGCTGGACGTGGCCACAGACCTTTTCCTTTCCAATTTCCCAGGGTGTACTCGGAACAGGGGAGGGGTGCGCATGGTGTTGAACTAGGAGGTTATAGGAACATCCGTATAAAGCTTATGCTTCGAGTACTTACTGCTGATGATGTGGACTGCCGAGTCCTGTGTTGTGCTTGGTGCTGTGCTGGGTTAAATTCTAAACAAACAATATCTGAAATATTTATTGATGTAAATCCCTACATCACATAGAGCTATACATTGGATTTAATTTTACACGTATCTGTTTTGTCCAGTAGCTCTCTAGCTTCGACGACCGCTCGAACCTCAACCTCAACCTCAACTTTCCCCTGTGCGCTCTAAGCTCAGAAAGAGTTAGTGGTTAAACCCAACCTCCTCATTAAACAAAACTCCCCAAATCTCCCCTTCCACCTCTACCTCAGCTACCTGCTCACTGAACAATCCAGACCCCAGGTCCCGCTCAAGCACCGTAACCCGATTTCCTTCCTGAATCCCAATAACCGCCAAATTCCCCGCCCGGTTCAGATCATAGCTCCTCGCCAGCGCCCCACCCACCGGCGCCGCCTGCACGAAGTCAAGCTTCCCCGCCAGATCCTGGCGGATGCGAAATGTCGAAATCGAATCCGAGGTTCCGTTGGGCGGGTACTGCGCCGGGGTCCCTGAGAAGCGCGCGTCGCGCCGGTTGCTAACAATCAGATAGTCGCCGTCGGCGCTGAGGCGCAGCTCCGACGTTATCCCTTTGCCGCCCGTACTGGGCTTGGGTGTCCCCGGTTCCAGCGAGCTGTAGGTACCATTGGGCAGCGGGGTGAGGTGCAGACCAGCCTGGTTGGGGAGGTATGTTACGCGGAAAGCGGTGATAATGCCTGCGATTTCGGCGCCCAGGTAGAAGACGTAGCTGGCGGTGCCGTCGGGAAAGAGAATGGGCTCTTGAGTGAAGACGCCGTGACGGGGACCGGAGCCTGAGGTGGCGTTTTGCGCGGGTCGCTCTTCGAGAAGGAGTGTTTCGTGGTTGATAGCGTAAACGCGAACCAGGTCAGCGCCGAGGTCGATGCCGAGCAGGTAAAGGCCCAATGGATCAGCGAGGGTCTGGTGGATGTGTGGTGCGGCTTGCCGGGCCCCTGCGGGGCCGGGTTTGGCCATGGTGTAGGTGAAGGTCTGCAGGGACTTAAGAGTACCGTTTGGAGCGGTGACATCGTACGTTTGGATGGCGCTGCTGGTATAGTGGGCCACGGCGAGAGCCTTGCCGTTGGCATAGAAGTTGGCAAAGGCGCCGTCAAGGAGGCACTCTACGCTGTCCAGCTCGACGGGAGGGCCGGTGCCGTTTTTGGAACTCGTACGGTAGGCAGTGAGGGTCCCATTGCCGGTGGTGGTGCCGTCTACGACGTATAAAATGTTGTTATGTTTGTTTAAAGTCAGCCATGCTGGGGACTCGGTAGGTGTCTTGAAGGTGTCGACGACAGTGAGATTGTATTTCTTCTTCGGTGCGAAGCCAGCAAAGTATCCGTCTTCGACATATGCTGCTGATCCAGTCGAAGCGAAATGTTCGTACGTCAAAGAGAGCACAGAAACATTGCCTGTGTATGAGGAGACGTAGATGAGGATACCATGGACGCTATTGCAAAGCAGAAGAGCCTGCAGCACAATCAAGGTAAATCGGATCATATTGAGTGAGGGTATTTTGCAAACAGAAGACCATCATTTCTTGGTCTATGTCACTACTTTTATAACACAGCATCTGGCATCTGCTTGAAGTGAATTAACCGACCGGCTGGTATTGACAGCATTGAAAGATATAGGATGCTTCGTCGGCAAAATCATTTTTAGTAAGATTAATAGTCTTTGATAGGACATCATAAAGAGCCCTGACTTGAATGTGTCCGGCTGAATTTCAGTGGTTTAACCGACCACCGATCTTACGCATCTCCAATTCCTACACAACCCCGCATCGTGGGGAAATGAAGGATCCTGTGGGGCATGACGTCATATTTGCGAAGTCCTGTAGTCGCTGAACTTGGCTCATACTGAAACAGGTGCATAATGGACTCCTGCTGATCTCAAACCCAGCGTGAAGAGAAGCCACAGCACAAGCATTCCGCACGGTTGAAACACGCGTATCCACACTCTCAATTTGAATGCAGTTCCCGAGACGCTAAGCATCCGTCACGCGTCATATGATTTGATAAACACATCCTGATATAACATTGGTCGGTTGCCGACTCGGGAGTTTCTTAAGTTCTGATGATTTGACAGATCGATCTCCGTATAATATGAATTAGATGTGTCCTTGACGATTGTCTTGGGGCATGAAAGCTACGTTAAGGCTGTCGCAGCTACAGCAGGGGTACAATTAAAAGGAGTAGTGGCCTATTTCGTCATGTAACTCCGAAAAGATGGAGCGAGAATGACCGCGATCGTGATATGACTGTGCGGCTGAGATTCAGGGCGGAATACTATCGAAATTGTGCCCGCTGGCTAATTGGAGAGCTAAGTAGTCGGCAGTATACGGATACTATCTCCAAAGAGGAGAGTTTTCAAAGTCCGAAACGGCCATTTTGGCCTTTGATTGTCCTCAAAGCAGGTTACTACTGGTAAAAAGAGTGCGAACTGAGGGTCCTCAACTTGGTTGCTAATAGCAAATGAGATTTTCTCGAAATTGCAAAGAGCGATATGCACTTTTCTAGATAGTGTCGGGTTGATATCTCTTCGTATCTGTACTTCATTCTAGCAGTGATCGAACCAACTGTATGTGGACATCTAGATTCACCTAAATCCTAATGACTGCTTCCAATAAATCCACTTGTCTAACCACTCGCCTTCCTATCAACCACCGTAAGCCGAGTGAAAGCCCAGTACGCCCCCGCATCAATCTCTTCTACAGCTTCGGGTAAGAGCCGTGAAAATTTCTCACCTTGAGCTGGATTCTGCGTCGTACGGGCGAGCATTTCTGGAACGATAAGGTTGCATTCATGCTTTGCTACAGCCATATATGGTGGGGCCTCTCTGACGTCACTTTGCACCTCTTGTAGATTGGCCTGCTGAAAGAAATAAGGAATCTCAGGAGTCCAGTGGGGAGTGGTACGATCATCCGTCGCCCTGCCTAAGCGCATGAGAATTTTTAGGGCATCGTATTTGCAGTCGGGACTGATCTTTTCGATGCGATACGAAAGGGCATCGATTTCAGCCCATTGAAGGTAGCCGGCCGGTTATGTGGGGTAATCAGCATGCAATAGTACGTTAGAGGTGGGGCCCAAGGGTTAACATTGGGCGCATACTCAATAGCTGTAAAACGTTTCTGATGACTCTCTCAGCCTTCAAGTCCCTTATTGCGAAGGAAAAGTGCCGAACGTGAACAAGATCGTAGACACCACGGAGGTGATTAGGCGTCTCGGATAGTATGTCGTATGAGTGTAGAGTCATATTTGAAGGAAGGAATTCTCTTGGGGGGAGAGCGCTGAAAGATATATCAAGGCCATCTAGGGATACGGTGCTCGGAAGTCGACGAGATAGATCTGTCAACCAGATTCTGGTTGGAGCGTTAGCAGTAAGCTAGTTATTTTTTCTTTCTGCATGTTTTAACACCTACCCAGTGCCAGTGCCAACGTCGGCAATTCTCAAGTCTGGGTTGCTTGTAGGGATGGAAGGGTGGATATGGTAGCCGAACAGTTCGGTCCACAGATAATGTTGGAGGTTGATGCTGCGATTTCAGTTAGCAGTTGTACATCGAATATATTGAGCAAAACGTCCCGGTTGTCATCATGGAAATCACGAGTGAAAACGTATTCGGGCTTAGTCATGATGTAATTGAGAATCGATCTAATAGTAAAGATTTTGGATGTCTATTAATTTGTCCCCGGAAAGCATTAAGGCCTTTATGTGCTACAAATTGAGTATCGCAGAAGTATGCTTTCATTGACGAAGATGAGGCACTCTATATAGAGGAAACAGCATAGATGACACGTCATTATTTCAATTAGTTGATTCATAACCGTAGTAATAATGAGAAATAGCATTGAAGGGTACCATGATAAACTATTGTGCCTGAATCTGAGTCACAAAACTGGGCGACCGTCTAACTGCCATCAAGTCAATTAGCTGAAAGACAAGGAATCAAAAAAGTATGTCATCCTACACCCAAACAAGGGGTATAGGGCTGAGCTGGCGTGACTAGGTGCAATGTTGACTAGAAAGCTGTCAGAGGCACAGCGCGCTTTCCTCAGAGCAAGGGGTGAGACAACCAGGAAATGATAAGCTTCGGGTATGATCCGGTGGCTTGGAGTTCAGGTATGCGAACCCTGATGGAGATATATGGATACGACGTGGTAGGCTGTTGGAACCATGGTTGACGCGGAGAGAAAGAAACAGGAATAAGGAAATTTCAGGGGAAATTGAGGAGCAGGGTTAAAAGAAGAAAAAGTTACGCGCACCAGGACGAGTCATATTTCAACAGTCGACGAGTAATTAAGTACTCGCACCTGGAGATGATGTATATCTGAGACCTAATGTATCTTTAACAACCATCCTAGAAATGTATACAGGCATTGGTCTATCGTGCAAACCTTTTTATGAAACGACTTTTGGTCTTTGATTAAACAGATTCATTGAAGAAGTATCTTATCAAGATGATCGGAGCCGATCAAGTGGGCCTAGACCTGCAATTAGCACATCTTCTGCAAGGTAGGCTATGATGTGGACTCCACATCCCAAATTGCATCAAGCAAGTCAGTTCATGTCTAGCAATACATCATTCGTGGCGATCTCTCCGAGAAACTGCATCAGGAGCAGAATTGTGACGAATCGACGGTTTTAGACCTAATGGGCAAGCCTTTTTTACAGCAGCGCCAATGCCTATACCGAACAGTCGCCATCTGTTAGAAAGATTCATGATCGGGTGATGAATACGTTTGTCATGTCTCTAGAGATTGTACGTCGTAGTTGGTGTAGCTAACGAAACTATTTGGAGGCTACACTTGTGGACGATTGCTTGAAAATATCTGCCTTACATTCATTGTCTCAGCTTCTTTCACTGCTGGAAGGACGATCAGACTTAGTCGCTATCCCTTTTCACGACAGAGTTGCGGTGAGTAGGGCCGTTTGTCAACATGACTGATGCAAGCCATGACCACACAGCCTCACTAATTTCAAACTAACGATAACGAGGCTCGGGTGAAGGCAGAGCATGGCCGCAAAAGCTAATCCCGGCGAGTGACAAATCTTAACGCAGGAGGCTTCCACTTCCCACAATGGTGTACGTTAGCGGCAACGGCCTTAATATACCGACCCCATTGCTCTATGACGTGCAGAGTCCTCAGTGGCCCACGTGAGTAGCTCAAGAAAATCCATGTAGCAAACTTTTGCGAATAAACTGCTGGATCATACCACGTGTGAAAATTTGACCCTGGAGTTCGAAAGCCGGAATAAGGGATCGACAACAACGTCTCGGGAAGGCGATAGAACAGCCTCGGCACGGCAGCGAGTGGATCCGTGGCGCCATAAAAGCCCTTCTCGAATTCTTCTCTTCTCGGCCCGTTGTCGGGACCGATTCGAATAGAGTCATGAATAACCTTATCTCAAACCAAAAGCTACCATTTACTTTGCCAACGGTATCTTGGCACTCAGGGTGAACCAGAGAGATATGATACAGAAAACGTAAAAATGCAAATAACTCTGCGAGGCGCGAGAGGAAAGTCCCTGCGGTCTCGTGTGCGACATGCGGACTTCGTTCGGAAAATCTGCGGTTGGAAGGTGGATCTGGTGGACCAAACTTGCCGTTACGTTCCTTGAATTGCACTCCACAGAAGCCGACGTGAAGTTTTCTTCACTTGTTCCCTGGGTTTCCACAGGATAACGTTACTCAAATGGCAGCAACGCCGTAAGCCGTTTCGGTTTGCTCGGACCAGTCCATATTAATAATGTATGATCAGGATCGTAGAGACTGGGCGTTTATAAAGACTGGGTAGGCCAGTTTTTTCGTAAGGATCCATCCATCTCTCTTTTTTCTAGATACCCCTCACATTATTCAAAATCTTACCAACCATGAGCGTTACGTACGACGTGTTCCGTGGCTCTGCCGAGGGCCGCATTGTCGCTGACAAGGCTTCGTCCACCCTTGGACACAATGAGGTCTTCATTGAGACCACCCACTCTGGTCTTTGCGGCACAGATGAGCACTACCTCAAGACCAACCAGGTGCTCGGTCACGAGGGTATTGGAATCGTCAAGTCTCTTGGCCCCGGTGTTACCTCCGTGAAGGTTGGAGACCGTGTTGGATTCGGATACACCCACAGCATCTGCACTTCCTGTGACAACTGTGCTACTGGTACTTCCCCTACATGTATGACACATGAATCATTATGCAGGCTAACCCATTCGAACTAGGCTGGGATCAGTACTGCGAGAACCAGAAGCAGTACGGTTTCCACGACTTCGACAACGGAACCTTCAGCTACGGTGCCGTCTGGGACGCCAACTGCGTCTACCCCATCCCTGATGGTTATGACTCCGCGTATGCCGCTCCTCTCATGTGCGCCGGTGCTACTGTCTGGACCGTCCTGAGCGAGTATGGCATTCGCTCGACTGACCGCGTCGCCGTCATGGGCATTGGTGGACTTGGTCACGTTGCTATCAAGCTGGCTGCTGCCATGGGCTGCCACGTCGTTGTCCTTTCCAGCTCCGAGACCAAGCGCCAGGAAGCTATGGACTTTGGTGCTTCTGAGTTCCACGTTTTCAAGTCCGGTGATGCCGTTCCTGAGGGCTTCAAGCCCGTCAAGCACCTCTTGCTTTGCGGCAATGCTGGTGTTGATTACCCTTCGTACGTTGGCTTCCACACCCCCGCACCCCCCAATCACTCTCGCCTTTGCATAGTAGCTTGTTCGTGCATATAGCTAACGTGAAAACAGTCTCATTCCCCTGATGGCCACTCACGGTAGCATCTACCCTCTGACTGTGGCTTTCGAGCCTGCTAAGGTGCCCATGCTCGGCCTCGTGTGGAGGGGTGTCCGCATCCAGGGTTCCCTGGTTGCTTCCCGCCAGAGCATCCGCAGCCTTCTCGAGTTCGCTGCCAGGAAGAAGATCTACCCCACCATCATGACCTTCCCCTTGAACAAGGAGGGTATTGAGGAGGCCATGCAGACCCTGCGCGAAGGCAAGATGAGATACCGTGGTGTGCTGGTTCGCCAGTAGACACGATCACGATCTCCTTTCCTTTCCCTCTTGTTACAACCTGTAGTACTAGTCACGATGATGATAATGTTGAGATAGAATAAATAGATAGAATCCTAATCGTATGATGATGCCTGATCAGGAATGTCCGCTAGACTTACCGGAAATAGACATCCGATTCCTCGCACTAAGCTGCCTCAAGTTAGCACCGGCTTCGGGCAATCACCGAGCCGAAAGACAAACAGTGCAAATGTTGTTGTATCACGTTTCATCGCCTAGCAGTAAGTCACATGACTGGCCATCGATAGCAACAGTACTGCCCTAGATTATTTATATAGAAATTAGGGATATTTGCATCAGTCAGTGAATGTCTTTGATGATATTAATCTAGAACGATGTATGAAAGACTATTTGTATCTCCATTTGTTGCGCCGCTCAGTAGTGACATATAAATAGCGGTTGTGGGTCAAGGTACTATTGTCATTCTTGTTTTGAATGGGGAAAATTGTCAGTGTTCATACTAATTGATACCCCCATCTTGATTTGAATTGCAGTACATTTAGAAGATAAGGGGATGAAGGCAATCCAAGGCATGACAATTTGTGACCTCAGCGAAAACACCATCTCTGATGGCAAAATACAGCTGATAATGGCCTGTCCTTTTCAAATCATTGACGTGCCTAAAATTCTTCTTGTACTTCAAATGCCGCATATAGAGAGACTCAACTATTCAGAATATTGGAATTCTCCGTAGTCGTGGCTCCGTGCGTGGAATTACCCGACCTTTGAACAGCCAACAAGCCATGGTAAGCGTAGGTAAGCACTAAATTCCCTAAGCTACTACTAGCTTGCTACTGAGCGTAGCATTGACTGGGGTATCGATAGAGTCGAACTAACAGCTCACAGCCTTGCCTTACCATTTTCTCGTCTTCCTAAACTCTGCCCCACTCTTATGAACGCCAGTATAAGTAATTCCCCAAGCATCCTCAGCCCCTCTGCTCTTTCTAATCCCACCTCTTTCCATCCTTCAACAACTAGCTACTACACAACAGCCATGTCTTCCTCCAAGCCCGTGATCCTCCTCATCTCAGGAGGCTGGCACGTTCCCACGTCATACGACAAGCTCACCAATCTCCTCAAATCATCCGGGCACGAAGTCCACGTCCCCGAGCTACCATCAATGAACGGCGCGCGGCCTCCAACAGCCGATCTAGAAACCGACACAACTGCTTTTCGCGAATACGCGTTGAACCTCGCCAATGCTGGCAAAAATGTCATTGTGATCTCCCATTCCTACGGCGGCCAAGTAGCTACCAATAGTCTTTCGGACCTAGCGATCTCAAACCGCAGCAAACAAGGCCTACCTGGTGGAGTACTTCACATTGTCTCACTGTCTTCCTTCACTGTTACTGAAGGGCGAAGCATGTTTGACATTGTGGACCAGTTCGGTCACGCGTCGTTGATGCCCGTGGCATTCGATTTCGCAGAGGATGGGACGTGCGTGGACCGCGATCCTAAGGGTCTGCTTGTTACGCCTGGTCCGGATGAGGCTGAGTCCGAGGTAGAATGGTATCTGGGGACCCTCCAGCGGTGGAATGGCAAGTGCATGTACCAGCCCATTACTGCCGAGCGGGCTGCTTGGAGAGACATTCCTGTGACGTGTGTCTTGTCGACTAGGGATATGACTGTTCCTGTTGACTACCAGAGGTGGATGGTGGATGTGATGAAAAAGGAGGGGGCAGAGGTAGAGGCTTTTGAGCTGGATGCAGGCCATTCGGTTGATTTTAGTAAGGCGAAGGAAGTGTCTGAGATTGTAAATAATGTGGTGGCCCGCTATGAGGGGAAGTGATGCGATTACAATGTAGATGGCTACGAGGCTCACTCGGCTTATTTTGAAACTTAGAGGGGCCTTGAGAAAGCTGCCTTGTATGCGGCTGAATACCAGATAACCACGTTAGGCACCGAACCTTAACATTCCACTTGCGGGTGCGATGCCCTGGCACCTCACGGTCCCTTCGAAACCCCCATAACTCCTGCGAATAGTTACGTTCAAACCAGTCTTTATCCCCATAGGCCGGTTCGGTTTCGCGAGTTGAGCCGGCCTGGATCGAGTTGCCCAATAACATATGATCAGGTGGAGCACGCCATCGGGTTCTAGCCTATCATATTGGCACATCCCCCACGCACCAGTCAATGTGCTCCAGACCAGCCAGCCGCAACCCAAGAGCTAGTCTAACGCGCCGACCCTTGTCGTCTGAAATTGTGCTCATCGCCTCGCAGCACTAGGCTACAATTGCCCCACGCGGCGCAGGAGGTGTGCATTACTATCAGTCTGAACTTGCAAATTTACCAATTAAACCCTCTGAAGCAAATCTCTCAATCCAGGATTTTGTTAATACTTAGTTTCAAAATGTCAGGGAGAGGTGCTTGTCTAAGCTGACTTGATCTTTAATGTTTCTCTTACTTTCCTCGGAACATCCGACCTTTCACTATCAATGGAGTCGCTGTAAACACCTTTCTAACCCACTTGCTAGTATTTTGACAAGTTGTAAATCAATGAATGACAATCTAGGCCTGCATCCAATCTTCCATTTGAGAATCTATCACATATGCAATAGCCCGAACCCAAATTTATCTCCCCGCTTAACCCCTCAAGCACGTCTCTGTCCCCTCCCCTTAGTGAACCATACCACCACATAAACCAACACAAAGTTCGTACAGCAAAAGCCCCATTAAAAAAAAAAAAAAAAAAACCCCCAATTCCACCAGCGCTGCCCATACGAATAATCCAACGTGTCCAGATACTCATCACCGACCGAATACGGACAATACGAGCAATCTGCCGTCGCGTTCGGATTAACGATGTAGCCTGGGTTACTCCCCAAGAAGGCCGCCGCATACTAGCCACAAGTACTGCCTGGAGGAGCATCAAATACGACGAGATCACTCGAGGAACACTCAACCGCAACGCCGTGAAGGACCGAACCGAGGGAAGCGCCGAAGAAGTAGCGCATGAGATCGATCCAAAACAGCCAGGGGCGGTAGAAATCGTTTAGGTATGCATGGGTAGTCAAGTCTCCAGGAACAATCATCAGGATGACCCAGTAGAGGGAATTAGCGTACCCGCCTAGAGTTGCGGATGGGAAGAGCGCAGCTAGGAGGTGGGAGTACCCAGTTCCAAAGATACGGCCGGGAACCCGATTAATCCCTTTAGCAATCGCTTCTTGGCCTTGTAATTGTCTCAGTGACTCTACCAGGGCGGTATTCCATGTTGCACCGATTGCAGTTTCTGTGAGTAACGCACATTCTAGATTAGACTTCCTTGAACGAATGGTCCTAAGGCACTTACCACAAGGATAGCAAGCTGCAGGTTTTCCATTGAAGAATTTTGTTCCCGCACTCCATTGGGTCCATCAGACACTCGAATGGCGGGAATCCCCAACCGGGGGACACTGGCTGTGTGCCAAAAGTCAGTGCCGGAGACCAACGAGATCTTCTCGTCAATGGTCAGTCGGCCTAAGATATCATCGATATCGGCCATTGCCATTTCGAATGCCGACTTAAGCAGACCTGTAGCTGTGGTATCATGACAGCCATGTCTATACTGGTAGGTTCTACCGCTTCTTATGCCTCATTACTGAGGGAATGAGGCCATCGGCTTCGGGCGAACTCTCCTCCTTCTCCAATCCCCGAAACAGTGGTAAACCGCTTCACCGGCTGCTCCCTGTTTGGGGTCTCCAAGAACATTTTAATAAGCAATCCCCATTGTCCAGAACGCACGATCCTTGGGTAGTTATGCTCACTATACCGTGATAGAAAAGAATGTATGTGTTCGTGCCATTGCAGATGTGTATCGCTACTTTTTTGAGTGGTAAAACAGCAAATAGAGTCAATTTACTAACTTTCGTCCAACATGGCCGCCCGCTCCTGGTGGCCTACCCAATGGAGATCTGGCCCTCACTAAACATCTATGCAGCCGTAGACTCGGTGTGGGTGGCTTGGGTGTCTTATCATTGTTTCGACTATCCACAACATTTTCATCAAACAGACCACCCTGGCTGAAATCGACTAGAACTACCATCTGATTTGATGGTCCTTATTCTGTTTTATTGGTCTGGTCTTGTGGTCTGCATATCCCGAAGCGAGTGTTTTCTCGCTCGAAGAAATGGCTGTGGTATTCGCCGGTAACGAGGCTACCCTTGTAGCCAAAGGGGATGAACCGGTAACAGAGCACACGGACGCTGATGCGACAGCTTAGGAAAACTGATTACTGTCTTTCATACTGTCTACCTCACCTCTGAATCTGATAGAGTCGCGTCTGCGGACGGGACCTCTTCCGAGAAGCTGGGTTGATCAGCACTAATCTTTCTCTTTTGTCTCCCCGCCATCATTCGCTTATTTGATCGGCATGGCCATCCCCACTTTACCAACGTCAATGCTTTTCTCTACTATAGTCTTTTCTGCTTACCATCGCTATGGCCACCTGACGACTTGAGCATTGTTATTTTGAAGGATATGTTGGGTCACGGAAATGCGGGAATCAAAGGGTTCAATCGGATCAATTTGTGTAAACTGGTACAGTCGCGGAGGAATAGACAAAACAATGTTCCGTAATTGGATGCAGATAACTTCATTGGAACATGTCATCCCGCTGCGGGGTTTGTTACGAGCACGCAAGAATCGCTGCCTCTTGCGGGAGAGGCTTGGCCTTTTCTAGAGGCCTATAAACTTCCTTCTCAACTCACATTTCACGTTATTATTTCCATCTCATTGTCCATAAGGATACAGATTTACTCCAACGGATTCCGGGAATTCTAAATACAGTGCATAGAATCTACCTAAGGTTAATGTACCCATCCTTGACGATGATGAGAAATAACGGGACTGATCAATGTGCTCTCAGCACGCATCATGCGCTCACCCTGGCCTATCTCAGCCTCTATGATGGTGCTACCACTGGTAGCAGCTGACTGGCAATTCAAATCGCGCCCTGATCTGGCACCGCCCAAACTGAATATTACCATCCCTGCAGCCGCGGATGTGGAGAAGGGGTACCTCTTCGTGGCTCCTTTTGCTGGTATCGCAGATGGCCCCGGAGAAATGCATGGCCCTCGCCAGGCTTCTCCTTACATCTTTCGGGATGATGGTGAGCTAGTCTGGTCCGGATACTCCTACTACTCCATCTGGGCGACCAACTTTCAGAAAGCCCGATGGAACGGCAAGGATGTCCTATTCTGCTTCGAGGGTGACCATAATCCGGCTTATGGACATGGTCACGGCCATGTCACCTTCCTAGATCAGCACTATGAGACCATCCGCGAGCTGCGTGCTGGTAATCATAAGATCATGGACAAGCATGAGTTCCACGTTATCAATGAGGAGACGGCTTTGATACAGATCTATCAACCTGTGCCAATGGACCTCACTCCCTGGGGAGCCAGTGCGGAGCAACAGTGGATCGTGGATGCCATCATCCAAGGTATGGAATCCATTTGCATGACAGGATAAAGCTAATCAGGGCAACAGAGCTTGATATTGCAACTGGTGATGTTCTGTTTGAGTGGTCCAGCTTGGATCATGTCCTTCCCGACGGTTAGTTCTTCCTCGTTCATAGCTCACGCCTGCAACCAACTAAACTCTCTCAGAGGCAATCCTCCCCATCAACCCTGGCCAAGCAGGCGCTGGCTACAACTCTTCAGATGCATGGGACTACTTCCACATCAACTCCGTGGACAAAGACACTGACGGGAATTATCTCATCTCCGCCCGTGATGCCTGCGCCGTACACAAAATCAACGGCAGCAGCGGCGAGATCATCTGGCGTCTGGGAGGTGTCAAGTCCGACTTCGAACTAGGCCCAAACGCCAACTTCTGCTTCCAACACCACGCTCGATTCGTTTCCAAAGACGGTGACTCCGAGATCATATCCCTATATGACAACTCCGCTCACGGCACCGAAAACGGTCGCGGCCACGAAGTCCACACTCACCCATTCTCACAAGGCAAGATCATCAAAGTCAACACTGCCACCTGGAAAGCATCCATCGTCCAAGCCTTCCAACCACCCGATGGCCTATTGTCCAAGTCTCAAGGCGGCACCCAATTGCTACCCAACGGCAACGTCCTTGTGAACTGGGGCTCCGAGGGTGCATTGACTGAATTCCGCCCTGACGGCACTCCAATCTTGCACGCCTACATGGACTCGGGCTTTCTGGGCGAGGGAGTCGAGAATTACCGTGCTTTCCGGTATAACTGGACCGGACTTCCTAATGAGACGCCGGCTATTGTATCTCTTCAGAACGACCAGGGTACGACCCTCTATGTTTCATGGAACGGTGACACTGAGACAAAGGTCTGGCGCTTTTATAGCGTGGTTGATGAGTACGGCTCGCGCGAGTTCTTGGGCGATGCGAAGAGGACTGGTTTTGAGACTGCACTGTCACTACCAGGTCGTGTCATTCATGCAGTGTCTGCTGAGGCTATTGATGCCAGGGGAAGGGTTTTGACAGCTACTGCTGCTGTGAGAACCAAGGCCGAGGTGCTACCTCCGAAGACAGCCTCGGTCGGGAAGCACGAGCATGGAGCAGTGCAGTCTCAAGTCCAAATGGGAGGTTCTAGCCACTGGGAGGAGTATATGATCCTGAAGTTGGATCGTTTCTCTCGGGGATGAGGATATGCAGATCACTCCTTGGGTTCTCCCTTGAAAGCCAAACGTCGTGCGGGTGGTGCCTGTTTGTTCAACCAATGGCACCTAGTGGCAACTGTTGTTAGTGATAGTGTTAAGGGTGGCTGGTTACTTTCTGATAGTAGTCTAAGAGTTAGCAATATGAATTGTTGGTGACGATGAGTCTCAGTGTAGTCCATGAACACTCCATATTTCCACCCTTATCAAATGCTACTGCCACTCTTATCTCAGCGCGACAATATCTACCCATCGCAAGCCGCTTCTTATTCCTACACCTCCTGACTAAAATCATACTCATTCCCAAATCCCCGATTCAGATACCTTTCCAACACCTGCTCTTCCGACATCCAATCAACCGGAACCTCCAACCTCGTCTCCCTCTCCACCATAGGCCTCAACTCCTCCGCAAGCTCCAATCTCATTCTGTTCCGATACCACGGCGCGAAATGAACTACACAGAAATCTTACTCAGCACTAGCCCACCACAACCAAGCCAAACCTAGAGGATAAGAATTACTTACTCATAGCCAACATAACCCTCACATCTTCCGTCCAATTCCCCATGCCCGCATGCCAAAGCCTCAAATCCCGAATCACCAACGACCCCTTCGGTACAACAGGCTGACAGGGCATTCTCACAGTGCGACGTCTCTCCACCTCCTGTACCTTGATCCGCCCACTAGCTCGATCAGTGCCATGCGCTCCCTCCTGCACATGCAGACCCGAGTCCACGTGCGTGCCGAGCCAGATCTCCGTGGATCCGTTTTCAGGCGTCATCGTAACCAAGGGGACGTTAATAACGTAGGCGAATGGATGCGATGGATGATCGAAATCCGCGTCGGTGTGTACGGGCTGCGATGTGGGGGGACAGGTACTGGTTGGTGGCATGGCGGTGTTACCTGAGCAGAAGGTCCATTTGGGACGGGGGCCTAGGGCTGTTGAAGTAATCTGGATGGCGAGTGGGTCTGTAGTGGTTACCACCTTAGCAGGAGCGGATGGGAATGCTCGGGGAGAATAATCACGTACTCAGGAAGATTTCTTTGTGGAGATATTCTCTTATCGGGGGTGGATCTTGTTGGATGTTCCCTGGGTTGTAATTGTAAGGGCTATTCTCTTTTCTGGATTGCAGGGTGTAGGCGTCTTGGATCATTTTTGTGTTTAGGTGGTCGAGGGGGTCGTGTGGAATGGCGTTTTCGATAATGACTAGGCCGTCGTGGAAGAGGGAGTGGATGGCGGTTTCGAGATTTTGTGGGGTGAGTTTGTTATTTTCTAGTTCGGTCTTCGATGGTCTTATGGTACGTGGATAGGATGATTGCTTGCGACGGTGGTAGTATTGCTTCGATGGCGTTTGTATTGTCGGGGCGAGTCGTGGTGTCCGACGGGCGAGACCAGGCGGGAATATGTACATGATGCCGAATTTATATATATCGCGGGGGAGGCTTTAGCTATGCGTCTATGTAAAGTATCTCCACCCAACAGATATGGCGTTCTAGTAGTGCTCGGGTATGGGACAAGTGATCTGTTGGTTATGCCAATGACGGTAACGTTGTGGGAATATTCCTGGGCCAAAGAAGATGGGCAATTTAGGTGGCTCTCACTATACAAGAAAAAGGGCAACAGGCGAGGCCGTGGTTAGGAGGGCATATAGCAATAGATATATATGTAGAGGTAGAATTTGCCTAATATAGAGACTCGAGAGTATAAATTGACAACTTTATGTGAAAGAAACATGATCCGATTTGAGATGAGCGTGGATGTGCTCCCAGTCTGGGGAGGTTGATAGGTTACATTTGCATTTCCCCGCTTCTTTCTCCGCATCCCGAGGAACAGCAAGTGCTGGAATAGCGGCATTGCACGGACGGAAGCAAGTCACTTCTAAAATAATGATGACGCGTTAATTCCCAAAAAAAAGCGTTGTATTCGTTTTTTCCTATCAGATAACCCGGACTGGGTTCTAATGCAGAAGTTTTTGGAACGAGAGCAAACGTTTTACCTTTATGTAACAAGACTCGTCGTACTCTACCAATAAGATGGGCTTGTGGTTTAGGGGTATGACGCTCCATTCGCATTGGAGAGGTCCCGGGTTCGATTCCCGGCGAGTCCACTTTTTGCTTTCCAGTTTTTTCAAGAGCATTGCGCTTTTATTTGCTTAAATAAGTATGCGAATAAACAAACAGTCAAACAATAAGTCCTCGATGGTCTAACGGTCATGATTTCCGCTTGTCAATCCCACCTGGGAACAAGCGCGGGAGACCTGGGTTCGACTCCCAGTCGGGGAGATACTTTTTGTTTCTGCTTTTCTTTCATCTCCTTCTGCTACAAAACAAGTCTTGCTCTCAACGAGCTCCTGGATTATTTGTCACTGGCCTGCTCTCTCTGTGTGGTCTGGCTTCATCAATAATGACCTGCCGAAACTCTTCCATTGCGAACAATATCTCAATCATCTAGAAATTGCACCGTTCGGGAAGAGCATTATCGCAATTTACTTTTTTGTTATTCCTTCTATTTCTGTGATCTGTGCATTACCGAACCCCTTTAATATGAGACAAATAGCGTCCAACTCTTTTCGCTACTGTCACAGCCCAAAGAGGATCGATATTATCTAATAGAAGACTTACTGGATCAGGTTGTCGGTCATACCTCAATCTCGATTTATTTATGAGATCAACGTTCAACCTCCAGTAACAGAAATATGTCAGATGACAAAGGTGCTTCCTGTATAGCACACCGTGGGTGGCCGACCGAGCGGGAACTTAATATGTACTAATGCCACCTTGGAGTTGACTCGCCCGTTGAGCATCATTTCATACAATCACATACTTTGGCGTCAAACAGACCCAAGCGAGCAGCGAATGCTTTGCAGCTCTTTGTAGCCCTAGAACGCCTACTGTGCTGTGGTTGTCTGGAATAGACATTAACCAGCATGGTATCAAATTTCAATAAAGTCAATAACAATGAACACTTGAGGTTCGGAGCCACTGGTTGATCGAAACGGTTTAATACTTTTGCCGTGATTGTGTGATGATAGTTGACAAGGACCAGTAGATTGAAAATGTGGGCTTGGTGTTGTGCAGCGATTTGGATGCGCCCGTTGACTCCTACAGACCATGCTTATTCTATACAACAACTACAGTACAGGTTTCTATAATTCTGAAACTTCAATAGTATTACCAGTGTCAATCTGAATAGCGCACTTATGAAAAATACGAAAGAGGGAGGGAGGGGACAGAGAGAGAGTGTGTAAAAGAAGGCCCGAAATAGATGAAATCCCCGAGACTTGAGACAAAGGAAATGCAAGTCACAAACTTTTTCTTTCAAAAACAAAAACACAGCATAAATGTGGGAATAATGGAATAATGGAATCAACAAATAACAACAACAACTTCAAAAGATAAAAGAGGCACATAGCGAGCGAAAGTTGCCATGTCAGTTGACCTCGCTCCGAAAATGTTAACTTCCAACAACTTTCCTCGTGCCACACCATGCAGCAAAGGGATCACAGAGGGTCTTTGCGATCAGGTCCTACTCTGTCAACGGAAACGATCGATTTCCACCTTCCCAAAGTCGTGGCCATGGGAGGAAGTTGCCCTGACGTGGATCTTACTTCTTTCAAGAGTAAGGCGGAGCTTCACATCAATGGTGTCTCCACTTCTTGTACCTCCTGAACTTAATGCGGCGACGAAGTTGCAGAATACATGGCCAATGTTTCGGACATCTGATTTTCGATCAGGGTTTATTTCATACGGGTCACAAAGAATGGGTTATAAAGATGAGAATGTGAGTTCTTCGAACCGTATATCGCATTGTTTTGTCCGCCCACAGGCCTCGGTACTGCATCGTAGATGTTGATAACTGCGAAAGGGAAATCTTGAAAGACCCGGCAGGTAAATGTGGCGGTTCGCAATTCGCCAATTGAGCACCGGTCCCCCTTGAGGAGAGAAATGTCACTATCAGAGCATGTTTGCATAGCTGGGTACTTTCATTGAACTCACCACTTTAAAAAACCCAAGAGACGGGATGCCCCTGAGGCGCTCGAGGTTCTTGGTTATCGAGGTCCATGACACCAACTGGAGGGCCAGAGGACTCAACACCGTAATGACGGTCGAGCTATTCAACCGAAAGAAGGTTCCTGTACGCCCAGCGAGCAGCGCCTTCAGCTACAGCAGTCTCTCTAACTCATGGATCACTGTTAGACAATGTCAGGTAAGAAGGTACGGGCAGACTTACGGCGTTTGGTGTCGGTGGACCGTTATCTGCGAGTTCGCGAAAAGCCTTTGAATGGCGTTATAAAGATAGACGGAGTGTGCCGCCGCGCCGGATACGTAAACGTGCTGGGTGTTTGTCAGTGCCTGAATCGATAAATGTGCGAAAATATGTCAGTGAGATAATCGGTACTCCATACCTTGATTACTGGGCGTCCAATCAAGTCATGTGCTCGATTAATTTGCGCTGTCAGAACATCGCAGATTGTCACTATGAGAGGATACTGAAGATCGAGCATATCGACACTGTTACTATTCGATTAGATTTAATCCCCACAAAAAGCCGACAGAGGAAAGGTAGGCGGGGAAGGGGGAGGGGGGAAGCAGCAGACTTTGTGAACTCGAACTTGCGAAAACCTGTCGATATACGATATTGTATATCGCCAATTTCTTGACCGATGGTGCCTTCGAAGTCACGCTTGGCTGACTCAAAAATGCTCATTAAACGACCAGTTGGGGAAAAGACCGAGCGCCTCAACTTCTTCTACTTCAAATCATCAGACGCGACAGCGTAAAATTCCCGGTCTATCATAGTGCTACCCCCCGAAGGATCTACTCGACTTCAGGGTGTGTTCGTAAATGTGGCGAACCTGACGGGGGAGACCTACCTGTGTAGTTGCTTACAGTTCTGTAGTCCCCAATCTCTTTCTGGTGGATGACGTAGGTGCCAATATCCTGTATGTGGTAAGCCAGACTTTCAAAGGGTGATAGAGAGCTGGATATATCCTTACAAGCGTTCCACCTCCACAGTCACAGACAACGACTCCATCTCCCGCCTAATACTAAAGTCAACATGCACAATACCTTCAAGATGTGGAAATAAAACAGCAGCGTATAAGACACACCTGAATGGGAATCAACTGATCACATAACATTGTTGTCAGTGCTGCTTCTGGCTCAGAGAGGACGAGAGGGTCGTCTCCAGCAATTCCGCGAAAACCTGCTGCCCGGGCGGCTTTCTTCATGGAGCTTATAGCTACTTCCGACCATGTCGCCGGTACAGTCAGAATGTATGCAAATGGCAATATCCCAAGGTTGTTGTCATTGCATTTTCTCTTAATGTGAGTTTCCGAGTATTTCCTGAGGCGGTCCAGGAAGTCTCTAATGATACTGGTAGGGTCCCTGCCTCCAGGCCGGTGGAAGATTCCCACGGAATCTTTCCACTGCTCGTTGTCATCGGCGATGATCTTTTCCGTTACTTCAGGTTCTAAGAGGAGCTTAACCCAGGAAGAAGTTACATGATCTTCGGTAATCATGTATCCCCATGCCGCGTTTTGGAGGACTCGCTTCTTGAAACTGTAGGCGATGCGGGTCGGGACACGCGTCGAACGGGTCTGCGTTCCGGGCCAAGTGTCGATAAATCTCACATTCGTAGAGTCGGGATGAATCCATGCAACACCTGCTCCGACTGATCAATGTCTATGCCCGAGCCTTGCTCGACCAGCTTGGGGTTCCAAAAGTCTTACTCGTATGAGTAGTTCCGCAATCCACGGACACAGCGATCTTCCGAGTACGTTCCATGGTCATTATGGCGTTATTCGGGGGACCACTTCGGCTAAGATTATGTTGGTTTGGACACAAAGATATAGGGTAGATAGGAAACCAAAGAAAGCACAATTTAGACAAGGGAAAAGTATTGAAAGTGGTTCTGCGGATGGACAGAGGCAGCCACGAACTAGGTAGATTGGACGTAAGTTATATTGCTTGTCCAAATCTGAGGAGATCTAGATCCAGCTGACGCCCTTCATGAGTGAGACAGAAGAGTAAGTGTAAATTTGCCCAAGCGAGTGGCATGCGCCCAAATGACGGGCCTGGACCTCTATGATTCTATCACCTGACAATTGAGAGAAAAGGCTGGGTGGATACGGTTGCCACCATTCCCCTTGACGATGGCTTTCAACCTTTCCCGCGATCCCAAAGTTCAAAGGCGAGACCCTTGTCCCTGGCCTTTTCTTTCGTCCTTTTGTATTGGTACTTCCATTATTTATTGCCTCATGCTTTGGGCAATACCGCCTGTCTTATGACTATCTAGGAACCGCATTGTAGAAGTCTTAAAAAGGCCAGCCGATGCTCAAAGAATCTGACTTATAACCATCGTATATAAACTCCGAGAGAATCTTAATATTGTCACACAGTGTTTTCCCCGTGATTAGTATCAAAACTGTGCCATTTGGATAGAAAGGCAACACCGTCTAGTGAGCAAAACTACAGTGGGCTTCAAGATGGGAAAAAGAAAGGCAAAGAACACTAACGAACCTTCACAGGTAAGAAACGAGCGTCAATGCATCCTTCACTCATTCTCCTCCAACCGTCCAGGCTCTTCTGCACGTTGTGGATATTGACTATCCCACAGTGGGCCTTGTGTAGCGGGGCTCCAATGCAGTCAGACCTTGCGGGACCACATGAACGAAGCTTGGTTCCATGAAAGATGTGGAGCTTCTGAAAAATGCTAATAAAGTTTGTGGACTGTATAGAAAAGGCGCTCTCCTAGGTTGTTAGAGAAACAAGAAGCGACCGAATTGAAGGGGAGGAAGCCCAGGGTCCATCAAAGTACCGAATCCAAGTCGGCTTTTGAGCCTAAGACACCACCTGAGGTCCAAAGATCGACAGAGGATAAGGTTAACACCAGCTCTGCTTCGGAACCTCAAGCGTCACCAGAAATCCAGACATCAATGAAAGCCAAAATCGACGCTAGCTCAGCTTCTGATTCTACAGCGTCAGCAAATGTTAAAGAATCTACAGAGGTTCAACAGCATGAGGTGCCTGTTGATGAACACGGGTTACCAGAGTTACCAGAAGAAAGACGCCCAGGTAAATCCATTTTTTGGACACGCCCGAGGTCTTTGAGCTATAGGGGTGAATGGAATGAAGGCTGTACAAAGAACCTGTTCCACGACTTCAGCCGGCGTGTCTCAACTTGGGTGGATAAATACTGCTACAGGAGAGAAAAGCTCAGGGATAGGTTGTCTGCCGGCGATTTACAGATAATTCTGGACAGCCTTGGGAACTTTTGCCTGGACAAAGATTGGAAGTCGATTGAGGCGAGACTTGACAAGCTTGGCTATAATAACTTCTGGTATTTTCTTCCAGGCACGGTGTTAATGAAGCACCTCTTTGAAGATGTTATCAGTAATCCATTTGTCTACATTGAGGGCAGTCAGGAGGGCACAGGTAGCCAGTCAAGCATGGATCCACCAGCCTTTGGGAAGGAATTGTGGGGACTTTGGAAGAGGCTAATCAAAGGTATGTCTGCAAATCGTTTAGCTTGTCCTGGGGGGTGTACAAGTATCTGGTAGACTAATTTCTTATCCATACCGCAGTTGACCCGATCAGAGCATCTGACTGGCGGAGAACGACAACCCAGCTCCTAAATCAGGTCCACCCCGAACATACGAGGGACTACAGGGTTGCACATCAAACCGGCAAGGCCCAGGAGCTGCTCGCAAATCGACTTGCGACCAGTATGCTCAAGGAGTGTCAAGCCTTGCAGGTAGTATTGAAGAAAATGACCGACTCGAATCAAGTTACAAACCGATACGAAGGGCTTGTCGAAATTTATCGGTCCGCAATTGACATATCTATTTATCTGGGAACAATTGAAACCGAATTTGAGTTCGAACTTGATGTCAGGCGGTGTGGGCCCTTCTTGCATCGCAAAACGAGAGTCCGGAAACGAGGGTGTTCCGATGAAATCCAACCTGACGAATGGCCTATTCCAATACTACTGCACTTTCCTCTTGTCTCAAGTCGCCACTTGATAACTTCGGATGTTATGGATACGTTGCAGCAACGCCGAGACGAATTCGAATACGACCATAGGGACGACGGGGAAGAAGAATTACGAAAGCAACTGGACAAAGAGATCCCCCAGGTTGAGGAGGGCGACACCATTCTTGAATCAGCGATCTCTTTCGCCGATATTGTTTACTCCAAAGACGGACCTCAGGCCTGCTCATGCGGTGGTCGCTTTGTCTGTCGGGGCGGATGTATAGCCGACATTGATAGTGATGATGTTGATGATGATGGCAGCGATTCAAACTCCAAAGTGGACGATTGAACCAAGAACCAAACTCTGTTCCTTGACACTTCCATCTAGATTGGATATTTTACCTTACCTTTTTTGTTTTTCTTCTCTTCATTTTGTTCCTTCGGTTCTCCCTGTTTCACCCCCCCCTTTTCCTCTGCTTATCACTGCAATATTGTCGTCTGAAAATTGCCATACTACGCATATATTACAACATGTTACCTAACTTTACTTTCTAAGTTCACTGAATGTACGACAATTACATCGGTCGGTCTAGTTAGGAGTGGAAAGAGAGTGCTTCTTCTAAGATCATCCAAGAGCTCTCGTTCCCCTCTCTTTAGTGGCCTTTTTTACAATATTCCTTCCTTCGTATACCCTTGTTTAATTGTTCAAGCATCAATCATCTATTTATAGTTCGGCTGCGTTTTGCTATATTGTTTCTTCCTCTCATTTGTTATTGAGCTGGCTCACATGTTGCCCGTTCGGAAAGCCATACCCGACCGTGTGATCCTCCGCTACTATTTCCATCATCGGGTCAGAGTCCTGAACGTAGCTTATAGACAAAGTACGACCTTCAATTTTGGATAGATGAGATTACGAACATGGGAGTTGGCCTATCCGACGGCAAACTCGGTTATGTAAATTTAAATACCGTCCATGACGATGCAACATTAGGGAAAGTAGAGAGAGAAAGAAAAAGGAGAAAAAGAAAAGAAAAATAACCGCGTGAAAGCCGTCATCATCAGTCCGACCGCAGCACCCGCTTGAATGTCTCCAGTGTATGATCCCAAACCTTCTCAGGGAAACTCCGGGCTCGATAATCAGCCATCAGTTTCTCGCGGGTTGCATTGCTCCCATCGTATTTGAGAATATAGGAGCCCCCTCCGATTTTACCAGTTGATGCAGATGCCGTGTCCACCCCTTTGACTAAGGGAACCCCCAGATGTGATGGATCTTTGGGCGTGGTGGGAGGATAAGCTGCCGACGTCGAGAGAAACAGATTACGCTCACCACTCTCCTCCGGCGTAATGGAAATCGGACGAGAAAGAAAGCTTAGGATAGCCCCGCCAAAGTTCCCGAAGGTGGTGTTCATCAACGGAGTCCGTACAATTCCCGGGAAGACGTGTAGAAAGCTTACGGTCGGATGGGCGGTGGCTAGATGCTCTATTGCTAAGGAGTTTAACGTGGCGGCGTATGTGTTTGATTTTGAAAAGGTCCATGACTTTGTCAGGTCGAAATTGTCTTCTTCGATGGTGCCTTCTTGGCCGCCTGCTAGGATGGATACGACCCTGGCTGGACCGGGGGAGGCACTGAGCAAAGGCATAAGGTTCTGCACGAAGCGCATCCGGGAGTAGTAACGAAGGGCATGGTTGTCGTCTAGTCCTTCATCGGTCTCTATGTGTAGGGCCCCCTGTCAGCACTAGTAGGGTATAGGGGTGTTGGGGTTGACGGGGTAGCGTTTGTAGCCGTCCCGGCTGACCAGGTTAAGGTTGTTTCTGCTACTTACCATTTTTTGAAAGAGAGAGGTGGCCGGTGGACATGAAGAGGAGATCGATTTGCTTTTCCTTGTCGGTGATTTCCGCACAGGCCTTGTCAACACTACGCAGAAGTGAGACATCCGATTGAATGAAGTGAAATGATCCGTTTGGATTTGAAGCCCGGAGCTCCTCTAGGACTCTGGAACCGGATGCGGGATTCCGGCCAACCAAGTGGATGGTTGGTTGTTTCACAGCGAGCGCCATCTGCTTGGCTGTCGCCTCTCCTATGCCACTGGTGCCTCCAACGAAGACGGCGACCATCTTTTGGCGTTGAGCGCCCAGAGCCGTGTTGGACTGACGAACCTGGCTAAGAGTGGGCATGATGGATGGTTGGGAAGAGTAGTATGATACTATAGTTAACAAGCGGGAACAATGGGAGATACTTCTTGTCACTACGCTTTATAAGTGCCTGGCAGCTTGGTGATGATAATGAGATGTAGTTAGTTTGGGAGTTGTGCTGACGCATGACGCGCACCTGACTCACTCGGGTCGGGTACCCTTCCTTATTGGGCCTGCTTACGCTGACGTCAAGCAAAAGAGTTCATCAATTAGCTAGATGCTTACCTCGTTATGGTGGCTGCGATCCGGGCAAAATCGGATGGAAGAGAACACCTGCTTGACCTATCATCCTGAAGACGCCATTGAACTCTAGGGGACGGGAACAAGGTCTCACATTCGAGCAGACATGGATTGAAGCTGTTTGCGGGTGACGGGACCAGGGCAAACGGATCCCAACCAAAGTCGGAATAATTTGCGGACCAAAATAAACAACTCCAGATAAGGACAACTGACACTAAGGGCAGCAAATGGGAACTAGCGGTCGTAATATTCTCCGTGCAGTTGGTACTGTCTAGCGATCTTCAGGCAAGATCCACATCCCGTCCGCAGCGGATGCACCGGGAACAGGCAATCATGATTAGGTTCTGTCAGGGGTACTCCATAGTGGAGCAATGTCGGCAATCGTC